TGTAGGACTCATTTATTACAGCTTCCTCAATCCTGGTGAAACCATCACTACTAAAGCACTGAAATGAAATTGATGAGATGAACCGAAAACTGCGACATTTATGGCCAGCATAAATCAATCGGAAGGAGCCTATCCTCCTTTACGACGACGCACGCCCACACGTCGCATAACGGACTCTGGCACTTCATGAGTTGGGGGTTACGAGGTTGACCACATCCACCATACTCTCCGGATTTTTCTCCCACAGATTATCACTTTTTTAAATATCTCAACAACTTTTTGTGCGAGAAACGGTTCAGAAGCCAGAATGACATTGAAAAGCATTTCGGGAGTTCATCGATTCCAGAGATCATAGTTTCTACTCTTCTGGGATTAATGCATTGGTTATGCGTTGATAAAAATATATAGATAGTAGTAGAAGTTATTTCGATTAAATATATTTTGCTGAAGTTAAATTGTAACTTGTTTTTACTGAACATCAAAAACCTGCATTATTTTTGCAGCAACCCACTAATTATGGAAACGTTAAAAAAACTTAGCTCAACTCTAGAGAAGTTTTTCACACAACCTAAAACGTTCTCTACGACAATTCATAATATTTTCTTCGATGGAGGGAAGTTTTATAGTTATTAAACTGTCTCGTTAATATTGGGAAAACACAATCTGATGTGATAAATCCTTGCTGGATACACCGTCATATTAGGAAACCGGCTTGTACGCAGTTACGCAACTTTTTCTGGTGGACGTGCTACACATCAGTCGATTTTTAATAAATATAAGTTCATTTAAACAAATATATCGTCTATGTCCGTGCATGATGTATGTCATGTATAATATGTCTATGTCAAAGAAAAAGTCTAAGTTTGCAATTGATTATAAAAAAGAGACTTTCAATACATGATGCGATTTGTTTCAAAACCGGCTCAAGCCACATTTTTTTGCAGAACTACAAGTTCTGAATGCATTACAACTAGCAAAGCCGTTTTGACCAAAAGCAACATTATCCAGAATAAAAATGCGTCCAAACTTTTGGGTTTAGATCAATGCCGGCCCAATCCAATTTTCAGTATCATTTTTCTTCAATAAAATTGTATTTCCATTTTAATTTTTTCCTACCTAAGAAATCAAAATATTTGTTTTGTTTTTATTACTAAGTTTTCAAAAATAGGTAAGACTTGGATCAATAAATTTAGAATAATTCAACCAAAATTGGTTAGCTACATATATTGATTCAAAACAGGCTCATTCAACGATTTAAATTTTTGGCAACGTAGAAATAATACAATATTGAAAACTATGCCTTAAATGTTTGGAGGCCTTCCTTCTTCCACACCTCAAAAAAAAAAAAATAGATAAATAAAAATGATTTTAAAAATCTAAACCGTAACGCTACAACGATAAAACGTTTTTTGGTTCATCTGCAAAAATTTTGAAAAGCGATTTAGCCGGTTTTGAAACTAATCGCCTCGCATACGCATTATGATCTCTTTTTTTGTATGCAAGATCTTGATTGAAATTAAAAAAGCTGGGTTCGAATCCCGCTCGTGACACTAACTTTTTCATTTCAACCAAGATCTTGCATACAAAGAAGAATTAATTGAAAAAAATAATTAGGTAAATCAGACACTGATAATGGATTTTGATCTCACATGACTTAAAAAGAGCAGAAGAGAAGGGCCAATTGAAACACTAGGCTTGAATTCAATTACTAGGATTGAACACAACACGACAGGGTGGATATTTGAGAATCTAATAACATCGGAAAAACAATCTGTACCAATTTCCACTGAGATCGAACGGCGCTCGGAGGGTTGCTGTAATTAGTCTTTCAGCTTCCTAGTATATCCTTCGTTTAAAAAAGACTTTCAGCCTCAAGCGAGCCCAATGTCACATTGTTTTGAACGGTTGGATAAAAGTCTAAAAGGCAAAATATCACAATATGTTGGACAAAGAAAATAATAAAGTTATATTCTACTTGATTGTAAATTATAGCTGTACGCAATTAGCGAGGGTGCATTGGTGTTGTAGGACACAAAACATGAATTTCATTGAATGTGAGTTCTCGTCGCATTTTCGATTCATTTACATCCGAAAAGGATGGAAATCGGGACCAGTTTAGAGCGACCTTTCTCTCAAAACTCTTCGGTACCGGCGATTCTTCTGGATCGGCCAGTGGTGACACGGATCTCCTGCTCGTCAAACGCGTCGACGGTTTTTTAGAGAATTGTCTTGTTTTTTGACGCTCTACACCAAAGGGCATGGAGGGCTCTGGGCCTTGGCGTTTAGGTAGATTCTGTAGAAACGTAAGTTTGACTGTCAAATCTGGTGCACTTTGCCACCAAGAAAGGGTTTTTTTTAGATAAAGTAGAAAGCATCATTTTCAAATTAACAAACACAAACTACATGGGCTTAAGTCCGTCTGAAGTCACTCAATAATTTATACAAAACTACATTGAAAGATACAAAAATAAAATGTAACTAAAAGTTGAATTATTCAATTAAAATTTTTCTGCATTTATGCCTCTAGCATGTAGCTTAATAGATTTTCCCACTTTTAATAATATATAAATTCGTCCTCAACTCCAATTTTTATGCTTTCAAACACCTTTTAAATATTTTTTATTGTCTGTAAAATTTGTATTTTTTATTAATATTTTAATTCTAAGTATTTACCCAGATTTGATTTTTAAAAAAAAGAACGAATTTTCGACAAAAACCAAGATATAACTGGAAAAAATATAGTGTAAATTTATACTTTAAAAATCCTTCTGGAGAATTTGAATCAAACTCCTAATTTATACTCATTTAAAGATCTTTTGAAAGACTTTTTACATAAACACCGGCCCTCCGAGGGTTAATTAATTACAACAATTACTCATATGACTATCATTATATGTAAAAGTAAGGTATAACATTTAAAATATCTGTTAATATTGTAATCCTAATGATTTACCCCAAAAAATTATTCAAATTTATACTTCAAAACCATATATTTAAAAAAAAATCCTGCTGAAGACTTTTGATCAAATTGCTATTGTACTAATTTAAAGATCCAATACAGTTAATCAGATGAAATTATTTTTATATATAAAAGTAAGATATAAGATTATTCAAGATATTTTTTTTAATCTGCTGAAGAATTTTGATCAAACCGTTAATTTGTACTAATTTAAAGATACAATCAAGCAACCCTATACAGGGTGTCCCAGTTCCTTCTGACGAAACTCAGGGAATCGATTCTACTCTTCGTTTGGAGCAAAAAATGCTCAGGAGAAAATGTTCGTAAAGTTCTCTATTTTGAAGATATTCGTCAATTTAGGTTTTTTCAACTTTTCACTACCTTACCACATAAAAACGCTTACAACTTTCAAAATGTTGAGACTACAACAAATCCAATTACACCATTTGAAAGAACGCTAAATTTGCTGTAAGATACTTCTTTGCAATAATCTGAATGACATAAAATGTTAGCCAAGATCAGTAGGAACATGTCAAAATTACAAAATTTAAAATTTTGGTCATGATTGCACGTTCTACTGAGGTTACTCTACTAGAACGTTATCTAAAAACCTGGATATATCAACGTAAAGCATATTAGATGAAGTTTTTGTAAAATATGACAAGTTGTAAGTATTTTTTTGTTCCAACTGATCTTGGCTAACATTTTATGTCATTCAGATTATTGCAAAGAAGTATCTTACAGCAAATTTAGCGTTCTTTCAAATGGTGTAATTGGATTTGTTGTAGTCTCAACATTTTGGAAGTTGTAAGCGTTTTTATGTGGTAAGGTAGTGAAAAGTTGAAAAAACATAAATTGAAGAATATCTTCAAAATAGAGATCTTTCTGAAAATTTTCTCCTGAACATTTTTTGCTCCAAACGAAGAGTAGAATCGATTCCCTGAGTTTCAATTCAGAAGGAACTGGGGCACCCAGTATTTTCTCAGGTAACAAATATGAAATACAGTTAATCAGATGAAATTATTATTATATTTAAAAGTAAGATATAAGATTATTCAACATTTAAAGTATTGCTTTCCTAAAGATTTACCAAGATTTTTTAGGAATTACCAAGAAAAAAATTATCCAAATTTATACTTCAAAACCATTTTTAAAAAAATCTGCTGAGGAATTTTAATTAAGCAGATAATTTGTACTCATTTAAAGATCTGAAAGATATAAAATTTAAAGTATCTGTTAATAGTGTTATCCTAAGGATTTACCAAGAAAAAAATTATACTAATTTATATTTCAAAACCATATTTGAAAAAATCCTTCTTAAGAATTTTGATCAAACTGCTAATTTGTACTAATTTAAAAATCCAATCAGGAAACCAATATTCTCAGGTGTCAAATATAGCAATTCAGATAATCAGATGGATTTATTATTATATATAAAAGCAAGTTATAAGATTTAAAGTATCTGTTAATATTGCAATCTCTAAGGAATTACCCAGATTTTAACAATAAAAAATTCCACAAAAACCAAGATTTCCACAAAACAAATAGTGCAAATTTATATTTCAAAACTATATTTAAAAAACACCTTTTGAAAATTTTTTAATAAAATGGCTAATTTAAAGATCCGATCAAATAACCCAATATTTTCCCCTGAGCCAAATATAGCAATTCATGAATTTATTGTTATATATAAAAGTAAGTTATAAGATTTAAATTATCTGTTAATATTTAAAAAAAAAACACGAATTTTCCCCAAAAACCAAATTTTACCTTAACAAATTGCACATATATATTTCAAAATGATTTTTAAAAAACCCATTCAAGCAGCCCAACATTTTCTCAGGTACCAAATATAGCAATTCAGTTAATCAGATGGATTTATTATTATATATAAAAGTAAGATATCTGTAGTAAGTATCTGTTAATATTGAAAAAACATTAATTTTCCCCAAAATTTACCTTAAAAAATTGTGCAAATATATTTCAAAATACTTTTTTTTTTTATTCAAACAACCAAGTAACTTTTTGTATTATTTTTTAGCGAACGAGTTTTTGGAAATCAAGAACACTCCTGGAGAAAACATTAATACTTTCTGTCATATTCCTCCTTGTCATTGTTTTCATCCTCAGTTTGGCACTCAATGCCACTGGAAGGCCAGATAGAAGATTGCACTACTTACAGGTCAACACTAGACCAGACGGTGGTAAAAAATAAACGTCTTGTGGCAGTCGATAAGAAAAGTTAAGTTCATGTTTCATTGTGAACATTTTAGAGACAGACGAGAATTACTGCTTGACTGAAACATGCATCAAAACAGCGGCGACGCTTGTCTCGGCCATAGATAGGACTTCAGATCCGTGTAATGACTTCTACCAGTTTGCCTGTGGCAACTGGATCAAGTACAATCCCATACCGGATGGAAAATCGACTTGGGGAACCTTTGCTAAAATGGACCAGCAAAATCAGCTTATCCTTAAAAATGCCTTAGGTGCCATTTTTGATGCTTTATTATAAATATAAATTTATAAAACTCATAATTTATTGCAGAAAAACCACTTACCAGCTTTAAAAGCAGTGCAGAAAAAAAAGCGAAGCATTATTATAACTCATGCATGGATGCGAATGAAACTATTGAGGCCCTTGGAGGCAAACCATTGCTGGATCTTTTAAAAGAAGTCAAAGGATGGAGTATCGCTGGCGATTTTGATGTACAGACATTTGATTTACAAGAAAAGCTTCAAATACTTCAAAACAAGTATGTATGATAAGTTAATTTAAATATAAAATATAATGATAGATGGTTTGTATTCATTTATTTTTTTATTATATAGATATAGTTTTCCTGGTCTTTTTTCATGGGCTGTAAATGAGGATGATAGAAATTCTAGTATCTATATTATACAGGTATAATTTATTTTAAATCTTTCGAAAAATCTGAATTTATATATATTTTTTTCCATCAGGTTGATCAAGTATCCCTCATACTACCCACCAGAGACAAATACTTGAACAAAACTGAAGAAAATATGAAAATCCTAAAAGTATACGAGGATTATATGACTGATGTGAGTTATAAGACCGTGATTTTATAGAACAAAAATCTCATCCTTGACTATTTCTTTAAATTTTAGATGGGTGTCTTACTCGGAGGAGAAAAAAATAGGACTAGAAAGTTAATGAAAAACATAATCGATTTTGAGACGAAACTTGCAGAAATCACTATCCCAGATGAAGAAAGGAGGGACGAAGAGAAAATGTATCATTTGATGACTGTGGCCGATCTGGAAAATCTTGCACCTTTTGTAAATACTTTTTCAAACGTATTCTCAATACAAGAATCGTTCAGAACAAATATTGTCACATTTACAGATCGCATGGTTGAAATATTTCAATAATGCTTTGAACCAAGTCAACAACGAAATCACTGAGAAAGAAATGATAGTTGTTTATGCTCCGCAGTACATGGTAAATTTAACGAGGATACTTAGTGAGTATATGAATTCAACAGAAGGAAAGGAGTAAGTGCAATGTTTGTAAAAAAAATTATGTTAATATTTATTGACAATTAATTGGTTAACAGGACAGTAAACAATTATCTTGTATGGCAAATGGTAAATTCACAAAGAGTGTATCTCTCAAGAAACTTCAGAGACACATACAAGGGAATGAAAAAAGCCATTCTAGGGACTGAAGGCGGTGAAGAATCGTGGCGTTTCTGCGTCTCTGATACAGCGGCAATCCTTGGCTTTGCGATCGGTGCGATGTATGTGAGGCAAAACTTTGACCACCGTTCTAAAGAAAATGTCAGTTTAACATTTGTTCTTTTTTTTAAATTATTTTTATTCATCTGTTCATAATAACAAACGTAAATTTTTTTTAAGGCTGAACAAATGATTAATGAAGTTAGGGCAGCATTTAAAGAGAACTTAAAAGAGCTTACATGGATGGATGTTGAAACAAGGGAATTAGCTGAAAATAAAGCCGATGCCATTACTGACATGATTGGTAATTTATAGATACTTTTTTTTAATATAAAATTTACTAGTGTAAATTTAGTAAACAAATGTTAATTTTCCCATTGATAATTATCAATTTTAAATCTTTTGACTATTCCAGGTTTTCCTGACTATATTCTCAATACAGAACAGTTGGATGCAAAATATGTAGATCTTAACATAAATGAAATGGAATACTTCCAAAACAATATAAATGCCAATAAATACAACTTGATACAAAATTTAAAACAACTTGGGCAGCCTGTAAATCGTACAAGGTGAATAACTTTGATTCTATAAAATAGACCTATCTTACTTATACTGTTTTTAAATTACGCAGATGGGGTATGACACCACCGACAGTGAATGCGTATTATACTCCAAACAGGAATCAAATAGTTTTTCCAGCCGGTATTCTACAATCTCCATTTTACGATATTAACCACCAGCAAGCGTTGAATTTCGGAGCAATGGGAGTGGTGATGGGGCATGAGCTCATTCATGCGTTTGACGACCAGGGGAGGGAATATGACAAATATGGCAACATGCACCAGTGGTGGAACAACAGAACAATTGAAAAATTCAAAGAACAAACTGAGTGTGTAGTTAAGCAGTATTCAAATTATGAATTAGACAGTAAAAAGCTAAATAATGGAAAGCAAACATTAGGTATCATCATAATAATCATTATTGTAGTGATTATTAAAAACTGTAATCGTTGCTTGAAATTCCAGGAGAAAATATTGCTGATAATGGAGGTCTGAAGGCAGCATACCGAGCATATATTGACAGAGTTAGCAAAAGTAAAGAAGAACCTCTACTTCCAGCTGTAAATATGACGCACAAACAGTTGTTTTTCCTTAGCTTTGCTCAGGTATTTTCTTCTTACACAACACAATATTTCCTTTACAATTTAAAACAACTGTATGTTAATTTAGGTGTGGTGTTCCGCGAGCACTGACCAAGCAACTAATCTTCATGTTGAGAAAGATAGTCACTCAATACCAAAGTACAGGGTCATAGGATCTCTTTCAAACTTTCAAGAGTTTGCTGATAACTTTAACTGCAAATTAGGTTCAAGAATGAATCCAAAAGAAAAATGTGTTGTATGGTAATTGATCACTAGGGTATCATTGGCGTTAATTTTAATCTTCCGGGCATATTTATTCCTAAATTTTTTTTTATGGTTTCACAGCACTAATTTTATTATTTATTTTAGCTCGTAGATACTAGTCTTTTAAACCGACGAGCAGATTAATCAAGTTTTACTGTTGATAGATAAAAATGATTTACCAAATGGCACTAAATGAACAGAATTTGGGAAAGTGTTAAAAGTTGGTTCCTTAAAAAAGTAGAATGTTTTGTTAATTTAAATGTTCCTTTTATTCGACACAGATAATGTTTTTGTTCTTGAATTACAAAACGTTTATCGTTTAAAAGGCTGTGCCAGTTATGCCCAAAAAGTTAATGTTGAATCTAGTCTAAAGTGAATGATCTAATATTGAAGTTTTCATCACACAAAAATATACAAAACTTAGAAGTCATTAATAATTTATGCTTTATTTAAATGAAACATAAAAATATACATTTTAAAAATAAATAAATTGCAATGATTGTTGGCTAGCAAAGTGCCCAATGATGTGAGGTGAAGTACCAAAGGGTCCAACAAAGTGCAAAAAACGTCGGAACTGAAGGGAGATTTTATTAATTTGATTTGTCAAAAAAGTTGTGGGAGACTGTGAACAAGATTTTGTTTTATTTTTGTAAGGTTGCCAATAAAAAGGTAATATTATATTTATAAAAATTAATTTGTTTATTAGCTTGTTTAAATGTTTAAAAAGTTTATTTTGAATAAAATAGCATCATATATCATATACTCTCAGTAAAATATAAGTACAAAATAATAAAAAAGTAAGTCTATTTTTTAATCTTTGTCACATATTGAAATAAATAATTGATAATTAATGATAAATCGGTTATGCTTAAAACATTTATGCTTAACCAGTTGTTCTGAAGAAAAAGCAGCGTAATATCCTAAATGTTTTTGTTGTGCTAACGTCTGATCATAAAATAAATGTTCTGAATAATGTTGTCATTACAAATAACAAAAGTAAAATTGATTAGAAAAGTGTGTTCCCTCTATGATAAATAAGCTTGACAGGTATGGAGATTAGAAAGACAAATAATTTGCGTGAACAGCAGCATGTAGATAGCTTAAATGGCTTACATTCCTAAGTCCATAGAGTAAGAACAACTCAGTGTCTCCATTTTTTGTAATCAATAATGAAGTTAAATTTTGTCAGTGAGATTACAACATACTGATGTGCTGTAGAATTTACTTCAGGGAGTCATGTACTTAATATACGTCTATTGTGTAGCATGTGTTTTTATTACACATTGAAAACACATAAAAATCACTAACTTTTACCAAAACAAAAAATCTTCCTTAGTCATAAACTTCCTTTTAATTTATCTTTAGAAAATTAATTTTGGAAATATTTATGTATTTTATGTTATAACAATTAGTATTAAACTTGTTTAGCATGTTTTTTCATAAATAAAAATATCGATGTTATTTTTATATATAAATTTTCACTGTGGTTGTGTTTGTAGCCATGATAAGCCAATAACAATTAACAAGTCCTCCCAGAAATGTTTTGTTTAATATAATCTTAGTGTTACATTGTTATCTGTGATACAGCATGTCGGTGTTCTACACGCTATATAGAATTAATTGGAAAATTGAATCATTGTATACAACCTGAAATATAAAAACATTATGTACAAATATAGAATAATAAGAAAGATTTCTTTTTTTTTAATCCAAAATTTAATTTAAATAAAATTTCAACATTCACACTATATTCTGATCCCAAAACTCTCTCAAAAGCACACAGAAGCCTCCAGAAAATTAATGTTTTCTGAGAACTCCACCCATAGGCATTTTGTTCGCCTTCCAATATTTCCCTATTTTCCAATAAATTTTTATTATTCCACTTTGCAAATACATTTATATATTTGACACAAAGAAAAAATTAAATAATTAAAGTGAGTGAAAGTAAAAAACTAAGTGTACGAGACTTACTACAAAGTTTTCTATCGGAAAAACACAGTCGAGTAAAATGCTAAAGAATAAAAAGTAACTTTTAGATCATTTTTTACGCACAGAAGTGACCAATTCTGCAGATTTTTTCCTAAAACTTCTGGTTCAGCCATAGACCAGGATGAATTTGAATGGTTTGCCATGCTCGGACTTAAGAAATACCACTGTCTATATGAGACCATGCCATAAACAATTGAACATTTTTTTACTAGGCAAGGCTTCATCTCGAATATTTGGTCACAACTATGGCCACGAATATCCTCATTAGATACATTTTATAAAATTTACAAATTTTTGCATAAATAATGACATAACTAAATTTTTGAGTGTAGGATCGACACCAGATCAAAGGTTGGGATGGTCAATTAAATGAGAATAGTCACTTTTGCCTAGCTTTCATTTCATTTTTTTCCTTCCTCAGGGCCTATTTGTCATAGAACTCACATATCAACTTTATTGAGTAAGAGTTCAAATCTACATGTTAATCCAAAAAAATAGATAAGAGTTACTAAATAAAGAATTAGGCTATAAATTGTGATAATTTTTAAAATTATAATAATCTGGTATAAATCTACATAAATATAGGCGTTGAGGAAGGGGAAAATCTGAAACTGCTCAACAAAAGTGATTGTTGTCCCATTCACATAACTTTTTTTTTCAATTGTTAAGATCCTGCGATATAAGGACCATACGCCTCCTATACATAGTAACAACGCTTGGGCAAAATCCAATTCCGACATTGCTAAATTGTTTTCAGAGCATCTTTCCACAATTTTTACTGCACACCATGAGATCATGACCATCAGCTTAACATTGAACACGACTTGAATGTCCCCTTGCAACTCTCTTATCCTCCTAAAGCATTTACTCCATCAGACATACGACACACTATTAAACAACTACCTTCACGAAAAGCTCCAGGTTATGATCTAATTACCAAACAAATATTACAAAATTACCTACACAACGCTGTACTCAGGACCACATATTTTCCATTGCAATGGAAGTTCTCTATAATTAAAATGATTCATAAGTCAAATAAACCTTCTGATCTTCCAAATTCCTATCGACCCATTAGTCTCCTTTCTATCCTTGCCAAAATACTAGAAAAACTACTTCTCCGACGATTACTGCCAATAATTGAAAATTCTAATATTATTCCAGATCATCAGTTTGGGTTCCACACATTTCACTCAACAACTCAACAATTACATCGTGTTGCTGACAATATAGCCTCTTCCCTCGAACAAAAACAGCATTGCTTGGGTGTCTTTCTTGATTTAGAACAGGCCTTCGATGAGTCTGGCTCTCGGGCTTGCTTTGGAAACTGAGGAACATCCTCCCCTCATACGTACTATCTTATACTGAGATCTTATCTGACGGATCGATTTTGTCGAGTCCGTCAGGGAACTGAATTCTCTCCTTATATACGCATAAGGGCGGGTGTTCCTCAGGGAAGCATACTTGGCCCTTTTCTATTTTCCATATACACTGCAGATATTCCTACACACGTTAACATTTCGACACAATTCGCTGATGATACAGCGATTCTTACACGCAATTCGGACCACTCAATTAACACTCAACACTTACAACAACACCTGAATGAATTAACAATATGGTTCACAAAGTGGAGAATAAAGGTAAACCTAACAAAAAGCACACAGATCAATTTTACCTTACGTAAAAATGTCTGTCCTGCGGTGAGTATAAATGGAATTCCATTGCCTACCACTGACCTTGTGCGTTATCTTGGACTTTTCATGGATAAACGACTGACTTGGAATCCCCATACAAGACTGAAAAGACAGCAAACAAACCGTTATAAATTGTTAAAAAGACTTCTCAACACACGATCAAAATTAGACCTTGAAAATAAACTTCAAGACAATGATTAGACCTCTCTGGGCGTACGGTTGTGAAGTGTGGGGCTCAACCAAGGATTCCAATTCCCTGCATCTCCAATCATTCCAATCTAAAATTCTCCGTCAAATTATAAATGCTCCTTTTTACGTTTCAAATTACACTATCCACAAAGACCTACACATCCCGTTTGTACATGAACTCATCAAAACCCGATATAAAAAATTTCATCAATCACTGAACACACACAGTAATCTATTCGTACGAAATTTATCACTTCCGACCCTACCTGAAAATCCTCCAAGACGATTGACGCGAAAGTGGCCCCGAGACCTTCTCATTGTGTGAAGACTGAACAAGATATCAGTGTGAAGGAGTGTTACCACTGGGCAACTTCTCCTACAAGAGCCTCAAATGATAATTCAACATATACAAACATATTTACTTAATACATTGCTTGTAGTTGTAAATAACAAATAAATGTAATTAAAAAAAAATCAATTGTTTCATATGGAGAAATCTATTAGTTAATGAAAGAAATCATTAATGACTTGCACTCCAATGGGGAAAAAATATGAATAGGAAAAGAACAAAGAATTATTAAAAATAAAGATTTAATGGTAACCGTACAACACAATGTGGTAACGCTGTTAACAAAGTTCTAAAGAAAAGAAAAACAAATTAAATATAAATAGTAATAAACTATAAAATGGTCAAATTTGACAATTAAACAAAATTGCAATAACTCAATCAAAGTCATTGATAGTATCTACATTACAAGAGAGCTTGTTATTATTTAAAAAATAATATTTTTTAATTGTCTATTAATTTAATATCAAATCTACTAAAATATTTAGTACACTAGTAACTAATTTCAAGAGTGAATTATTTGTAGTGAAACTTTGCTTACGACTTACAAAACGTGTATTTTTAAAAATCTGAAAAAGCTGATTTCATACAAATAAACTAGAGGGATAAGGACCTGCCATTCCCCATAAAACAAAAACAATTTTACAAAGAGTTATTATTGATTTTGAAGTGTGTGTTAAGCCATTGCCGTTTACTTGATTATCTTGTAACCTTCGTGGACAAGCATCGAATCAAAAAATTGGGCAAACAGTTTGAACATGTACTGATTCTGATAAATGGGCCAGAACCCTTCCATGAATCCTATATGTCCTCCTCGTGATGTAACTACAATACCTACATTACCGTTTTTATTCGCTTCATCAACTGGGATACCTGAAAAACAAAAACTAATTAATTTTCATTTTGTATTTTTTTCCCCCCAAATTGAAATTGATAAAATACCATCCAGTGGTTGAAAAGGGTCATCAGCAGCACTGAGACATAAGACAGGCACTTTAAATTTGTGAATTTTATCATGAAGGCTGGCATGTGTGTAATAATCATCGACATCTTTATATCCGAACTGTTTAACTGTGAATTTACTGTCAAATTCTCTTATTGTTTTGCTTTTGAGAACGTCATCAATGGCATACGGGCCTGGTTCGATGACATGCCTTACACTTAAAAATATAATTATAAATATGTCTTCATTAAAAAAAAAAGTAAAACATTTGTAACTTACTTCCTAACAATATTGCATAAACACGAAGCAAGATGTCTGTTCAGCATTAGATTAACAACAGGTTGTTCAATGCTTTCGCATCCGACACGAACGTTCCATGGTACAGATATGAGCATGGCACATGTCAGTTCTCTGTTCGAATTCTGTACACTTGTAAGGTAATTGCCCAAAATAAGCCTTAAACAAATGTTACTTTATGACAAAGCTACACATACTTTTTTTTGTGACTAAATGATTTTAAAAATATGATTTCATTCACACCAATGGGAACAGGACAAAGACATCATGCAGATTAAGAAAGCGTGCTAAAAAGTTTTTTGTGCTTACACATACATCCATCAGGTTTAGAACATTTTAGATGTATTTTCTTGTGTGTTTTTTATATATATTTTGTTGTTTTTTTTACGTTGACTATAATACTGAGACAGGTGTTCCTGCAAAAGAAAAATTCTGGGCCTGCAATTGAAAGAATATAAATGTTTACATGGAATAGATTTGAAATTTAATACAAAAAATGCAAATAAGCCATTTTTAAAATTAATATGCTTTAATTTTTTTAAGATTATTTTTTTATGATTTTTTACCAGCAAATGAAGACAAGCAAACATTGTGATTATTTAAAATATTAATATTTGAAAATGCATTTTAACAAACTGTACACAAACCAATAATAAACAATAACTACTAACACAAAGCACAATAATAATTTTAAAAAAATTTAACATGTTAACATGGAATATTTTTGGCATGATAATATATTTAAAACAATTTCATTTTGCACTTATTATCCTGGTCTACCTATTCTTGCTGTTTGTCAACTGTGTTTCACAAATACATAATATCATAATAATATAATAATCAATACCTCGGATTATTTTATAAATTAAATCAATTAGAGTAAATAAAAAGTCATTCGAGATTATTTTTTAGTCAATGTAAAAAAGTACCTTTAAAAAACAGGTTAATGGTAATTTAAGCGAAACAGTCAACATGCTAAAGACTATATCGAACAGTTCCAGACATTAAACTTTTATTTATTTAATTGGCAATATTTTCTTGTTTAGGTTGAATTAATCTTTCAAAACTACTTTTTTCCCTGTAATTATTCAATAAGCAGTCAACTATAGAATAAAAAGTATCATGCAGTTCACTGGTTCTTACAAATAGAATTCCTTAATTAAAAATTATTCAATATATTTGTTAATTATATTCATAAGCAACCTTAATAAAAATAAAACTACGATTTGCTATCTAATGTTAATAAAAGCTTTTGTTAACATTACTATAATTCCAATGCTAAATTTAATTACTTTAAAATTATTGCAATTATGCATAATAAATAATTTAATAAAATATTAATGTAATAGTACTACAAAGGATCCATCTCTTATAGGAACACAGGAAAATGACATAATTGATATATTGACAGTGTAAGCCATTTCCCATCTTAGAATAAGTTGTAGTTGTTAAAATAAGAACAATAATAAATTAGTTTAAACGACCACAAAAAAATGGCTATAAATCACACAAATCTGGGAAACATAACTCTGCAATAATTAAGCAGTTGGTCAAAGGGTCAAAGGCACAAACACAGCGACGTGATGTTTATCACAAACCGGAGAAACCTAACCCTACAATTATTATCCAGTTGGTCAGATAAATAAGAAAGTTGAAGGGTGTCGCAGACCCAGACGGGTGCCATAGGATGTTTCCTATGAACCTGAAAAACATAAAGTTGCAATAGTTGGACAACCGATCAAATAAATAACTACAATTAATTAAGGTTTTTAGTTGAGATGAAAAAAGTCAATGGCACGAGAGGGATTCGAACCCACGACCTTCGGCTAGATACGCCGCTGCTCTACCACCTGAGCTATCGTGACCTCGATCCGCTTGGGCATCAACTCCCCATCTCAACCCCACCTTATGAGTTTTCCCTCCTTTTGCCATTTTCCAATTTTTGCCATTTTTTTCATCTCAACTAAAAGCCTTAATTAATTGTAATGATTTAATTGGTCAAGCGGGCCACGAAATTAGTGAATATAATGAATTTAAATGAAGTACACTTCACTAAAGCTCTCCGTCGCCATTTCAATTGTCATCGAGAATCCAAACCGATTACACGACATTTGGAAAATGGCAAAAGGAGGGAAAACTCATAAATATAATGAAGTCTGGGGCGATGATGTTCTGCGAGCTTTGGTAAAAAAAATCCCAGAACAGCTGTATGACAGAGAATCTTTCACTTAGCAAATCCAATGTCGCTGACCAGGATAAGGCAATTGTAAGGAAGAAACAGCTTGAAAGTTGGGTTCCTCACGCATTAAACAACTATAAAAAAAATCATCGTTATGGAGTTTGTGCAACGCTTCTTTGCCGAAACAGAAATTAACCTTTTCTGGATAGAATTGTTACTTATGATGAAAAATGGATTCTCTGCGATAACAGCAGACGTTCTGGACAGTGGCTCAACAAAGGAGAAGTAGCATCACATTTTCCAAAGCCCCCAACTCATCAAATAAAAGGTGATGGTGACTCTTTGGCAGGCTTCGTTTAGGCTGATTTTCTACAGCTTCTTGAATCCTGGTGAAACAATTTCAAATTGAAGTAATACACCAGAAATTGGCATTATTGAAGCCATCTTTGGTCTATCAAAAAAGGCTGATTCTGTTAAACGACAACGCTCGGCCCTACATCTCACACGAGGTTTTATCTCATCCTCCCTATTCTCCAGACCGCTCGCTTACCGATTACCATTTTTTCAGACACATGGACAAAGTTTTACAATATAAAAAATTTATTGATCAAAAGTCATTAGAAAATGTGTTTACAGTATTTGTTAATAATAAGACTCAAAATTCTATTCAAAGAGTATAGAAAATTTTCCATCATGCTGGGAGAAATGTATCAAGAGTGAGGGAGGGTATTTTAATTAATAAAAATTTTTTACAATAATTTATTTAATTATTTTTATTTTATAACCATAAAATGCATTATTTTCCACACAACCCAAAACTTAGTGATGTTTTTCTTTCATTGAATATTTAACTTTCTATTTATCTTTTACTTCTATTTATTTTGAGTCTAATTCCTTTTGTATAAATGTAACTTATATTTAGTTTTTAACGGATTTTTGTAACATGCTTTTTGTCTGTGTTATGCTCACCGGCTGTTCAGTTTTTGGATAATTTGACCTGCATGAACTGTAAATAAATAATTTAATCTATATAGTTGAAAGTTGAATGGCTGTCTGACTACCAAATTTGGCAATCTTTTATACAGGAGTGTGTCCAGCTTGACTGTTCCAATTTTTTCATGTGCCATTTTATTTTCCTGTGTTCCAGTAAAAAATGGACAAACGGTATTTACTAATTTTAGTAGCCGTGCGGCTTAAATCAAAATGATCACATAATCAGACACTCATGATTGCTTAAACTCACTGTACAACAGGTCTTACCCTCCCATCGAAATTCCGGTCGCTGCAACTGGTGCATCTGGACAAACCTTTCTCACATAATCTATCACTTCAACCAAATCCTCACTATTCGAGGCACAGTATGTCCGCGGAGTCTAAAACAAAATTAAATATCGATACAATTTGGTTTCAAAGATTCAATTTTATGCGTTTGGTACCTTTAGCGTAATTCCTCCGATACCCCGTTGATTAAAAACGACACATCTAATACCGACACTTTTTCCAGCTAGTACAAGACCTTTCACATAGTCTGCATGACTTGCTCCTGTCAAACCTGAAAAACTCTCTCATTGTAACATGCACTTTTAAAACAATTCTACAACAAACCTGGAAGGATAATCACAGTTGGTGTATTCTTAGGACAATTTTCAATTGGTTCAAGCCAATCTAAACAAATTTCGCCTCCGTCTTTCAGAGTTAAAATTTCTCTACAATAAAATTTTAGTTCATAAAGGTAAATAAAGTTTTAAAAAAAGTACTAATACCTTCTATAATTAATATGGGGGATTACAGTCGCTCTGACAAAACTAGCCATAAGAGTTTGAGCTCGTGCCTCGACACACCAAAACGTCGGCCAAAACTTTTCTTGCAGCAGTGGAACCTTGTTCTCTAAGAAATTCTTGAAATTCCCATCAGAACAAGCGAGCCTAGGTTTCTAAATAAAATATTAAATAGTTTAATAATTCGTTTAGTTTTCTACACATTAACAGATTTATTTTTTGTTTTTTATACATTATACCAATAAGTAAATGAATTTATTATTTATTATTAATGGAATTAAGTTATACGCTTTCCATTCTTTAATTCAAATGAAAGAATAAAATAGTGCTGTCAAAGCCACACTGTTATTGGAAATTTGGAGTTACATAATAATATTATTACATGATTAGAATGCCGGGAAATTATAATCAAGCAAATAACCATGGAAAAAATGTTTATGTGATTTTAATTTAAAGCAATTTGAAAATTCAGTACTTCCACGTACAAGCAAAAAATGTATTGTTTCATATCCATTTTTTAATTAAAATTTTACTCTTGAATGATTCATAATAATCATCGGAAGGAAAAAAAAACTCCTGTCTAGACTACAATATGTCCTAGTGTCTATCTTTTCTATTTTATTTAATTGACTTCCTGAGAATCAAGGTTATAAATCAGAAAAAGAAGAGAAAGAGTTGTATAATAAACTAATTATAAATCTCATAATCAAATTAAAAATTCCTAATAAATCTCAAGGACTTGACATTGATAAAACCGATCAGTCATAGTTGTACACAATTATTTTCTGATTTATCAATCAATAAATGTGATATCATTCTTACAAAAAATAAGTGGAATCTTTTAATTTTATTAAATAATTGTGTTAATCTTGTTGAGCTGTCGTTCCTCGAATTTCCAATTGATTATTCAAATAAGTGTTTTAATTTAACCAATACAAAATATTTCAAATATGTTGAAAATAAAATTTTTCAGCACAATGGAAATGACAGAATGGTAGATAGAGCGAGTTGTTTAACCACCAAACTTTCGATGATTGTATCACCATCACCAAGGTTGAACTAGATTATTACAACAATTTTAACATTCTGTTTCTATTTTTTACATGTTTGTGCAGTCCTGATATAATTAATTTAGTTTTTTTTTGTTTTTTTAATGCAAAATTAAGTGGCCATGTGTCTCATATTTCATGGTTTTTAATTCATATACTAAAAAATTTAAGGTTTTTTAGTGCATAAAATATGTCATCTTTCAGGATTTTTAGTGCATATAATATTGCATATTTCCGAATTTTTTAGTACATATAATATGGTCTATTTCAGGTTTTTTAGTTCATATGACACGTATATTTCATGATTTTGAGTGAATATAATATAGCATATTTCACGTTTTTTTAGTGCACATAGTATGTCATATTTTGTGGTTTTTTAGGGCTTATAAAATTGCAGTTTAGAAGTTTTTTAGTGCCTACTATATGGCATATTTCACTGTTTTCTAGTGCATATTATATGGCATATGCCATTGTTTTTTTTTTGTTTTTTTCGTGTATATCATATATATGGCATTTTCAGGATTTTTAGTGCACATCATATGTCATATTTCAGGATTTTTAGTGCTTATAATATTGCATATTTTAGGGGTTTTAGTGCATATAATATTACTTTCTGGGTATTTAGTGCATATTATATGGTATATTTCAGTGTTTTTAGTGTGCATTATATGGCATATTTTGTGATTTTTTAGTGCTTATAAAATTGCATTTTTGAGGTTTTTTAGTGCCTATTATATGACATATTTCACTGTTTTTTAATGCATTTTATATGGCATATGTCAGTGTGTTTTTGTGTGTATGTTATAGGGCATATTTCAGGATTTTTAGTGCATATAATATGGCATATTAGTGTTTTTTAGTGTATATTGTACGGCATGTTTTAATGTAATTATATGGCATATTTTCAGTGTTTTAGTGTAATTAATTATAAGGCATATATCAGAGATTTTTCAGTGTTTAAAATATGGTATATCTCTGTATTTTTAGAGTATATGACATATTTCAGGATTTAGTGCACATAATATGAAATGTTTTGATGTTGTTTAATGCATATTATATGGCATATTTCACTGTTTTTAGTGCATATTATATGGCATATGTCAGTGTGTTTTTGTGTGTATACTATAAGGCATATTTCGGGATTTTTAGTGCATATAATTCAAGTGTTTTTAGTGCATATCGTATGGCATATTTCAGAGCTTTTTTAGAGCATGTAATACGGTATATTTCAGTGTATTTAGAATATATTATATGGCATATTTCTGGGATTTTTTCAGTGCGTATAATTTATTTTTGAAGCTTTTTAGTGCATATTATATTGCATATTTCGGGAGTTATTGCATATTATATGGTATATTTCATGTTTATTAGCGCATATAATATGGCAAATTTCAGCTTTTTTTATGCATAGAATATTGCTTATTTGAGGATTTTATTGCATGTAAATCAAGGGTCCAGTCATGAACATCCACATTGCTGTACCTGACAGCTGTTCCCTGGCTAATAGAATAGCATTAAAGCAAGTTCATTTACAGCATTGCTTATACTGCATTGCACAAAAAGTATATGTCGCAACTCGCCATCTGCTAACTTCTTATATTCAATTATTGCCTTTTTGATTGCTAATTAAAAGGTTTACAATTATTTACATACAAAACACTTAAGAATAATAGCTTTTCGTTAGATAGAAGAAGTTATCCATAATTTATTTGTTGTCAAACGGTACTATTTTAGCAAAATTCGATTGATTTTGGATAAAATCGACTTTGGTTCCGGTCAATGTCTGGCCCATTTGTAATTATCTCGTTAATAAACCATCCAGAAGCTAACAATAGGAAAGAAATCGAAAAGAATAAAAATATAAATGACCCCATCAGAAATGCAAATGCGACAAATGTTCAAAATAAAGAAATTTTTAGCATTAAACAATAATAGAGGAGCATAAAAGTATTGATTTACTTATAGGACGTTTTTCGGCTTACCTTAACAACCTCGAAAAGATAATAAAGGATGTATCCCGAGCAGAAGGCACTTCCGATGTACCAGTTGGAAAGATTGAGCAGGGACGAGATCCCGGAGACGATCCAGTCCATTTTCTGTGGGTTTTCACTGACAGTAAAATAAGACAAAATTTTCCTGATTTTTTCACCGGGCGACGTCTCGTCCGGACGGCGGCACTGCGCGATCAGACAGACGAAAAGATGTTCAAAGTCATTAGCGATAAACCGGCGAATTACGGATTGAGTGGGACGGTCCGACGTCAAGGCGCAAGAAACACTCTTTGAAGTTTGAACGCTTCCGAGTTCCCGAGCCTTGCGTCCACCTTTCGCCCGACCGTCTGCGAATGTGAATCAGTGAATGATTTCTATGCGGTCATGCGCAAACGTGAGACGACGGTAAGGTCATTGTGACACCGGCAATTGTAAGAAGGTCACGGCGAGCATCTGTGTTGAAAAGTTCTGCTAAATTCTAATCTTCATCTAAATTGGGTCACCCAGACCGGATTTTTCACATCAAACCAGAATCTTATACATTTTCAAACCACAACATTTTTTGTTGTTGTTATAGTTTAAAATATACTAAAACTCATGAAAATCTTATGAATTCATTGAGATACTCATTCTTCTTAAAATCAAACGATATCCATATTAGCTGAATCTGTACGGACAAGATGTTCGAGTTCACACAAAATTTACAAACAAATTTTATTACCAAAAAACCCCTCTGTTAAGAATGTCACCATCTGATCTAGAACACATGAAGGAGAGTTCTTGGTAAGGCCAAGATCTTCATAATGTCCTTCGATGAAGTAGACTAGAAGATAGCCGGCAAAACAAACGATCTTTTTTGGATTTTTCTTTAGCTTTTAAGTTTTAAATTTTATCTTTAATTAAAACTAATTAATCAAAAATTATTCTACAATTGAGTAAAGCCAAGAGGATGGCGATATAAATCGTTGAAAGCTCGGTGAACCCAAAAAAGTCCACTTCATCACAATACGACCTTATGAAGAAGTCAGGTCGATAAAAGCTCCAACTTTAACAAGGAGTATTCGGACCTGGAAGAAAATACTCGGAACCCATGGGAAAATACACCTGTATGTTCCAGGCTGAAGTGTAGGCGATTGAGAGATGTACCAAGTTCGATCTGAACAAGGGTACAAAAACATGAATAGCTATCATGTCAGATAGCCAAGAGGCCATCAAAGTAATAAGTTCAAACACCAATTTGGATTCCAAACAAGATATTCAACAATAGATCAACTTCACCGAGTAATGGGCGTAATAGAAAAATCACTCGAAGAAAAACAAATTTGTTTTGCTATCTTCCTTGATGTCTCATAAGCTTTTGACATCTGGCATAAAGGATTCATTAGTAAATTAAAAGGGATGCTACCAAAGCAGTATGTTTTGTGCATGTAGATATTATCAGTTCCGACCTAACTGAGACATTTTAGAGGCAAACAAGAAGAAACCATATTCAGAATTAAAAACAATAAATGTAGGAGTGCCACAAGGTAGCGTATTAAGTCCAGTGCTTTACTTGTTATGCACCAATGATTTTCAGAAAATATATTAAGTAAAAACTGCACCGTTTGCAGATGACACAGCGGTGATATCAGTAGGACCGACCATCAATCATTAAAACAAAATCCATCAAAAGGCTTGTGATAAGATAAACAAATGAACAAAAAAATGGAGAATCAAGCTCAATCAGCATAAATCAGTACATATAAATTTTACGAATAAAAAAAGGACCATCCTCTTACAATCAAAGGAATTATTATATCACACAGCGATAGAGCTTAATATCTGGGAATGACCTTAGATGCCAAGCTGAGATGGAAACAGCGTGTGAAGAAAAAAAAGACACAAGTAGGTTTAAGGTATAGACAACTATACTAGTTGATAGGACACTGCTCCAACTTTATTATACAAAATAAAATATTATACAGAAAGTATAGTATTCAACTATGAAGTTGTACCAAACACATTAATATCCAAATTATGCAAACACCCAAAATAAAATCTTACATAACATGGTCAATGCACCTTGTTACATAAGAAATAATGACTTACGTAGAGATCTAAGACCCCTGAGGTCACGGCAGAAATACAAAGATTTGCCGCCAAACACTAGTCTCGCCTGAGCCAGCACGAGAATGTGTAAGCGACCAAACTCCTACATAATCGTAACACCATCAGAAGGTAAAAAAGAATAAAGCCATATGAACAGTGCAGTTAAAATTTTTTTGAATAGTGGCACACCAAGCTTTAAAAAAAAGTGCAAGTGAAGCTGTTGCTGTGTGGTCCCGTTGGAGTGGCGCTCTCCTCCTGTTAGTAGTTTCCCATTACCTCAGGTAAAGATTGGTCTATTGTGGAACCCCTACGATTTTAAACATGCAAACATGAAAGTGCACTTTTTCCTACAAAACTAAGCACTTTCCTTGGTGCCTCTTTGTGCCACTATCTAGATGTGAAAATTAGCTTACCAAAGAAACTATTCATTAATGCACATGTGAAATAACATAAATAAACCTTATGTTATTTAACAGAGTTGAACTTATCAGTACTTATATGAAACATAAATTTTTACATGCATGTTTTTTCCTGACACTAACACTTTTGTGGTTATATTAATATAAATCTAAACTTACATAATTTGTCCACAAATCATATTATGTTATGAACAATTGGACAATTATCAATATGAAAACAACATAATTAAAACTAAATTGTAAAAAATGGATTATGTATAAGAATGAAATTTCTTGTATGTACATATTGTCAATTAGTGATAATTGAGTATTTTATAAGAAGCCAATACTGTCAAACTGAATTTAATCATTAAAGAACATGAAAAAATACATTCCAAACATTTGCATTATTATTTTGCAAGATAACGGTTTTAATGAAAAATAAATATCTTTGCAATTATGGCTGTTTAAATTTTGTCTTGAGTTAAGGTGTTACGAGTAATGTAAAGCACTGATAAAAATTGTTATCTCACCTTGCTGCATTGTTGTAATATATTGTTAGTTAAACAGAAATATGAAAGGAAACAATATGATGTAAAAAATTTTATTTTATTTTAAAGCTCAAAGGACGTTAATAAAATAATAGTGCAATGTCATATGGATTTAAAGTAGTCTCCTTTCTTATATCCATTATGCCAATTTTAGTAAGTTAATTAATAATTTATGTGCTTATTAATTTTAAATCTTGAAACTTTCTGCATGTTTTCATAAATAATTCTTTACTAAATGTTCACAGTATGACAAAGAAAAGTATCAAAACTTTCCTAATGTTGTTTAGTTCTACTAAAATTGTCAAGGACTTTTATTTTATTTTTCAATGTGATAAAATAATAACATTAAAACGAAGAAAATTGTACATATAATTAAACATTTATATTTTGTTTAAACTACTTTCAGGGGCAAAATCAAGACTACATCATAAAAGGTAAGTTAAAAATGTGTAGTTTTATTCATCAATTTAAACATCAAATAAATGGTTAAGGTGGTGCTGATCATCCTTGCTACCGTTCTTGTTATGAGTCTGCAACCCCTATGCACTGCGTCTACAATTTCACGATTACTAAACACTCAACTATGAGTCTTGACTGTGGAAAATGTCCGTTTGTCAGAGAGGATTGTTTAAAACCGAGATGTATCACAGGAGGAGGACTTGTCCGTACTGTAATCACAGTTAATACCATGATCCCCGGGCCTCAAATACTGGTAAAGATTTACATAATAGATTACTGTACACATTTTAATAAAACCGATTTATTAAAAGGTATGTGAAAAAGACATAGTCACAGTAAATGTAAAGAATAATTTGAGAAATGAAGCGGTGACGATTCATTGGCATGGTATTCATCACAAACAAACGCCTTTTATGGATGGAGTACCATGGATCACACAACTTCCTATTGCTCCTTATACGACATTTACTTATAATTTTACTGCCGAGCCACACGGAACACATTTCTGGCATGGACATTCTGGTAATTATTTTTTAAAAAAATCATTCTCTCTCAAAAAAACTGCAAAATCTTTGTCCTACTTTATACGTTTTTAGTCCAACTTCTGTTTTAGTTTCTTTCCTTTAGCAACAAATAAATACTGTAAATGATTAATTGTTCTTCGTAATGAACACATATTTTAACAAACATAAATACTTGAAAAAGAAAACAAGAGTAAAAAGTAGAAATAAAATAAATATTTTTTTAATGTAGTTCATTTGGAACAATTACCAATTATATTATTTTTGAATTTTTAAAATTTGTTGTACAATTGTAGCATGATTGCCTCCAATCTTCTTAACCTTCCTAGACTCATAGTTTTGTCTATCAAACCTGTTTCAACATTTTGCCATCTTCATTGTGTGATCTTTCCAACTTTAATAAAACCGTTCTTTTTTTTTTTTTTTTTTGACTGGGGCTTTCGACATCTAGGTCATTTCAGCCCACAACTAAGTCTATATTCTATTTACCCTTTCAAACACTACATTCATATAAATAAATACATCCTTACAGTACACTCATTCCGTTTGGTCAGTGGAGTACTCAATATTCCTCCACCGACCTATACTCAAACTAATCTAGATTGGGGTCGATGGAGTACTTTTATAAATATTCCGCCATCGACCCCGAACACATTCTCTTACGCTCTCAACGTTCGAGGGACGATGATGACGTTATATTTCACCCTCACCCCTCGCCATTCACGCTAATAAATACATGCACTCAGTCAAAGCATATAGACACAACACATAAGACATATTATATACAATAAAAAATCCTAATTTCCCCTAAACAGAAGAACAGGGGACTCTGAAACTCGCTACCGTGTTTGAGAACTCTTCTTAAGTCCAGTGGCATGCCTACACGCTCTCTGTATGGAGCAAAAGCATGACATGCCTCTATTATGTGGGACACATCACAGACTATTGAAGATGGCAAAATGGTGAAATGCATAAACGGACAAAGTCAGCTAGGCAGACTAGGATTATCGAGGACAAGCAAGTTACAGCTTCATCATCTAACAGATATAACCACAATATTTAAAATTTTGCGTGGTATTATCTTCCACAAATGTTTTAGGGTTTCATGAGGCAGACGGTCTTTTTGGTTTATTCACTGTAGGAAACAAAGAACCAACAAAAAATGATAAATTGTATGATTATGATCTTCCGGAACATAGTATAATTATTTGGCATTGGTATGATCAGGTATTATCAATTAGCTTATTTTGAATTAAATTTTTTGTGTTTATTTATTAACTATTTTATAATACATTGGCAGCCGACGCAAGAAGTCCTTTTACCAATCCTCCAGAGAAACGAGTCGGTTTTTGGATACGGATTCCTTATAAATGGAAAAGCTTCTTTTAAGAAATACACGCAGAAAGAGAGATTAGGACAAATATTTACCACGCCTAAAGAGGTTTTTAGGGTTAAAAAAGTATGTTTTATAGCACATTAATTAATAAAAACATTAGTTCATATTACACAATATAAAATAAATTATTCAGGGGTTTAGATATAGATTTAGAGTTGTTTACAACGCTGCAATTTATTGCCCCATCCAGCTCTCTATAGATGATCATAAATTAATAATGATAGCAGGCGATACAACCCATTTTGAGGCAGTTGAAGGTATAAGCAAAGCGTTGTTGTATTGTCATATATCATAATTATTTATAACAGTTGACAGCTTTATGCTCGGAGCTGGTGATCGATTTGACTTTATACTGAATGCTACAGCAAAATCAGACTGTTATTGGATGAGAATGCGAGCGTTTGGAGACTGCGATGAAAACAAATCAAGTGTACACGCTGAAGCGTTGCTGTGCTACGATAATGTTACAATAAACGATCAGAAAGAGCATAGCTACGAAGAAGCAAATCGACCCGGTGTGGTAAGTACTGTCACAAACTCATTATTTTAATATCGAGTTAAATAATTGATTTTATTGTTAATAGATTCTTAACCCTGCTGAAATCGCTACTCGCAATTACAATGAAAATAAATTGATTAAATTAGTAGATTTGAACAATTTGGAGATTGATAATTTAAAAAATTATTCCAGGGTGCCGAATGAAACCATCTTCATTCAAATTCATTCCAGACCTTATGGTAACTAGGAAAATATAATTTATACATTCACAACGAACAGAATGTACAATATATGGTTCTATTGTAGAAATTTTCTGTCAATAGATTTTTTTTAAATTTGTTATTGGAAAATAAATACAATATCATATATTCGTTACAGAAAATATTCCATATCCTGGGCCATGGCATCAATTTGACAATGTATCGTTTAGATTTCCTGGTGAAAATTTCTTGAAAGGCCAACTGAATACAAATACATTCTGTTCTGCCACAACAAAAAATGAAACCTGTTTAGATGAATTCTGTTCATGTACATACTTAAAGGAGATTGAACAAGGAAGTTTAGTGGAAGTGGTTCTTGTTGACATAAGTATTGATCAATAGATTTGTTTTGTTTTTTAAAATATATATATGTATAAAAACTTGAATTTTTTCAAAGGTTATAATAGAAATCAGGATCATCCGGTGCATTTACATGGAAATAATTTCTTCATTATAGCCATGGGCACTAATAAAACAATTGAAGAGTTGAAGAATCAAAATGAACAAGGTTTAATCAACAAGAAGCTGAAATTCGCCCCAGCAAGAGATTCCATCTCTGTACCAAACCGAGGATACGCCATAATTAGATTTATAGCTAATAACATCGGTTTGCTAAATTTGAAAATATTTCAGTGATTTCATATTGGACTAATATATTTAATTGTTCATTTTAGGCTATTGGATGTTTCATTGCCATTTAACAAATCATATGGAAATGGGAATGGCAATGATTTTTCAAGTGGGGACAAAAAAAGAAATATTATCAAAGTGTCGTTCGTATCCTGAACAATGCAAAGATTGGTATAAAAGCTCCTCAATGACTTTACAAGTTCCTTTACTACTTTATTTCTGTATTATTTTGTTCAATGTCCTATTGAGATGTTAAAAAATAAAATTACATCATCATTTACCATAGAACTTCGAATTCTTTTTCACTTTATAAATAAGGCAGTAGAATAAATTATTGAATAGCATTACATTTAACACTTAATCCTAAAAAGACTCAGTTTTATTTAATTTATAATTTGATCCTTACCGATCATCTTGCTCCCTTCCTTGCTGGGTTCATGTGAGATGCGTTTCGGCATTTTGCCATGATCACGGGGATGAGGATAGGCAGACAAGATGATCGGTAATTATCAAATTATAGGTTCACCACCTCCCAGTCCACAAGAGGAAAAAGTCACGTTTTATTTAATTTATAATTGTTTGAAGAGGAATTGATTTCAATAATAATAATTAAGTTTTGGTGATAACTAATAATAGCCAATTATAGTAATTAAATGTTTGTATATTAACTTATCAGAATAAGATGTTTTTGAGGAAAATTGTAATGCAAGACCACTAAATATTTAAATGTTTAAAAACAATAATTTGTGAAATAATTAAGACATAAATCATTTACAATTTTCTTTTATGACAGGTGAACATTTAGAGTATATAATAAAATCTACATGATTGATGTGGAAAAATCTAAACAAGAGAGTCAAATACTGCCAAAACAAGTACATATTGAATACAGAATGATGAAAATCCACCCCTAAAAATTTATTATTGATTTAAGATTGTAAAATTTTATTGTTATTTTTCATTATTGTCTGTTCAGATCAAGCAAAGTAATAAATATTCCAATTGTGTTGAAGGTCTTTTACTAAGTTTACTTAATAGTGAATAATATATTAAACAATTTTAGGGGAAATAATTACATAAATTTTATGACTATAGTTCATAATGAATATGGCATTCCACCCCTAAAAATTTATTATTGTAAACTTTCATTATTATTTTTCATTATTGTGTGTTCAGATCAAGCAAAGTAATAAATATACCAATTGTGCGAATAAAAACTATTGTAGAAGGTATTTTGGTAAGTTGACTTAGTAGAGAAAAAATTAAATAATTTCAGGAAAATCATTAAATCAGTTTTATGACTAAAGTTCATAATGAATATAGAAGGGTAAAATTCCACCCCTCAAAATTTATTATTCATTTAAAATTGTAAACTTTCATTATTATTTTTCATTATTGTCTGTTCAGATCAAGCAAAGTAATAAATATACCAATTGTGCAAATAAAAACTATTGTAGAAGGTATTTCGCTAAGTTGACTTAGTAGAGAAAAAAATTAAATAATTTCAGGAAAAATTATTAAATAAATTTTATGACTTTATAGTTCATAATGAATATGGCAAGGTGAAATTCCATCCCTAAAAATTTATTATTGATTTAAAATTGTAAACTTTCATTATTATTTTTCATTATTGTCTGTTCAGATCAAGCAAAGTAATAAATATGCCAATGATCAAATAAATTCAACGAATGTAGAAGGTATTTTGGTAAGTTTACTTAGTAGAGAAAAAAATTAAATAATTTTAGGAAAAATAAAATAAATTTTATATCTTTAGACTTCATATTGAATGCAGAAGAGTGAAAATCCACTCCTAAACATTTATTATTGATTTAAAATTTCATTATTATTTTTCATTATTGTCTGTTCAGATAAAGCGAAGTAATAAATTTTCCAATTGTGCAAATAAATTGAACTATTGTAGAAGGTATTTCGCTAAGTTTACTTAGTAGAGAAAAAAAAATTAAACAATTTCAGGAAAATAATTAAATCAGTTTTATGACTAAAGTAAATAATGAATATAGAAGGTAAAATTCCACCCCTAAAAATTTATTATTGATTTAAAATTGTAAAATTTCATTATTATTTTTCATTATCGTCTTACAGAAAACAAAATAATAAATGGGACGTTTTGAATAAAATATAGTTTATTGACAACTTGAGTAAAAACGGCTGAAGTGGTGGGGAGCGATCTGTCAGTTTGCCTTTGCACTTTGCAGTTCGGCTGCAAAGATACCTGCTGGCTGCTAGGTTCGGCCGTGGCCTGATAACAGCTGTCTGCGTATTAACCGTGATTCACAAAATGGGCTTAGTGACTACTTCGTCTGACAACCGTCTTGACAACTATTGAATAATATATTTCAACAATAAATGCCCTGAGCACATCGACAGAAATGGACAGCTCGATAGCTTTAATCTTTTTTCTATTGCTTGTTAATAATTTTTTCCATGTAAGTACAACAAACTGTCGACTATTACTTTAATCATTCATTTGTGAAGATTTATGACATATTGTTATTGTTTATTATCCGTTGAATTTTCTCTTTTGTAGGTTAATGCCAAGTATTGCAAATTCGAACATGAAGGGACCTTCAAATATTATATGTGAGTACAGTGCCTGTGGCTTCCTGCCAGTTTAGTTTTACATTTTGTTAACTAAAGACAGATAATTTTGAACGCCGTAAATTAAAATAGTACAGGTGGTTCCTTTGGCGTGAGTTATAAAATTTAACACAGCTTAAATTGTTAATTTCAAAACAGCTTATTTGTGTACGAATTTATTTTATTTTATTACAATAGGTTTTTTTTATTTATTTTAAAGTCGACCTCAACAGGTTATATTTCACATTAATACTCTTAAATCACCAAATTTTACTACAGTGTAGCCGAACAGCCCTGGGATTGGCAGCGAATCCAACACACCTCTGGACACTTCCCTTTACTGCAGAATTCATCATATTTGTATTTTACTTGTTGTTGCACAGATCGTATGAGGGGTGTGCGTGTCATTGCCAACATCTACACCCCTCCAGATATGGGGTTCCTATGGTGACCCTAGGCTAGTTAGTCACACCCCTGCCACCAGCGCACCCCAAGAAGCTCAATCCACCCACTCCTTTGATCCTGTTCCTTCACCCAGTGTTGGGCTCTACCAGGATTGTGTTCTTTCTTCACTGTTTTAATCTTTCCATTAGCCCTAGCAGTCCTGTCTTCTCATCCCAGGGTTAGCCGTGGTCTATGCCGCGCCCAGGATGGCTCACGTCTACCCCATACCCAGCTGCTAGAATAATCTAGATTCTGACCAGTGGCAACAGATTGTCTATATTTCTCCAAGAACCTCCAACAATTAGCTGGCCAGGCAGTGTTGTCTTTGGCCTTTTCCCAGTTAACACAAAACCCGATTACATGCCTTACTCTTACCAACACACTACGTTTAGCAAAAAGAAGGTGATTCTGCAGTCATCAAAGAATGTGATTCACACTAGCCTGCGGTGTCCTATTCTCAGCCAAGTCAATATTGTTTTTTTCTGTTTGGTTAATGACGGGGTCGGCTTTGCCGTGCGTTGTGAGGGATCCCTCTCCCAGGCATGGCTAGGATGAAATTACCGCCATATTGTTCACGCTGAGAGAACTAGAAAAAAAATGTATGAAACTAAATTTGTGATATGTACTGATTCTCTTGACACGATCTCAGCATTAAAAAATAAATTCTTCACTGAACCACTGACACAAGCCATACATGTGTGGGCAAACTGGGTCGAATCATAAGGTTGTATTCGCCTGGATCCCGGGTCATGTGGGTATCCAGGGCAATGAGTATGCAGACAAGGCTGTGAAAAGAGTTCAAAATTCAACTCATCAAATTTTTCACTGTAGTCATGAATATAGACACTTTAATTTTTAAGAAGTGAGTTTGAGTAGTAAAATTTAAAAAGCACATAAAAAAAGAGAGAAAAAAGGAATAAGAAGAAAAAATGAATGAACAATCAATACACATGACAAAAAAAAAAAAAAAAAAAAAAAAAAAAAAAGAAAGAGCAGGATTGTAATCAATAGTTAGTTGTACCAGATTGTAATAAATGTATAGTGTGGATCCCAGCAAGGAGGCTGACCAAAATTATCGATAATGATCAAATTTTAGCGTTTATTTAGTTTGCAGTTGATATTGCAAATAATGCTCTTTTTTATTTATTATAAAATTAAAAGATAATATGGTTTTAAGTGGCAAAAGTCCTTTCATTTCTTGGAAAAATCTTGTTTGATTGAATTCGATGTAGAGCCAGGTCGATTAGAATGACCCACCAATGTTTTGTGTATCTCGTTGCAGTTGTCCATTGTCTTATTTGATTATTTAGTTTTTGTCTTTCACAAATAATATTTTAAACATTTCCTCTCATGATTTTTGTTTTCAGGTGTCCCAGAAATGAGTACTGCTGTAGTGCTGGCTGCTGTATTTCTCCAACCTTCCAGTTTTACCAGTTGTGGTATTATTGGTAAGATTGATAACAAATATTTCAAGTTGTTCAATCCAATAGTCTGCAACAATTATCCTTGTGTCAAAAAGTGCAAAATATACATCATTGTACACATTCTGAACAGATGTCTTTAGTGTAAGCCCAGCACATCAAATCGTTAAACCTGACAGTAATTTTAGGCTGTTATATCCACAGTAGGAAATTTACAACCAGCTGGCAAACTAATATATTTTAGGCAATTCCAAATATTATTCTGAATATTGGTGAATTGGCTTTCCTTTTCAATTAATATTCATATTTCAGCCTCTCACATTTAGAATGATTCCTTCAGCTCAAATCTCAATAATTGGCACACAGTGAAACTTCCTTTAACGGACACCTTTAAAAAGCATGCACTTCCCTTGAACAGACAAATTCTGATTCCCAATAGCAGATGAGGTATTTTTCCTTTTCGCGACGAAGCGCCTGGATGAATGAATCTTTAAAAACAGCTAAGTCCTCTCTGAAATCACTCGAAATAAAACCAGCTGTGTTTGCCTTTACAGTGTGTGTGTACTTAAAGTTAGCGAACACACAATATGACACATTAAAACAAAAACAAACTTGCAAAAACTCATGTTCGAAAAGCAAGCAGTCTTGTTTCTGTTTTGTCTTTGAAAATTAAATATCAATTAAATAAAACTTAAAATACCATTAAATCACTTTATAGGCTTCGAAGGCCTAGTATTTATTCGATTTTTAACTTATTTGTTTTAATAATAAATAAATGAAAGTATATTTTGAAAATGTCAAAAAATTACAACACATTTTAAAGTTGTTTTATTTTATATGATTTATACAGTTAAATAATACTGATACAGTGAAACTTCCCTTAATGGACACCTTCCTTGAACAGACAAATTTGATTCCTCACCATTCCTCGTTAGTTTCTTCACATTAAAATCTTCTAATATATAAATAATAACAGGGCAGACAGCAGCCTCCAGAAAATCCATATTTTCTGAGAAATGCTGTTTCCCCTGTGTGTTTTGTTAACCTTCAAATATTTTTCCAGTATTGCTAGATTTTGATTATGCCATTTGCAAACATGTTTATGGACTTCTTCAGTGTATTTCACACTTAAAAAAAAAATTAATAATTAAAGTGAAAAACTAAGTTTGCGAGACTTGGCTGCAAAGTTTTCCACCAGAAAGACCCACGCAGGTGAAATTCTAAAGTATAAAAAGTCACTCTTAGATCAATTTTACAAACACAGAAATTAACAATTCTGCAGATTTTTTCTTAAAACGTCTGGCTTGGTCATACACGTATGACATGTATTTGAATGGTTTTGCCGTGCATGGGATTGTAAAATACCACAGCCAAATGGATTTAAAGCATCTTCACACTGACACGACACACTTAGAATAAGATGACTTTTAAATTAGTGTAGCAAAGGACTGAGGTTGTATAAAACTGGCTGGAAAAACTTGAACAATATTGCACCAACTTTGAACCCAAAAACATTTTTAATTGCGATGAGGCTATCTTATTTCTTAGAGCACTTCTAGATAAATTGTACAGTTAAAAAATAGCATTGTCAAGGAGGAAAAGTTTCAAAGGAGTGTTTAACTTCGCTCTTATGCAAAAGTATGCTCGGTGATTTGAAAAACCTGGTTATATGAAAGGCTTAAAAACCTCTGAATTTCAAAGGTTTCGATATCTTGTAATCCCCATTGTGGCCCATTTTGTATCTACACTACTGAATATTTTTTCACTCTTATCCCAAAAGCGGAAATTTCTGTATAGCAAACAATATTTCATTCCTCAAGAGTATCTGTCACAATGAATTTTCACTGTATATACTAAATTTTATAATAAAACTATATCCAGGCTCTTCCTTCCATACTTAAATTCAGGATAACCTCGGATGAATGAATAGTCCACTTTAGCGTACACATTGAGAAGGAAAAGAGAAAAAGTCCAGATTCGACACTTGAGCAATTTAAGATTGTATCCATATTAATTTTCATTTATTAAAAATTTATTTCTAGTGTGAAAGCTGTTATATTTTATCTTTACATTTATATTTCCAAGTTGATCCTTTTAGTTTAGCCCTTAAGGCAAATATAATTAATATTTCGTGTATCAAATGGAGAAGTATTATTTTGTTCAGCTGGAAAACAAAAATTTAATTTTTATTTGTTTTATCTTGCAAGAGTGTTGTGGTGTTTTGTAATGTCACATTAACATAAAACAATATGTGGTGGTTAGTGACTGTTAATCGATAATTATTCAGAAATCGTGAGATGCGGTCTGGTGTGATGTAGGGCACTCTCAACACGACACACAAGAATGGCACAATTGCGCAGAAAACGAACACTTTGAGCCCTGAAGATGATCTCAATAAAGGTAGAAACGTTGGCACAATAAAGAAAATGTTTTTCTGAAATCTACATCACACCCGACCGCATCTCACGATTTCTGAATAATAAAACAATATGGAAATGTGTGCCCTCATTCGTACTTTTTGAGTTCCCAAAAAATAAAATCCCTTTGGTTCAAGGTAAGAGCCGCTTCCTTTCTACACTTGGGACATTTTTAGTACATTTGCTTATAGAACTGTTTTTAACTGAGAGATTCATTATAATTTTTATTACTTTTTTTTAGGCTCATGGTCATCTTCATGTTCGTGGTTTGCTCAGGTGGCCAGTGGTGGTATAGATACTGGATGAATGAAAGGTACGTCACAGAATTGAGGACAGCCATGCCTCATCATCATCACCACCACCATCACCATCAGCAGATTAGAAGTCACCATATTGTAAATCAGCCTGCTCAAAGCAACACTCCTGCTCCAGGTTCTGGATCAACAAGAGTGGCTTACCACCCTCAAACACAGGCGGTTTACTTAGACACTTTATGGAAACCATCTACTTATGGCAATGGTAATTTTTTCAACATACTTATTGAAACAATTTTGTCAAAATAATTGTTTACTTTTACTGGTTTATAAAATGTTATAAGGGTGAGCGAAAAAAATTACTTTTAATAGTCGAATCCTTATCAAATAAATTAACCATCATACTCTGTTTTGAAGATTGATGATGTCAGGCCACTGTAAAAATAACAAAAAATTTTATTGTGGCCTGACATCATCAACCTCTGAAACAGTGTATTAAAGCTGAGGCCCATAAGTGTCGTCGGTGACCGCAACAGTTTAGGCGTTGACACGGCGCTCATCACTGTAAGGTGAAGGTCCCGGGTTCGAATCCAGCAGCCCTGCATTCTAGCCCGACATACTTACAAATGTATTTTTTTCTTCAAAAACACCGGCACCCTGAGGGTTTATATGACATGATCTCTGCTGTTGCAAACCCTTGTTTGCAAAAAAAAAAAAAAAAACCTGAGGCCCACAACAACCATCATATATGATCGATTTAGAAGTTAGCTTTAAATTTGTCATTTTTTTCTGCTGTAGCCCTTTAAAATTTGTCATTAGAGTACAGATTAGCTAAATAACACTCACAATCCACTAATTTTTTGTTAATAGGACGAGTAATTTTACCTTCAAACGGTCCACCTCCTTCATACAGTGCTAGTACACAGGCACCTTTTAGCGGGCCTAGTTCAAGCATATCAGGAAATGCGGGCTTTCCATCGCAATCTGACAGTCCAAAGCCCTCGCCTCCTTACTCTCAGATTTATGGACCTCCGCCGAGTTACGAATCTGTTGTTGGACTCTCCTCAATTGGAACAGAAGTAGTTCAACAGCCTAGAGTTCTAGAACAGCAGCACAGTTCGCAAAGTCCAGCGACCCAAAATCAACAGCCACCTGTATCCCAACAGCCATCAGATCAGGTGTAAAGAGTATTAAGAAAGGAATTTATATTTTTAATTCAACTGACGTGTCTAATAATAATTTCCAATTTATCGAGACACTAGAATGTTACAAAGCAGTGAAAAAGTGCTCCAAAGTCAGAGGTATTTTATTTATTAAATTTTATTCTATTTAAGTTGTTGTTGATGTTATTATTATTATTGTAGACTGTAGAGTTCAATATATGTGTACATGTTGTGATCTCATAATAATAAGAGGAGGAACTATTGAATGGTCTGAAATGACTTTAGCCACTTAAATCCCTGTTAGGTTTTTTTATGTTTGAGTCAGGAAGACGGAATTAAATTATGGAAAGCTCTCAAGGTTGCAATTAGAAAAGGAAACGTTACCCATCATTCTTATTACTAATCGTGGAAAAAGCTGGTGGACGGTCTAAGCAGCCACACCACAAATCCACTCATTTCCTCAACATCATTTCATTGTAGCGACTGCTACAATCCTTTTTAATCAGTAAAAAATTGCATTGCGTGCAATATCTAAGTACATTCCAGTAAAGGGCCTGCTTGTTAGGTTCCTTCACATAATTCTTGCTTAAAGGAAACAAGAGGTTGTCAAACATGAATTACCCGTTTTCTATTTGTCATTTCTGGAAATAAACTAATGCTAAAATAAAAGCCAAAATACTGTGATCTATGTCACAAAATTATATATGGATTGACAACCATATTATTTTTATTGTTGTGTTGTTAAATATAGGTAACATTAAGGGATGTGCCATGCATTAATATTTTTGTGCGTGTTTATCTGGAATGACAATTTACATTTGAACTGTATAAGTTACAATTTTCAAGACATAATCGTTTTGGAAATTTTTTATTTATTGTCTTAAATAATTATGTTCTGCATTAGTAGAACTGTCGCTAAACACAGTTTTAATAACAAACGTTTGTTAATTTCTCTTTTCAAATGCAATTTTATCCTTGCTCACATCATTTTAAAACCATATCGGTATTATCTTATGTTTTAATTTCATGTATTTAAATGCTTCTGTTGTCTGCCGAGAATAATATCTCTTGCAAAACCAAAAAAAGTCTCACATTTAAAAACAATTATTAATCACACAAGCAAACTTGAAAGTCAGCCAGAGGAGAAATATCTTTGAGAATTTTGCGTAGAATAAATTTCAATTATTTTCTCACTTTAAAACTGGTGTAATTATAACATTTATAATAAACTACCTTAGTTTACAACTGCTTGTAGCACAAAACCGAAATTCACGAATTGATGAAAATCTTACAATAATATTTAAGATTTATTGGTGTGAGGCTTTTTTCTCTATGGAAAGTAAGTGCTAAATGTATTTACAATTATTGTCCTGACAACTGTTCAAATGTGACAGTAACAAAATTCAGATAAGAATCTTTGGAGGGAAAAGCAAACATGCTAATTATTTCATTAACAACTAACATTAGAAATCTATAAAATGGCCTAAATGGATAAAAATAAAATGAAAGACTGATATTTCCTTCTTATTAAAGAGGGAAACTGAAAACCTAACAGAACATGAGCATATGATAATATTTAACTTCTTTCACAAATCTTTCAATTAAACGAATGAGAATGTGTTTTTGACAAACCATTCAACTGTAGACTTTGCTCTGATGAAGAAAGGATGTCTCATTTTGCTTTGTTAATTATTACCATTTATTTGTTTTGTTTTTAAAATCTATTATTTTTATTTATTAGGAAAAGAATCCTTGTATGTAGAGTATTTAGCTTATTTTTTAGAGTATTAAGCTTATTTTTTAGTGGCTGTTAACATTTATAATTTTAAACTCTCTTAAACTGACACTTTATGGAAAATTGGGACTGAATTAATATTTGTTTAATTATTAATTAAAGTTGACATTTTATACAATCAAAAATAAAAATTTGCAAGTTTTGTACCAAGCCGAAATAAGTTATGCCCAAGGTGTCTATTGCAGGATATTTTAGTCCCAATTAAATTGTGCAATTTTTTTAATTGGTAAAATTGTAGCAATATCATAAAATAAGACCATTTACGTTTATTTAGTAGAGCTCAAGTAGATATTGATTATTACCTGAAGTGCCTCCCTTGTATTGAAAATAATTTTTGAAAAAAGTCAAAAAGTAAAAGAACTATTCTACAGTATTCATATTATTTGTGTAATTTTTAAAATTATTTTGTTGTCTTTTTACCTTTTATTCTAAAGACAATTTTACAGGATGTTAAAAACATGTTCCAAAACAGGTTTTTATGTATTGAACATCTTCTAAACATTGATTTTTTCCAGAAATTATTAAGTATTTTTTGACAGGCTCTTTAAAAGTTATACAGTTAGTATCAAGTTGTCATTCCTTTGTGTACCTGCTATTATTTATAAATATTGTTATAAGCAACAGTTGTAATAATTATATATAATTTTGCTATTTTTAAATTTGAATTTGTGCAATTTACTTTAACACATTAAAAATAGTTTAATTAATTTCTATTAAGGCTTGATTTGTATTTGGTTGGTATACAGTCAATTTTTATTATATTTAAATCCTTTAGTAAAAATTTTTATCAGCTTGTGCAATAGACCAGTACAAAGAGGAACTTAAAGAAAAAAAAAAATTTTAGTAACATGAAGTAAAACTTTTCTTTTGTTTAAAATATTACACTGTTATTATACTAATTTCTCTTTGCATGTAAAAAAATGAAGCTTCATTTTTAAGGCTTTAAATAAATTAAAAAGGTACGTAAAAGCTCATGTTTACATTCTTAAAAGGGATTTTAGTGAGTAAAATTTATAAATTGATTGGTGTAAAAAATGTGAGCATAGCAGTTTTTGTTTTGTTATTAATAGATTTCTTTTAATCAAAAATTTTTTTTATATGGTTATTTGCAGTTTATATCAAAAGTTCTTTAGAAAATAAAGAAAATGTTCGATCTCTGTGTATTGTCAGAGGTGGTGGCCAGCCATTAAAACAAAATGTTTATATATGCTAAGCCTCGTTGACAACGGCTAAATGCTGCCAAGCATATAAATTCAAGTTACAGAATGTAACAACTCAATTCGTTAAATGTACTCCAATTGAGGATTTTGTTTCTTACTCTGACAATAGTCAGAATAGGCAAATTCTCCAAACCAAAAAAAATATTATTTTATATTTGTATGATAAAAAAAAAAAAAGTGTGAATTTGTAATCAAAAAGTAAAATATTTCTTTGTTAACTGTTGAATTTGCAACTATTGGTGTTAAATTATTACTGTATCAAAAAAAAATAAAACAATAACTATTTCTCTATGTTCTAGGTAGAAAATTATACTATTTCAAAGGAATAGTACCTGGGGAATGATTTTAAATTTTCTCTAATATTCTCACCAAATCGTTTTCTCTTTTCTGCTGTACAATTGCTTTGATTGCACTTATATGGAATGATTGAACTTTCGTTCATGTATAAAAATAAATAAGTTATATTATTTTTTATTGTTCTATGTATGTATAAAAAGGGTGTAAAAAAAAAGATGAAAAATTAAATATATACTTTTTAATTACAATGTTTTCCTTTTTTCCCCGATAATTCTTGGATGCAAAAAAAATAATATCAACGATTCGTAATACGAGCAAAAAATATTTACAAAATAAACATAAATATTTATGGTCTTATGAATTTGTTGGAGTGTATTCAACACATCTTGATGGATCCGTGGGGAAAAGATGTTGGCATTTTGTCATCAGTCGTTTCAATCCTTGTATGTATTTTCTTTGTGTTTCATCATTCAACACGTGCGCTACATTCTTTGAAAAGATTTTTTCCCTCCCTGTTCTAGCGTGAATACCGACCATAGTGACACCAATGGGCCAAGGAGCGTTGCCGATTGCCATTTGTAAATATGCATCACTCGCCTGAAATGTTAATTTATTTATTTCAAGAAATAGAGAAAAAAAAAGTTTGTAAACCTTACCATGATATAATTTCTGTCCAATAGATGTCTTACGATTTCTGTTAAACTGTCCAGAATATCTTCAGGGAGTGTTTTATTTTTCAGCTTGTTCAATAATGGCTTTAAATACTGTTGTGTCTGGGTGTATGTTGCAAGGGCCATTTTTCCTTTAGTGGTAATTTTCTCTGCCTCACTCCTTTTATTCAGCTCTTCACCCCACAAACGTATCATAAGCTAAGTAAAAAAAAATTGATTAAATAAAATAGATTAGGGAAAAAAAATAGCTCATTTACCTGAAGGAAATGTATAATAATGTCCATATCATATTTAGCATCTCCTCTTCCAAGTTTAACAGCCATTTGCTGAACTTCTTCATAGGTTATTGGCTTTTCCTGTTTTTTCCTGTTATCAACATCTGCTGAATCATCAGCTTGCGTTTTTAATAATTCATCCAAATATGCCTGATCCACTTTTTCCATTGCCTCTTGAAAATCATTTCTGAAGCCCTAAAAATGTTGATTAAAGAATAAAAATAAATTTACAATTCTTGTAACAGACTGTAAGTGTAGAAACTAACTTTGTTCGGTTCTGGTTCAAGAATTTCACATTTTCTTAACCGTTTGAAAGCATCAAATTCGCTCTCTCCAAAAAGAAGGATAGGCTCTCCTCGTTCTCGTAACCTTTTTATTACTTCCTTTCTTGACAGGGCGGACTTATCGATTACATCCTCAACAGGGCATGATATACCTGGAATTATTTAATTTTATAAATAAGCACATAACACAAATAAAATAATAGCAATCAAATAACGAGTTGTGCCTGCATTAAACCTCATAAACATGAAAATGATACCTCAATGTTTTTCAGCACTTTCAAAAACAGCAATATGTGTTAATAAATTCTCGGAGAATGGAACATCTAGACCAAAATTTGGACTGAGATAAAACTTGACTATGTGTTGTGCCAACAAGTGGATTTTGAGTAGCTTCTTGTGTGTTGAGCTGATGACACTCGAATGAAGAGGTCAGTTGTGCCTCAGCTTTGTGACAGAGAACCATGACCGGAACAGTGACATATATGACTTTCGGCTGAGAGGACAGTTCCACCCATTATAGTTGATGTGAGGCTAATAGTTCTACTGACTTCAGTAAACATGCAAAACTTATGAGAGATGAATCAATTAAAGTTAATTGGCTATACTTGAGTATGATACATCTTGTTTATCTTTTTGGGGGTTTCAACAACAGAGGACATCAACCCCTTGGATTACAGTGTTTTCGAAAATAGCTTATTTGTATGTACTCTGGGTTTGAATTCAGGGACAGTGATGAGTGTTTAACACTAATCATTGTGACAACTGACACTAATGTTCTTTTTAAATCAAGGCATGAGAAGTAATTCCTGTCATACAGGAGGGGCTTTCCAATGGATGTTCCACACAAGAGGTCAAACCGCTTTACAATACATTTTTCTTACTTCAAAGACATGGGCTCTGTAGGGATTCGAGCCCAGAACCGCTAGCATGGCAAATACGAGTAGGTCACCTAGCCTCTGTAGTCCCCCCGATAATGATAATTTATTTATTGATTATGATTTTAGTGGTCAATTTACCAAGTTACTTCTTTCAATTAATTATTCTTTTTTATGTAAGGTTTTTGGTTGAGATAAAACACCTTACATAAAAAAAATAATAATTAATTGAAAGTTATTTATTTATTTTTAATTGTAAATTACAAGGAATGATGCTGATAATGTTTTCTTTTATTTTATTTTAATAAAATGTTTTGAAAGTTTACCAATTTGGTTTTATTTGGGTCAGGTCCCTATTTTTTATATTTATATTTATATTTATATTTATTTTTATTTATTTATTTATTTTTTAATTGTTTGAGTTTAGAAGGGTCCTTCAGGTCAACCACACTATGCAGGAGGCCTGGACCAATAAACTTGGGTAAACAACTGGACAGTACGAGGAATAAAACCCCAACAGACAGGTAATATAATACAAAGGGTATCATTAAGACCAATGGCTTGTATAGTATTTAATAAAAGAATTAGCTGCACACGAATACCAGAAATATGTTCCGAGACTTTGTTACAGCAATCCCTACAGGAAAGACTGCAGGCGGAGAAAGATGGTTAATGTGCTAAGTCTACTTCCAAAAAGAGAACTACTCAAGTTGTTGGGGATGCCATGGTAAGAGGCCTAGCATCTTGCCACAAAAAAGAATCCATCCTTAATGAGTCTAAAACCTGGTGGAACAATACCACAGATATGAGGCACACAAAGAAATTCATAGAAGGGCCATCCACAAGACTTACAAAGGATTTACTTGAGGACAACCTTAACAGAACCAGGATTCTGGTTGGACACCTGACAGGGCACTGCCGCCTAAGAAGGCATATGCACCGGATAGGAGTACAGACAGAAGGAACAAAAAGAAAGTGCAGATATTACCAGGAAAAAGAGGAGCGGGACACATCTTGTGTTTTTGTGAAGCTCTATGTGGGTGCAGATTCTTGCAACTAGAGGAGGAAAAGCCACAAGTAAGTTTTATGTGCATAAAGATTTGCAAGTCTACACTAAGGAGTTTGACCAAGACTATGGAGGTTGAGTGACCCGAAGCTGGCTAGTGAGTTATCAAAAACAGAAACCCCTGTGGCCACTTCTTTTACTCATATTTATTCTATGCCTTATATCTCTTACTTTCATATCGCAGGCCAATGTTAAACAAATATTGTTGTCGATTATTAGCCAAAATAAATCTCATGTATTTTCAACGTCAATTTTATGTTTAAAAAAATTGATATGCAGTCAATGACATGTTTTAAATTCACTAATTTCATGGTCCGCTTGATCAATTAATATATTACAATTAATTAACGTTTTTAGTTGAGATAAAAAAGTCAATGGCACGAGCGGGATTCGAACCCACGATCTTCGGCTAGATACGCCACTGCTCTACCACTTGATCTATCGTGACCTCGATCCACTCGGACACTAACTTCCCATCTCAACCCGCTCGTGCCATTGACTTTTTTATCTCAACTAAAAACCTTAATTAATTGACATGTTTTAACTTAATTTCCTATGCTGAAAGCAACTTGTTGACATTAATGTTTCACAGTAAACCAACGACCATACCGACACCACCCCATCTGATTTTTCCCCATGTCGTGTCAGTAGTTTCTACAGTCAAAATAACATAGAGAACATCATCTGAATAATGTAAAATGAACCAAATGTAATATATATGTTTCAACGAGATAAAATGTTACCAGATTTTGTCTCTTCCTCTTTCTCCTCTTTTGGTTTTTCTCCTCCATATTTTTCATAATATTCTTCCTTTTCCTTCTGAACTAATTCTGATCGTTTAAAATACTTCTTGGCCGGTTGCTGTAAGTTTTCAAATCGTTAAGAGAAAATTAGTTATGGTGTCATAGTTATAACGTACCAGAAGCTGTTTTTCCTGGAGCAACTTCCTTTTCCTTTCAATTTCCTGCTTTAAAATGTCCATAGCGATTTTTTAAAGATTTGCCATTTTAAAAAATAAATAAATGTGTTTAACCAATTCGGGCGGACGTTGTAACTTGGTGAGAATTCTGCGTTGTTTTAAACAACAACAAACAAACTGCAAAACACCAACAAATGTAGATGAAACCTTCTTGCAGGCAACCACTAGGTCAAATCCAATCCAAGTCAACAAAAGAAAGTAAATTTAAGGAGATCAACGAAACCTGGACAATCTTGTGTATATATTATTATTATTATTGTATTAGATAATATTCTTATTATTACATTTAAGAAAATGACCTTTTTTAATATTTAAACAAATAAATTCTCTTTTATTCATGTAATAGCACATTTTAAAACAAAACAAAAAAAATCATTAAAAAGTATTATTATTTTTAACTATTTACTGAGTATAATTTGGTTTTAACTCGTGCAATTAAAATATTCTTGTTTATTCAGTTTAATCTGTGAACTGTATAGTTATTAACATTTTTTAGGCATATCTAAAACAATTGAGCATCCGATGGAAAATAAACTAAAGGTATTGTTTATTGAAAGTAGTTATAAGTATATTGCTTTTTGTTTTAACTTCTTATAAATATAATATCTTCTGAAAATATATATAGAGGATATCTGCATATATTTTATGATCTGTTCATACATATTTATTTTTGAAGTGTAAAAAAAAATCCGTATATAAAAAGTGATTAAATATATAAATATCTTTTAGCTTTGAGTTGGTCTGGGAATGCCTAAAAAATTTCCAAGTACATAGGGAAAATTAATGTAACACTAATATATTTATAACAGGACATAAAGGAAACAATGTAAACAAATTAGCAATTAGAATAAGAAGCACCCTCACTCCTCGTACCAGTACGACAAGCATACACAAAAGTATGCAAAAAAATATTGAGTAGTTACAGGCATTTAGGAGGACTTAACATCTAACTACTGGAACGTTGGGTGTGACAGATGAGGGATCGGAACAACTTTACAGTTCACATTCTTAAGTAAAAGTCCAAAATTTATGCATGGATTCAAACAGAACTACCAGCTAAAAGTTTTTGAAAGTAAAACTTAAAATGTAGAAATGTGTTGTATTTAGTGATCGTTAATTAATGATTATTTGGAGATAGTGAATTTCACACAAGACCGCATCTCACGATCTCCAAATAATAATTAAAATGTAGAGAAAAACAAGTAAAATTCCAAGTGCAAAAAATTAGAAAATGTTTATTGCTATATCTTTCAGCTAGCATGTAGGATTAAGGATAATTAAGTATCATTTTAATTTTTTATGGGAAAAAACAAGCAGATGATACTTGTCTCCTCTACCAAGTTGTTGCAATCCCCATTAATTTAATTTTTACTCTTTTTTTCTGGTGGTTTGCAACAGCAAATGTCATTCCAACCCTTGGGGTCCTGAAAAAAGCTCATTTGTAAATATGTTGGGTTTGAATCCAGCAACTCTGAATTTAAATGTTAAACCCGTATAATGATGAGTTGCCATGTCAACACTTTAACCGTGGTAACCACGGATACCCCAATAAATTAATTAAAAGTTGTTTTTAAAATTACCAGGGACCCCACGAAAAAAAGACAATTTTTGGGCTTAGATTCTTAAATTCTCTTTGGGTTTTTTTCAAATTCACATATATTTTCTTCTCCTTTTTTTGATTTTAGATTTGGTCTTCTTTTACCAGTTTCAGTTCACTTTGGTTTTGATTGATCCAGAATATTTTTTGGGGGGAGAGGTTAAGGTATCACAATCCACTTGATTATTTTCTGAGTCTACTGATCTTATACAAGATTTAACTATATTTCAGTTATTTTAAAATGCCTTCTTGGTCTCTTACTTTTGGCGTTCAGTAAGGTGCATTATATTGCCCTTTACAACTTTCTTGGACACTGTAGACTTTTTTAAAAATAAATATGTAGCAATTAATTAAGGTTTTTAGTTGAGATAAAAAAGTCAATGGCACGAGCGGGATTCGAACCCACGATCTTTGACTAGATACGCCGCTGCTCTACCACTTGAGCTATCGTGACCTCGATCCACTCGGACATCAACTTCCCATCTCAACCCCACCTTTTGAATTTGAATTGAGATGGGAAGTTGGTGTCCGAGTGGATCAAGGTCACGATAGCTCAAGTGGTAGAGGAGCGGCATATCTAGTCAAAGATCGTGGGTTCGAATCCCGCTCGTGCCATTGACTTTTTTATCTCAATTAAAAACCTTAATTAATTGTAATATATTAATTGGTCAAGTGGACCACGAAATTAGTGAATTTAATAAATATGTAGCTATAATTGGTTTGAGTATTTGTAAAAATGTTTTCTAGATCCTATGTCTACATGGATACAGGCAAGATGGGCCTACATTTAGATCTAAAATAGGCTCTCTAAGAAAAGCTTTTAAAAATATTATCTTCGATACTGTGGATGCACCTCACATATCAAATATTCCTAGTCATGATGCTGAAAATAAGCAAGATTTAGCTGCCTCGAGTATGTTTGAAATAAAATGTATATATTTCAATTGTTTAATTTTTTTCATTAATTAGATCCTAGAAGTTGGTGGTTCACAGACACTAATAAAACTTATGTATCCAAAATTGAGAGTGACATTGCAGAATGTTTTGAAGAAAGTGTTTCTTACATTCAGGACCATGTAAATAAAAACGGCCCTTATGATGGTCTATTTGGCTTTTCACAAGGTGCAACATTTGCAGCCTTGATTTGTTGTTTGATACAAAAAGGAGGTAATTATTATTAACAGGTTTTTTATTGTTTAAAATCTAAACATTAAATAAATTGTTTTATATGTTACAGAATTCCAAGCAAATTTTAAATTTGTTATTATTGGTGCTGGTTTTCGTTCTTTGTGCAAACCGCATTTACATTATTATAATACAAAATTAGTAATCCCTTCATTGCACATCATCGGTGAAACCGATCAAGTTATTTCAAAAGGTAAATTCAGCAAATTCACATTCTAGATACAATATTTTCGTTTGGAAAACATAATGAGGGGTAAAATCAACACCCAAAAAAGATTTGTGCAGATGCTACAACCTACATATAATTTTCCAGAAGTTATTTTTTTTAATTCACTATTTTTCGAGGTCCGCTTGACCAATTAATATCATCCAATTAATTAAGGTTTTAAGTTGAGACAAAAGCCGAAGGTCGTGGATTCGAATCCCGCTCGTGACACTGACTTTTTTGTCTCAACTTAAAACCGTAATTAATTGGATTTTTTTAAAATAATTACTTGTCAGTTTTTATTTGGTGTATTATATTTATTTATTTATTTTTTCAATGCAAGCCATTGTTTTTTCCTCTTTCTTCTTCCATTGATGATCAGCAGATCCAACTTTGCATATGTAGTTCTAATTTCTGAACCTGACCAGTTCTGAACTTTCAATTTTCATATGGCTTAGTTGACTCCAATTTTTCATTTACTACCCTATATTTCCATTCAGATTTTTCACTATCTTCAGTGTTCAATTATAAAATGTTCATGCATTAATGTATTTTTGGTTCTAATGAAAATCCTCTTGGCTTCTTTTTTATCAAGAATAAAGGCACTGAGGTCTTTCAATCCCTTATTGTGTAGGTTTATTTGTTTTAAATTTAAAAATATGGTGTTTACACATTATAAATTTGTATATATCATGAGAAGCCAACTTTTTAATAAGAAAAACTTTTCAGTAAGAATTTTTAAAAGAACATGTTAATAAGAAAAATTGGGAGTGTTTAGCTTCGACATAGATAAATGCTTTGTGAATTTAACGTTGTTTTGAAATGTGAAGACCTGGATTACTTTTTTATCTCCCCCTTCGTGGATTCAGAAGAAACACCAATCCTGACAAGCAAAATGTTCTAATTTACTAATACATTCTTGTTCAAATGTAATTTTAGCCACAATTATTACAATTATAAATAATATTTGTTTTCTGTATATTTTCAGAGAGGTGTGAAAGTCTATTGGAAATCTTTGAAAACCCTCAAATACTAAGGCATCCTGGAGGGCATTACATTCCAGCTTCTAAGGAATTCAAACATGTTTATAAAGAATTTTTTGATAGATTTCGATGAACTGTGACAAAATAATTATGTATCCTATACTTTAATAAAAAAAAAATACGGATCACACGCAAGAAAAGATACCTTATAATCGTGAATAATGCTGAAGTTTTGATCTTGCATTAATAACTGACAATATCATCTGCATATCCTTTGATTTTTTTGTACATATTTTTTTAAAGACTTCTGTCATTGCAAGCCCTTTGGTATGGAGTCAACCATTTTGGAGTGGCCAAAGATAAACATAATAAATATTTATAACCAAAACAAACATATCTGACTAATAAATATACACATATATTAAACACAAAAAATAAGTTAAAAAATCACTTAGTCAATAACTATATTTATGTAGTTTCAAAGAACTTTTGAAACATCGAAGTGATGATTCGATACCTGAAGTGGATAAATGCATGGTATGGTCACATTTGAAATGCATAAGGGTTGTAATTGAGTAAATGTATTTATTAGTTTGATTGTTTAGAGGTGTGGTTCCATCGTGCCACAATAGGACTTAACATCCAACTACCTGTTGTAGTGTCGCAGACTAGGATCAAACCACTTTACAAGACATTTTTCATACTATTATCAATTAAAAAGCCATGGGCTGTCGGAATTCGAACTCAGGTAAATATGAGTCAGACAGCCTAACCACTCAGCCACCTATTCCCCTAAATTAGATAGGTTATGTGTTCAAAGAATGTGGGTGAGACGGCGTAGTACCCTCAAGTACCCCAGTGACTGACAATTTTTTAACAGTATACGCTATGTAAAATAAGTTTTGTATGAAAGTATTTATTAGCATGAATAAAGTGGGATCTCGGTGAAATATTGGTAACCACCCAACTTAGCTTTAGGTGTGTGTTTGTGTGAATATTTGTTTTCAAAGTGTTGTTTAAGCCTTATCACCATATATGGAGAAATAAATAATTTATGAGAGAAAACATCCCAGTTTCCATGGAAAATAAAAAATCGTAAAGCTTTCATACAGGAGCATCATTCACATGCTGACAAAACACGAGATGGAAAATATGTGAGAAGCCGACAAACACAAATTTATATTATCAATGGCCAGAATATGTATTCTTCTCAAGTAAAGCCCCCTAAAAGTACCTCTGATGTTCTGCATAAACTAAGCTAATTGCTTGGTTGTTAATAACTCTCAGACATTTCTGTTGTAAAAAATTTAATTTAGGTCAATCGAAGTGGTCTGTATGTAGCAAAGGTACCTAGTTGTTAAAGGATATGACTTTACATAAAATGCATCCTAAATTTAACAATCCAATGGATAATGTCAAGCTGTCCTGTACATATTAAGCTTTTGTTTAAAAGAAAAATCAAGCGATTCCTGACTTACAAGGAAACACCCATTTTACAGTACTTATTCAGTTCAACTATTCAAAAATTTCAGGGACATTGTTATGCATCGAACTCAATAGCACGGAAATCACAACTCTGACACAAGAGCCTCTGCGATCAATTTCTTACACTAAACTTTTAATTTAATGTTCTCTCCTTTTTCAATTTAATAAATTGAAATTTTCTATTCTTAAATAAGGGTTTTAGTTGAGATGAAAAAAAGTTAATGGCACGAGAGGGGGATTCGAACCCACGACCTTCGGCTAGATATGCCGCTGCCCTACCAACTGAGCTATCGTGACCTCGATCCACTCGGACATCAACTCCCCATCTCAACCCCACCTTATGAGTTTTCCCTCCTTTTTGCCATTTTTCAAATGTCGTGTAATCGGTTTGGATTCTCGACGACAATTGAAATGGCGACGGAGAGCTTTAGTGAAGTGTACTTCATTTTTAAATCATTAATTCACTACTTTCGTGGTCCGCTTGACCAATTGATACATGACAATTAATTAAGGTTTTTAGTTGAGATGAAAAAAAGTTAATGGCATGAGAGGGATTCGAACCCACGACCTTCAGCTAGATACGCCGCTGCTCTACCACCTGAGCTATCGTGACCTCGATCCACTTGGACATCAACTCCCCATCTCAACCCCACCTTATGAGTTTTCCCTCCTTTTGCCATTTTTGGTGTAGTGTAGTGGTAGAGCAGCGGCGTATCAAGCCGAAGGTCGTGGGTTCGAATCCCTCTCGTGCCATTAACTTTTTTTCATCTCAACTAAAAACCTTAATTAATTGTCATGTATTAATTGGTCAAGCGGACCACGAAAGTAGTGAATTTTCTATTCTGTTGATCAGTCCTAAATATATACATGCTGAATGAATAGGATAAAAAGAAAGAAAAACACTATGTATTAAAAAAACATTGCTTTAATAAAAAGACAAGTGAAAAATAAAATTACTCTCACATATTCTACTAAAAATAATTTTAAAAAGTTTACTTCAATCTTAATATTTCACATAAAATTGAGTGAAAGTTAAATTCAATACGATTAGATAAACTGTGTACACTGGTACACAAATTAGCAATGAAGGAACATAAATATATGTATAAAATATATAAATAAAAGTAACTCAATTAGATCACAGAAGTTTCAACTAAAACAAATTATCTCTTATTCTATTATAAATCTTAAGTCAAAGCAGAAAGTTTAATAATATATCTATGTGCAATAAAGTTGAAACTAGAAAAGTAATCTATACGTTCCTTACATGGTAACATTCTCCAATTTCAATTTTTTTTACATATATGTAACTTTTTTTACAATTTTTTGTACTGTTAAATAGCTTGATTCCAATGAGAATATATGACAAAATAGTTCTTGACAAAGCAAAGATCTAGAAAATATATAATTTTGCCCTGTACATATGAAAAGCTTTGATAATACTGATGTACATAAATAAGAGCATGCTTAAAAAAATATGTCACAAAAAAAAGGAATAGATAAATTTTTACATTCTATTTACACAACATTGATTAATATTATTATACACTACATATTTATCAGTCTTTAAAAAAACCAAGAAAAAAAATATACAACAGCTCACCTTCTCAATAAATTGGCTAAATCCAAAATTAGTCAAGAATTATTGTTTCTAAAGATTCTTTTGCAAATGACATGGTTATGCGTTTTTCAGCTTCTCTGATGCTGTTTAAAACAGGATTTATAATTGAATCGGGGAATTTTTTTTCTTTGGCTTCAACAATCAATTCTTTTAATTTGGACAAATCAGAGAGTTGACAATTGTCATCTTCCAAAAAACTATTTACAGAATACATCCAAGCGTCAAAAGTTTCCGCTTTTAACTTCAACTTATGCAGTAGGACTGATAACTCGCTTAAGTTGAATCTATATTTTAGCCTGTGCTTGTTTGGTGGACACTCGGTGCATAGTTGATCGTGATGTTGCAGGCAGACCAATTTGAAGGGTTTACAATCACAAGTTACCCCAGAAACAAAGCAGAGTGTCTTACAAAAATCACACTGTCTTTCTTCATCGGTGTATTTTTCAAATATGTCTCGCCTCGACTCTCTCACACCCCAATCGAAAATGTGTTTCCTCATTTTCTTCTCGAACACAACCATTTGTAGCATGTCATAAAAGGTCGCTGCAGCTATTCTAGGGTCGATATTTTCTGCGTCGAGTGCTATCTTACAAATGAGCTCGTCATGGGAGAAAACACAGTGGCGGTGAATTATCGAGTAATGAGTGACACATTCACGACCCATCATCAACCAATCTGCAGGGCCAAAATTCACTGCTTCAGCGCAGTTATATCCTTGATTGAATCCGGAATGGTATGCCCTTGGAAAAGTAATCACAAACTCTCCCGCCGACTGGTCAGTCCTGTAAACCGGTATTCCATCGTTTATAAGAGCAGTGGGGTTTAACATCGTCGTGAGTTGGTGGAGTAAATCAGGCTGAATTTCAAACAATTCCGGTGCTACTTTCTTCATCGTTATTTCAAACTCCGGAGCAAAATTCCCCGGCACGCCATACCAAGTTTTGGGTTCGCCCCAGTGCAGATAATTAATCGAATAGCTCCAATGATCTTCGATATGCCAGCAAAAGGTGGCAAAGCACATACCGACGTACATCCAAGGTGTTTTTACACCGGATATTTTCCCCGGGATATGGCCAAACACAGAACCATCCAGTACTGGGAAATTGTTGAGATTCCAGGGTGAATTTACATACTTCATGATATCAGGATTATCTGTTATTGGGTTTATGGTGTCTTTTGTAGGAAATCCTGAACCTCGGTCGATGGAGTGAAGATCAGAGCCATATTCAACTGTCACAGTCTCATCGATCGATGATACAATCTTCCAAAATTCTTTTTCAACTATAGACAAGGGAACTGTATGAGCGGGTCGTTTAAAATAATTGGTTTTAAACGCATCTGCCATCTCACCAAATTCGACTAATGTATATTCACGATCTGCTTCCTCAAAGCCGAAAGCATCCTCCCTTTTGGCGACTTCCTCAGCAATGCATTTTGGGCATCTCCAGGCGCATTTAGGATTGGTCGGCAAAGGCTGTAAGAGGCATAATTTATGGTAACTCTCCTTACAATTTGTGCAAAATAGAAGCTTTTCTTTTGATGACTCTCTTCCCATACAACTGAGACATTGGTATCCTTTAACGAACTTTCCATCCACTTCCATTTTTATTTCAGGTGCCTCCTCTTTTATCCTTCTTGACTTTTTGTTCAAACAGTTTTCCTTGAAGATGTCGAAGGGCTTGAGGACCTTCTCGTAGTTGTACTTCAAGATTGACGACATGGCCCGGTCGTTGGACATCTTCATCCGCCTTGCGATTTTTCCCCATTTCTTCTCGGAGGACACTACATGGAAACCACCTTCACTCTGGACGACTCGGTGCAAGGAGTACAGATCCAGTGTCTTGCCGTCGTAGGTGGGTATCTTCATCCTGGTGCCTTGCAACTCCCAAAACGAAGCTATCTGGTCGAGGAAGTTGAGCTTCACCCTGGTCAGAGCTTCGAGCTCGTTCAGCCTCTGGAGTCGAGGGGTGAATCTAAAATTGGTCACGTCCGCGGCGAAAGGAGGCTGCCAATCCACCGGCGGTCTTATCCTGCAGATCCCAGTCTTCTCGGCGATCGGCCTTATTTTGTTTATGTACGACAAAGGATCCCTGAACTCCTCCTCTGTCGGATCGAACACCGGCGCTTCGGGAGGCCTTTTGAAACTTACATCCAGAGAAAACACTGGCCCGACACTGGACATGTCACCGGTGAAAAGTGCAATTATAAAACACTGACACTTTCGGGAAACTTTTCACTAAAAACCGTGCCCCTTTGAAAAAGGGTCGGCTTCCTCTACCTGACCCTTTTCCCCCGGTGACAAAGCGCACTAATCCCACCCCCAATCCATGAAAATGGAGAATCCATTGAAAACTTCGTAAAAGCGACTCGCGTCCGTCATTGCCTCCTTGAACAAACAGCTTTCCTCCTACAAAATGCAAAAATTTTACTTTTTTTTTTCTTTATTCATTCTCTTTTTTTACACACCATGCACGTTCAAAAAGCTCCGCGTTACTACTATTCTCCTTGTTTTCAATATACTTTGCGCCTGTGCTTATAGCGCTACACGTTCTAGCAACTGGCAAGTAAAAAAAATAGCAATCAAATTAAGATTTCCTTTCGACTCATGCAATACAACATGAAACGCGTTTTTTAATGTAAAAAGATAATAAAATAACTTAAAAATAAAGACAAACACATCTTTTAAAACTAAAATCCCACGCTACTCCTTCAGAAAAAAAAATCATTCGGCCATATTCGTTATCTCCATTCCGTCACTAATGCGACTTACAAAACGAAAAAACTATAAAAATATACGAACACGCCAAAATTGATTTTTTCATACAAAAATCATATTTATGTATTTTATTTTCTAAAGTATGAAATATACTTTAACAGGACGTTACTAAAGTACAGTCAGTTCCATGCTAATATTTTTCAGGATTACAAGTACCTTATTATGGTTTTATTAGCAATCAGTAAGCAATTTTTAATTGTATTAATATTTAAACATTATTGTTTTTAAAAAAGAAACAAAAATCATAAAGAAAATGAATACGAGAAAAAAATTAAAGGACAGCAAAAAAAATTGTTTTCATGCAACAAAAAAAACGTGAAATCTCACTTAAGATATGAAAGAAAGGGGCAAATTTTCCAACGCACTGGGCTTGTCGAATGGGCCGATTCGTCCTTGTCCTTTGTAGAAACGGTAGGTCAAATATTCCGTATTGTCTGGCGTCGGCGTCCAATTCCGGCCAGCCTGTTGCCAACTTTTTCCCGTAATTTTTGTTGGGGCTGTGAGCAGCTGAAAAACAAATTTTACCTTCAATGTTGCCAACGTGAAACGGACCAAGGGGTTGGTGGGAGGTGGCGACCCGCTGCAAGTGGGGATCGCGAGGCGTGATCCATCGCAGGCCGATTGGGCCAAGAATACTCCCGACCGAGTTGGAAACAGCACCTTTATTGATTTTTTAAAAATATTTATAGGAGCAAGCATGAAATGTTCACTTCGACAGGACTCTCCGGACATAACTATTAGTGAAATATAAAAACTAAATACATTTATTATTTATCTTTGAATGCCAAGTTAATAATGAATTCTTCTACATCACAGGCTGATTTGGCCATGTGCATTGAAAACAGCACTTTTTTTTTTTTTTTTTTTTTTAATATTTAAACTGCAAGTATTGATTGTTCTCTTTGACATAAGTACTCTTCAGACATAATTATTACTGAAATATAAAAAATACATACATTTACTATTTTTCTTTTAATATTAAATTGATAATGTATTTTTCTAAATTGCAGGCCAATTTCATCACGATTATGTCAAATTTACACATCACACTTATTGATTTAAAAAAAAAAATTTAGAAGCAAGCATAAAATGTTCACTTTGACAGGACTCTTCAGACATAATTATTAGTGAAATATAAAAACTAAATACATTTACTATTTCTTTTTTAATGCCGAATAGATAATATATTTTCCTATATTGCAGGATGATTTGGCCATGAATACAAGAATTAAAAACAGCACTTTTATTGATTTTTTTTAATATTTGTAGAAGCAAGTGTTGTTGTTGTTCACTCTGATAGAGGACTCTTCGGAAATACTATTATTGAAATATAATTTCTTAATATATTTATTATTTCTTTTTTAATACCAAGTAGATAATATAATTTTCTGCATCATAGGCCGATTTGACCATGATTATGTGCATTGGAAATAGCACATTTACTGATTTAAAAAAAATTATATAAACAAGAGTCGAATGTTCACTTTGACAGAAGGACTCTTTGGACATAACTATTATTGAAATATAAAAACTAAATACATTTACTATTTATTTTTTAGTAATGAATAGATAATATTTATTTTACATCGCAGACCGATTTGGCCACAACTATGTGCATTGTAAACACAACATTTATTGATTTTAAAAAATATATTTATAGAAGCAAGTGTCGATTCTTATCTTTGATAGGACACTTGGGACATTACTATTATTGAAATATAAAAACTAAATATATTATTACTTTTTTTAATCCCTAATAGGCATATTTTTCTACATTGCAGGCTGATTTGACCTCACATATATGTATTGGAAAAAGACTTTTATTGATTTTTGTAGCAAGTGTCGAATGACCAGTTTGACAGAAGGACTTTTTGGATATAACTATTTTTGAAATATAAAAACTAAATAATTTAATATTGTTCTTTTAATACCAAATTGATAGTGTATTTTTCTACACCACAGGATGATTTGGCAATGAGCATTGGAAACAGCACTTTTATTAATTAAAAAAAATATTTGTAGAAGCAAGTATTGATTTTTCACTTTGATGGAAGGATGCTTTTGATATAACTATTACTGAAATATAAAAATTAAATATATTTACTATTTATTTTTAATACAAAATATAATATTTTCAACATCATAGGCCAATTTGGTCATGAATACTTGCCTTGTGAACAGCACTTATATTGATAATTTAATATTTAAACTAGCAAATTTCAAATATTTTCTTCCTTGTTAACCATTATTGTTTATATGTACAATAGCACAGACACTGATATATTTTATTATTTGGCTTTTAATAGCGTGTATGTAATGAATAAAAAATCTTAACACCTTTAATATTATAATTAATTAATATTTTTATGTAAGGTTTCGGTTGAAATGAAAAAGTTAGTGCCACGAGCGGGGTTCAAACCCAGCCAAAGGTCGTGGGTTCAAATCCTCGTGGCACTAACTTTTTCATTTTAACCGATTCCTTACATAAAAAGATTAATTAGTTGAAAGAAGTTATTTGGTCAATCGGACCACGAAATATAATGCTATATTTTATACTATAGCATTATATAGTTTTATATAAAAATCAGGCAAATTCGAAGGAAAGAAAAACACTCAGTTCCTTTGTCAACCTATTGAGGAATATATCACCCTGATCATCACTATCAAACTATTTTTAATTATTTACATAATTAACAAATACATACAATACTAAAATTATTATTAAAATTAATAAAATCAATTAAATCAATTATTAAAAAATGATGGTCGTCCACAACACGCAAAGGGTAATTGGACATAAAACCCTCCTTTACTTTTTTTAATTAAAAATTATGGTTTCCACCATAATTAATTTATGAGTTTAGCTTAATAGAATGGACAAGGTCGACCAACTGTAACCGTACTACAATTACAATTTTATAAAGAATGGACAATTGTTAATTGTCAAACACAATACACGAACAATTCAAGAATTAAATACTTAGTTCAATAATCATTCCAAGAGTTGAAAATAGTAAAATATCCAAAGAAAAAATTGAAAAGTAAAGTTTTAGTTTAAAAAAAAAAATCTGTGTAACTATCTTTGATAATCATATCTATTTAGCACAGAAAGATTATACTATTTAAATAGTTAATACTAATAAGTAAACAGAGGAATAAAGAAGGGGTGTGGTTTTATTGTCAAGCTTTTGGAGATTACATTTCTAATAGCTGAGTTGAACAGATTTTATTATTAAAAAAAAAATATATATATATATATGATTTACAATTTCATTGTACAAAATCCTCATGAAGAACCACTTGTTCAGTCTTCATTTATAAAAACAATGAGGATATGCAAGCCAAAATGATTTTAAACAATCAAATTATGGGTACTTCTCCTATGATTGATTCTCTTGAAACACGAATATTATTAGCTTTATTCAAAACGATTGATAGATGATTATATTGGAATATTGTACAGGTCTGTGGGGTGATAAACCTGGAGCTTGATATTTCTAATTAGCAAAAACAATTATATCATGATGATTGTAGATAATTAAGCTAAAATATGAAATATTGTATTGAGATTCCCCTAAGTACTGAACCTGCAGCTTGTTCATGTCAGGTCATCGTATTCAGTGAGAATAAGAAATTATGACAACTGATGATGAGAAAGTTAAGATATTGTCTTGAGAATAAGGTCAGCAAAGTGTGAACCTTTGGCTTGTTAAACTTCGATTACACTTCATAATAGGCAAGCTAAAATGTCTGAAAATGATCGAGCTAAAATTTTGTAATCAAGATATGGAATCTGTAGTGTGTTTCCGATTGTTTCATACAGTGAGATAGGCAAACCAAGATCGTTGATATATTTCAACCTAAAATATCATTTTTGGTGATGAACCTGCAGCTAGTTTGTCTCCAATCTTTAAGCAACAGGCATCACAGCACTTTTATATTGTACTCTTTTATTAAAAAATTTAAATTTAACATACTGATCAGACTCAGCCTGTTATTTAGAGACAATGTTGTTAGGTGTGTAAATTTACTTTTTTACCACTACCAAGCAGTTGGTCGAAGGGTGTCACAGCATAGACAGGAGCGACGTTCCTCACAAACCAGGAAAACAGCTCTACAATAATTAGTTGATCAAATAAATAAGAACGTTGAAAGGTATTGCAGACCCAGACAAGAGCTTCAAGATGTTTCCCATGAATGTGGAAAACAAAGTTGCAACAGTTGGAGAACTTATCAAATAAATAACTAAGGTTAATTTAGCACTAATTTAGTGCTGAAGGATTGTAACAAGGCCAAAAAATGTAGCGACATGGAACATTGTAAACTGATGTTTTTTTTTTATTGGGGCTTCCGACATCTAGGTCATTTCAGCCCCCAACTAAGTCTATATTCTATTTACTCTTTCGAACACTACATTCATACAAATAAATACATTCATACACTTAAATACATCCATACAATACACTCATTCCGTTTGGTCGTTGGAGTACTTGATATTCCTCCACCGACCTAAACTCAAACTAATCTAGATTGGGGTCGATGGAGTACTTCTAGGGATCTGTCTTTGCCATTCCACCTGTGATGTGAGAACTCCCCTGACTTTTAATTTTCCTTTCCACCCCCTATACCGGTACAGAAATTAGTATAGAATGGGATAATTTAGAAATCAAGTCAGTCAAGAGTAGTCTCACTTCAGGTAGAAAACAGTCGATCTGGAAAAGACGAAGCCACACTTCGTCTTGGACTCAACAAGAGGACTCAGCCAGCCAGAGCCAACAAAGAACAGTTGTTGCGACTCATCGGATCAAGTCGATGGTTGAGAAACCCGAAAGGTGCTAGGGATGCTGCAGACGCTAATCGTAATGAGCGTTATTTAAGGTAAGTCCCTTTGTTATTAGACTTAACCCAGATTTAGAGCTGTGGCTGTCTTGTTAGATTAAAATTTTTTGAGGTTGTGTACATTTAAAAGACGGAATTGTGATAAAATAAATGAAGAATGTACTCTCTAGTTTATTAAACTCTTGAGCCTTACCTACTTTTACACAAGAATAAGTAGCGAAGCACTTACGCTGACTACCCTCTTATCACTTAGAGAAAAGTAAGCGAATATAGAGAGATTATCCTCTCACCAAGAATAAGAATATCTAGATTAAAGTGTTTGTAGATGATTATATTGAAATATTGGGCAGGTCTGTATGGTGATAAAGCTGAAGTTTGATCATTCTAATTAGCAAAAAAAAAAACATATCTTGATGATTGTAGATTTTCAAGCTAAAATATGTAATATTCTATTGAGGACCTTATAAGTCCTGAACCTACATGTAGTTCATCCCAGCTGTTCTGTGAGAATAATAAAATCATGATGACTGATGATGAGAAAGTTAAGAAATTGGGTTGAGGTCTTGAACCCCCAGCTTATTAACCTCTGATCACACTTCATTATACGCAAGCCAAGATGACTGAAGATGATCAAATGAAGATGTGAATTTTTAATTATCCTATTAAAACTGTGCAAACCTGGTTGATCAGAGACAATTATGCATAATATTGTATACTGAATTTGTAAAATAGATCAAATGCGTTGAAAATTTTGCAGTTTATGTTTTCTATGTTGTCTTTTTTTAAATATGTTCTAGCAGACTTTTATCATGTGATAAGTGAAATCATTCATTTGTTTTTTAATTCAACATCGTTAAAAGTTTGAAATGTTTGCGTAGAAAAAGTTATACATTTTTATAACCGTATTAAAAGTCTAGCTGTTTTAAATGGTATGGCTATAATTTAGAGACGAGACTCGAAATTGTTTAAATTGCTGAGGGACCATGGCTTCATCGCAAGGAGCGACAACAGCTCCAACTTCAGCGGGAACCACCCACAATCTCCAATGCGAAGACCGGGACAACATTTATACGGATGCTACTTCACGGCCCAAGGTATCAACGTACATACATTTTAATTTTGACATTGGGGCCGTACCGATTTTCCTGGACGGCATTACAAATCCGGTAACGTTTTTACTCCATTAAGAATAGTATATTGAAGGAAAAACTAATATTCGATCGATGACATGGGTTTTGACTTCGATTTTATTAATCATGAAAAATCAAAGCAGGTATCATCGTTAAAGTTAACCTTAAGCAAAGGATCATCGTAGTTTTCTGCCTGTTTTTAGTAGTTCGTGAAGGAAAAGTGTTGTTTACATTGTGTATTTTAATTTAGGAATTATCATGGTAAGGGCTAAAGAAAATGTTTTAAAAACATATGTTACAAATCCGAGAGTTATTTTGTTTTCCGTCAATTCCACGCCAAAGGCCGTAGTTTTATTAATATTGTTGGAAAATTCTTTTGTTTCGTTGATTGATTTTAATGATTGATGAGTGATGCGTTGCTGATCAATATTCGTTTAATTTGTATTGGTGAAATTAGGTGACCCATGAAAACTTGTAAGACGTCTAAAGCCTCACGCACAACCCTAATTTTCGCTATTGCCTGTCACCGAAATGTTTACATGTTAAAAAGGGCCCGTTGTATTTTATTAAATTTACATGACGTTTAAAAAAAAATCTAATATAATTTTATCATCAGACAAAAATGTCCAAATAGGTCTATATAAACATTTAATAATTTATTTGGTAGGATCGGAGTTGTGGTCCAATGAATGTTCTGGTGTTGAAACCAAGCTTTCAGTGTGACCTCTGGCCTGTGGTAATAGTTTGTAAAAAGTGCCATCTATTTATTTATTAAAAAACGTATTTTGAAAAAATAAAGAAAAAAAGTTTGTACATTTGATAAGAGGAAACAATTTTAAATACTGACAGGGAATCTAGCCGAGAGGAAGGTGAAAAAAGAAACACCAAAAGCTAGGCAACTACACCAGAATTCATTGGATCACATCCTCGATCATACTAAATATATTGTTGAATAATAGCTGGTTGGCCACCTTTATATCAGATATTCAAATTATATCACATTATGGGCGTAATGATAAAAATATACATTTAAGGGAAGTTTAAAATCAAAATTAAAAAACTCAATTTACAATTGTTTTGTTCTACGCTCTGATATAAGAAAGGCAAAAACTTTTTACATAATTAATTGAAATACATATGTAATACTTAGGGGGGAAAAATACAGTGAAACTACTCAATAACGCACACCCTTTGGGGAATGAAATATTGTCCGCTTTTGGGATAAGATTGGGACAAAAATGTATCGTATTACAGGATGAGCCACAATGGGGAGTACAATTGACACCCTTGGAACACCGAGGACTTTACCCTTTTCCATTACCAGAGAGAATTTTTCAAATTCACCAAGCCTACTTTTGCATAAGAGCAAAGTTAAACGATCCTTTGAAACTTTTCCTCTTTGACAACGCTCATTTTTTAACTACATAGTTTCATATGGAAGTGCTCTAAAAAATAAGGATTTTAAAAATGTTTTTGGGTTCAAAAATCAGCTCTATATTGTTTTTTTCCATTCATTTTTGTACAATGTCAGTTCTTCACTCCACTAATGGTCTTAAAAGAAATCTTATGCCGTGATCTAAATTTGTGGAGCCAATGTGAAGATGCTTTAAATTCAATTTGCCCTAAATGTTTTTCAACTTGTAAGGCTGTTACTTGGATAAGCTGACCTTGGCAAATAAAAGAAGTAAATAAATCACTCATTTAACAGATTTTCACAAAGAAAGTCTTAGATTACAAACCGAAATGACTCAAACCTGTCCGACCCTGTTATCAATAATGGAGAGTCATCAAATAAATAACTTAAATGCCTTTTTATACGTCATGGAATAAATATGTTTATAAACATGACAAAAGAACCAGACCATACTGATTTTACAGATACTCTCTGATCACATTCAATTTTAAAGTGACCCCTGTTAAAACATAATTTATAAAAACAAAGTTGTTGAAATAGTCCTCGACAAAGCAGTTTCTTAATGGGTCCAAAGTGACCTGCAACATCGCACTCCTTTTTAAGCTGAAAAGATACTGAATTGGTCAATTTGTTTGAAGTAGACAAAATGTTTGATTATGACTGGAAAGTCAAACTACATTGCAGTCAAAATAGATTTTTTCGTTTCAGAGCTGTTTTAGTGAAGTTTCTTTTATGTGCAGTTTAATTAGATGATTCATTACAATATTAAATATTTTGATGTTCTGGTGCCTTAATTAATTGACAGCATGGTTTCTGTCAAACTGATGATATTCATTGGACTCTGTGAATGGGTCATGTATGCCTTGCTCTTCCAATTGCCTTTGGGGTTTTCCTTTAGCTTTGTTCTGGACTGCAGAAAGTGAATAATTGAGTCAGCAACTTTGTCAATAGCAGCCGGGCTTTTCTTAATAGAGGCGAAAGACGTGGATAAATATGTAGTATGCAACTTTTAGTTTGGTAATGTTGGAAGCAAACTGTGACTCGCAAAAGAACACAAACCCATGGCAATTGTGCCTGGAACAGACTTGAACCAAACAAAATATATTGACTTGGCTGGGGTTTATATCATATTATATTTTATTATCATATGTTACTGCCTTCTTGAACATATACTAAAATGTCGTTCGTCTCAGACTGTTTTGACTAATCCAGTCTGTTTTGGGAATTACTTTTCTTTAAAATCATCTCAAAGATATGTAGATTAAATCAAGACTATTGACATAGACATGCTGACCATTCTTAACATAGAATGTAAATCTTATTCTATATATTTGGATTTGATCCTTGCATAAAAATAAAATTTTCTCTAATAAATGACCCTAAAATAAGTGTAACTCCTTTTGACAACATTCAATGTGCATCGGTGATGTTAGTGAACGTATGAAGATCAAATCACCATTACTTACTCAACGGTGACTTCTCTGGAGTTGAAAATGTTCCTCAATTCTTGTTAATACTATTTTTAAGCGAAGCCTAGGTTTACTAGAAACTTTGTGCTTTTCTTTTAACTTTACCCAAGCCATTCTGCGCTTTACCTGTAGTTCTGAACAAAAGGCTTTTTAACTGTTAACCACCACCAGAAAATAATTAAAATTCATCTATCAGTTCATTATACAAAATTCATCACCTTATGGTTCCGCAGGCTGACAAGCATTGTTTCTGCTTTTTAACTACAAATTAATTTTGTATTATATATTTCCAAACTGAATTTGTCTAATATTGAAGTAAAAATATAGGAGATGGCCAATTTATTAATTACTTGGTTTATCAGTAGCGACAGTAAACTACGGTTTTGCACAAACTGCAAGACAAAATTAGGGTACTGAGTTATCAGCAACTAAGTCCTCTCAGCCTTCCATACAAATTTTAAGCATACCATACATTGTTCATTATGTAATTACTTACAAACAAGTATACTCGAGTTTTTAATGCTGGTTCTGTGTTCAAATACTGACATTGATCTTGGAATTTTATTTGAAAATTAAAGAGAATTATTTGTTAAAAATTTTGCCATATTTCACAAAGTACAATTATTACCTAATGGTGAAATATTAATATTCTAGATAGGCCATCAACCCCTCTCACTAATTATTTAGGGTAATTTAAATGCATTTACTCATCCAAAACACTTATGAGTTACGAAGCACTAATATATACACTTGAAGGCCCGTCAGATATTTATTTCCTTTTTTTATATTGTATCTCTTCATGTTTAAATAAAACATTATTATTAATAATAAATTAGATTTCTCAAAATGTTATTGTCATTATACATGTAAGTTACTGATCTGTTTTTATACACAGTTATAAAATACAATTTTGTCATTTTTTAATCATTTACTTACACTACTATTCATTTCTTCTTTCAGGATGTTTTTTTAATGGTTAGACGGAAAAAACTTAGTATCTTTACAGATGCTAAAGATAATACATCGGTTTTAGAACTAAAAAGGATAATTGAAGGCTAGTATAAAGAGTTGCTTTTGTATTCAAACTTTTAATAAAAAATAAATAAAAAAAATTACAGGAATTTTAAAAGTACCACCTGAAAACCAACAATTGTTTAATAAAGATAATCAATTAATGGAAGATGATAAGACTTTAGCAGATTATGGAATGATTTCTAGTATTGCCAAAGCTCAGTGCCCAGCTACTGTAGGTCTTGCAATTAGGTAAGCATACATTTTAATTTTAAATTGCAATAGATTCTCTGTATTAATTGATTTTTTTTCTTCAATCTTAGGATGGATAATGGTGACTTCGAACCGCTAGAAATATCCCCATTGTCATCTCCACCTGATTTACCTTATGTAATGAAGACACAAGAAACCAATGGTCAAGAGCAAGCCTCCTGAATTTCTTTTTGTTCGTATTAACAAATAAGAAAAAAGCGTTTTCACCATCAGCAATGAATCTCAGCACAAGTGCAGACAAAGAAGATTAACTTTTTAGGACTAATTCTTCTTTTCCTAGTACTTATGATGGTTTGGATTCTAATTTGGTTTCTATTTCCCTTCTTTCTTTATTTTTTTAATTTATAACAGTCTTCTAATTAAAATAATCTTTTTTCCTTTTGTTTGTTTTACCGTATAGCTTAACATTATTTTATAAAGAATATTTATACATTATATTTTTTGTTGAGATAGTTCCAATCAAAATGTATTTCTTTAATTTATATATTTCATTTCTAAAGGATATCACCCTCAATATTTATCCCGTATTTTTTATATGGGTTCGCTTAGTATCTCCCTCCTCATAAAAGTTTAAAAAAAAAGTTACTCTAGATAGAGTGCTTAGTATACTTCTATCTATTTATTGAGTATAAAGTGCTTAATAAATTATCTTATATGTTTATTAAAAAAAAAAGAAACAAACAGCCTATGGTGAAGTAGTGTGCTCAAATTTTCATCTTATATTTATTTTAACAAGTGCATATAACATTGTAGTTTATTTCAAATGAAAAATTTCGAACATTATTTAAATAAAGGGCATTTTGTTTGTTTTTCTACTTATAATAATATATGAATTATTGAAATTTTTCCACAGTGAATAATAGTTATAATAAATGGGATATTTATATTATTAATGAGTTGATTCTTCCTTCTATTTCCTCTAATTACCATAAATTGAAAGTGACTGCAAACTGAGACTTTTTTGCTACGGCCAGGACATCCAAACTTCCAGACTTAAGCACTGTGATCGGAACCACTGACCGTAAAAATGTAATAAAAAAAACTATTGAAAAAAAAAAAAAAGCATCAGTAGATTGGATCAGCAGAGATGTGACATGACGAGAACTTTCGATAGGTGGCCCTGGGAGGATCTGGTTCATCCTCACTCGATTAAGGTTGACACATGGACGCTTTTCTTTTAGGGCCAAAGCCGACATGTGTTCAACATATTGGGAAGGGTTGCTTGATGTGTCCTATAATTAATTTATAGTGTCACTACTTGGCTTGATGTAGGGAAAGTATAAGAGAGCCACCCAATATGATAATTGTGCTTGAGCATGCAGCATGTATCTGGATCCTATATTCCGACTTAGCAGAAACAGGACTGTTTTATTTGATATAGAACTTTATAGATGTCTTGTTTCTAAGTGTATATTGAGAATAAATATATTTATTAGTGTGAATGTGTAGTGAGACGGCCAATGCAAATAAGTTCTTCCTTCCAACCCTCAATTAGATTAGTAATGAATGGTATATAAATAGTAAAGAATGTATTTAAGAGTGAGCGAGAATATGAATTGGTTTGGATTGAGAGACTGATTGTGTTGAGATATGGAATGACCTAGCTGTTGATAGCCCCTGGAGCTCAACCTCGGTGTGGCTTATAAGACTGACGCCAGAGGTGGGTGATTTTCCATGCCCCTTGGTAATTATTTTCTGTGAATTACAGAAAAACTGGAATTGCCGGAAAGTTGCAAGAAGTGATCGGCTCAACTCCATGTGTATGTATGTACATGCAAGTGCGGATTTGAGCTTTTATAAAAACTCAATAAAAAGGAGGGAAAATTCAAAAGGTGGGGTTGAGATGGGAAGTTAGTGTCTGAAGGGAACGAGGTCACGATAGCTCAAGTAGTAGAGCAGCGCCGTATCTAGCCGAAGATCGTGGGTTCGAATCCCGCTCTTGACAATGACTTTTTTATCTCGATTAAAAACCTTAATTAATTGTAATGTATTAATTGGTCAAGCGGACCACGAAATTAGTGAATTTAATGATTAAAATGAAGTACACTTCACTAAAGCTCTCCGTGGCCATTTCATTTGTCGTCGAGAATCCAATCCGATTACACGACATTTGAAAAATGGCAAAAAGGAGGGAAAACTCATAAGGTGGGGTTGAGATAGGAAGTTGATGTCCGAGTGGATCAAGGTCACGATAGCTCAAGTGGTAGAGCAGCGGCATATCTAGCTGAAGATCGTGGGTTCGAATCCCGCTCATGCCATTGACTTTTTTATCTCAACTAAAAACCTTAATTAATTGTAATATATTAATTGGACCACGAAATTAGTGAACTTATATAAAAAAAAAGTAATCAGTTTAAAAGTTCCACCTGACAATTGTTTTTTATTATCAATTGATAAAATAATTAACTGGAATGCAAGCTTACAGATTGTGGATTAAGTTTTAGTATTGGCAAAGCTAAAAGAACTACTTAAAGCTTAAGCAAAAATATTTAAAATTATTAAAATCAAACCTTGTACGATGTCTGCTAAAATATTGACTGTAAAGCTTCTTGCCAAAATTGCTGCATGCATTTATGTGTGGATGCTATTTTTAACTGAAAGTATTGCTAATATTCTTGCCCCCCATGAAAAAAATAATACAGTACCTATTTCTACATTTCTTTTCCTAAGTGCTGGGGTGGGAAAACAACGAAAATAGAAAACAGTAAGACGTACAGGTACAGTTCCAACTCTGGGATCCCACCTCCATAGCTGCAACGGCACTGGCAGCCAACGAGTTAAACAAAATTCCTTGACTCACTTATGGCTGATTTGTAAATAAATATATAATTTGAAGGATTATGGAATAAAACGGGAAATCTATTAATCACAAATTGTTTATTGGTTCTATAAGATATCTTATAAAACTATATTATTTTTTCTCGTGAGACTAGCTCGTATTAAACAGTTTAAACAAGTGTTAATTTTATACAATAACTGTCTGTATAGAGTTCAAAAACTTACTGTTTGTCAGAATTAGGAACGCCTTGTTACACGTTAATTCGGACTAGATTATATTAAAATTAATAACTATTTTTTTTAAATACATTACTTCCTATAAGAACAATAGGCACTTCCTGAAGACACTAGTTGCAAAGATACTTTTTGGTTAACAACCAATTAACAATAACAATGCTAAAAATAATTTTACAAATTCTGTAATTTTTCATTGTTTGGCACTTCAAAGAACACAACTATTTCTGCAACATGTTTAAATTACAAAATTTAGCATATAATTTGTGTATTTCTCTGTTTTAGCACAACTTTTTTAAATACCCTTTATCATTTTCCACAAAATTTTTTTAAACAGTATTTAATGAATAATTAATGCCTCCTCAAAAATAATATTTTAAATAGTACCACAAATTTATGAAAAAAGATAATTATTCACAGGAGGAGGACAGTTTGCTAAATTGAAAGCATTTAGTTATTCCATATACAATTTGATTGTACAAAAATTGAGAGATTATGAGTTTATAAAATATTTATATAAAATATAACAATAAGAATTATCAGGTACTTACGTTAGAACTGGATTCTGTATTTGTTTGGGGTGGGTAAAGATCTGACACCGGTCTGCTTGTTCACAGGGTTTGGAGGTTCCCTGTGTAAAGAACCTCTTCTGACAATAGGTAACAAACGAAGTTTAGGGTCTGCTTTTTGTTGATCAAAACAACCGTAGTCAGTGATTTTCCTTGGCGTTGGCAAGAAGCTTCTTGTGGGAACAGGGAGCTTGGTGAATGAGATTGGTAATTCTGTTTTCCTCATCTCTCCGGTTACAGATGTTGTAGGCGATTGATGCGGTACTTTTTTGTAATCGTCGAATTGACTATAACGAGAGAACTTGTTTATGGGCGACATCCTTATTTCTGTTTCAGCAATTTGTTTATTTCCAAAGCCAGTCGATTTTCGCAATCTTCCCGGCGAAGAAGCTGCGGCAGATGGCTCCGAGTTGTTTCTTTTGTTATCATAATCACCATCATTGGAACTACAAGAGTTCTTCCTTGTCCTGTCTCCGCTTAACCTAGTATAGTCAGACTTTCTAGATAACGGGAGCACAAGGCGAGAAGGAGATTCTCTCCTCTCTGTATTGTCTGAACTCGAATTTGCTGAAACATTTCTACTTTCAGTGTCACTGAGCCTGCCATATTCTCCTAGTTTCCTCGAAATTGGCATGATTCTCACAGGAGATTCTCTTTGTCTTGTTTCTGTTGTATCTGTACTAGAATTGTTTGCGTTGTTACTGCCAGAAGGTGCTTCAGAATCACTCAATCTTCCGTATTCCCCTAATTTTCTATCCTTGCTTCCGCTCTTGTTTCGTTTAGGTCGTGGTAAAGAACTAGGAGGAAGGCTTGCACACCGTTCAGCCGATCTTTGCTGTTGCGAGCAGAGACCTTGTTTCTCAAGGAGTACCATATCTTCTTCTCTGTTATTTCCTTTATCTCCTCCACTTCCACCAGACCCTCCTGAGGAAGACACTGAAACAAGCCCTTGCAAAAACCCACCCGATTCAAAACCAGTCACACCCGCCAATAATGGCTGGGGTATTTTTCCTTTTCGCGACGAAGCGCCTGGATGAGCGAATCCTGGAAAACAGCAAAGTCCTCTCTGAAATCATTCAGAAACAAAACCAGCCGCGCTTGCCTTTACAGTGTGTGTGTACTTTAAGTTAGTGAACACACAATATGACACGTTAAAGCAAAAACACAACTTGGAAAAAAAACTCATGCTGGAAAAGCAAGCAGACTTGTTTCTGTATGGTCTTTGAAAATTAAATATCAATAAAACAAGGCTTCGAAGGCCTTGTATTTATTCGATATTCAACCTTTTTTTTTTTTTTTTTTAAATAATAAATAATGAAAGTATATTTTGAAAATGTCAAAAAGTTACAACACATTTTAACAATTGTCCTATTTTATACAATTTATACAGATAAATAATATTAATACAGTGAAACTTCCCTTAACGGTCACCTTCCTTAATGAACAAACTCTGATTCCCCATCATCTTCCCATTAGTTTCTTCAAATTAAAATCAACTATAAAACGGAAGTGGATAGCTTTTCCATCTATATTCTGACTTTAAATTTCTCCCAAAAACCCCACTTCCCCTGAGTGAGCCTTCCAATTTCGTCCTTGGTCTCAAATTCTTAGATTTTGATTATGACACTTTGAAAACAAGTTTAAGTACCTTTTCAGTTTGACTTCAAATTTTGCTGCGATATCAAATGTGCCTCCCCATGTATGTTTGACACTTAAAGAAAAAATAATGTGTATAATTGAAATGTGTGATGGTGAAAGACTAATGTATGATACTTGGCTGTGAAGTTTTCTATCAGAAATACATATTTTAAACTGTGACGGAAAAAAAACCTAATCATTTTTTAAAAATTAGTTTTGTCATATCTTTGTAAATTTTAATTAAAATTTTTTATATTCTTTTGTGTTGAATAAATTTTTGCAAGTAAATATTACTTGATGATTATTGTTTATGCCAATCTTGTAATACTAAACTTTTTTTTCTCTCCCAAAAGTGGACACCTCTGCATAATATACGTTTCATTCCCCAAGAGTGTTAGTTATATGGAAGTTTCACTGTAATTCATTTTGTTAGTTCAACATGCGTTTAAAGCAACAAATGTAAGAAAAATCATTTTATACTAGAAAAATCCTTTATAATAGTTTAAATTCATTTCAGCTGACCAAATCACAACACGACCAAAAAGATTAAAACTGTTAAATAAAATAACATGTTGGTTCATGCCTCTCTTTCAGATTCAAACATAAAAAAAAATTAAATTAAATTAAATTAAAAACCTCTTAACTACACCTGAACCATACTGAATTGTGCATAAGTTCATATAACAAAAAAATAAAAATTAAATTTAAAATAAATTTAAAAAAAAATATATAATTTTGCCGTACAAGTAATGAGAAAAACGTTTAATATTTAAACTAATATACTAATTACTAAACTACTTAAAAATATAACTTTATTACAAAGAAGTTAAAACAAACCATCCCCTTTATGCACATTGTTACCGAGTCACCTCACCAGATATACGTACATGTAAACACAGATTTCACTGAGATAAATAAACAAACAAATTTGAAAAATAATTTCTTCATAGAAAATCCCATAAAACAACTGTTGCTTTAATTATTATTTTTTATCTTGTAAAGATGTCCGTCATTTATAAAAGTTAACAAAACACTGAGACATGGTAATTTACCTTGCTCATCAGCTGAGAATCTAATTCCTTTAATTGGTCATCAAGGGATTTATGATGAAAACTTTCCGTTGGCGTTGAATATTTATGGTGGTAAGAGTCGACACTCCCGGTGTATGATGCCCCAGATCCAAAACCTGTTGAACTCGTGAGAGCACTGCTGACTGTTGAAAACACGCTTGTTGTAGATACGCCACCTGTAAGATCTTCACGTTGAGATTGAAACGGAGGAATAAGAGTATATAAAATTTTACCTAAATTGTCATTAGCAAGTCCGTTAAGATCGGTATTGAGACTCGGAACCGTATCGAGTGATATACTAGGATATGAACTGGAAACATCTTTATCCAGAGTGTGTTTCTTTTGAAGAACTCGAATCATAGCATCTCTTTCAGCGAGCTTACATTCCAACTCTTTCACCCTAAACAATTTTTACAGTAATCATTAAAATTATTAAATTAGTGGAAACTATATAATTTTTTTTTAATGTATAGGGGACTGCCTGGCTGAGTGGTTGGGCTTCTGACTAGAATTGCCATGTTAGCAGTCTTGGGTTCAAATCCCAGCATAGTGCATGGATTTTTAATTAAGAATATGTTTACTTATCTAAGCCATCAGCAAACTGGCATGCAGTTGAGTTTGGGTGTTTCAACACTATACTAATGCCAGCTTAAACTGTCAAACGGTTCCAACATAGTTTCAGATTGAGTTTTTAACCAGTATTTGACCATCAAAACAGCCCAAGGATTTGGCCGTGACTGGCAATTAGAGGCATGCGCAGTCATTTCCCTTTGCTTTCTTTCTAATAAAATTGTTAATATCTTACTTATAACTAGAGCCTAGGTTTATTCGCAATAAAATTCTTCAAATATGCCATATAATATGTACTATAAAACCCTCAAATATACAGTTAATTTGCTCTAAAAAATATTAAAACAGGCTGAATGAATGTCAGATACATCACCTGACTAATAATTGAATAATTTCTTTTTAATACAGATTTTTTTTCTTTTTCAGTTTAGTACATATTCATTTTGAAAGGAAATAAAACAGAATAATTTCAATTACACAAAAAATCATATGCAATAAGAAAGAGGTTTGAAACTATTTTTGAGTTTCAAATGAGGCTCTTATTTCCTTCCAAAACCTAACTACTTCAAAAAAATTAATTTTTCTGGAAAAACACGCATCCAGAAGTTTTGGAAATTGGGGCCTCAAATAAGATGTCAATTATTTCAAGCGAATTCTATTGTGTCGGTTTGTATACGTTAATAAAATAACATAATAAAGTAAAATAATAATAAAAACTTCACATTTGAAATATTCTTCAAATATGCAAATTTATGCAATATTCTTCCAATATCACTTGAAATATGGAAGGGTAAATCAGCGAAATCCAGATCTGTTATCGCTGCGGATCACTAAGAATTAAGGGCAGCCTCTTTGACTCAATACTGACATTTTTTGAGTCAGCAAATAATTGGTTCCCCGGGTTTTAATCAAGAAGCAAGAAAGCAAAAACCTTACAAACCACTGAAGGAACCATTTGACTGTAGGAGTCCAAGATGTAAAAAAGTGAAGAAGAAGAAAAATAACTTTGTTCTGGGTCTGGGTGTCCCCTAAGAATACATGAAATAAATGAATTTACATGAAATAAATAAAACAAGTTCCTTCTATGAAGAAAAAAAAAATCTTTGCACAATGCATACCAATAAGGCAGGACAGAAGAAAAAATTACGAGAATATTAAACAAAAATAACAAATGTTAACGTGAGGTCTCTGCTTGGAGGGAGAGGAGGTGATTATACAGGTGGGATTTAAAGGAGGAAAAGGAGGCAGCGGGACGAATAGAAAGGGGAAGGGAGTTCCAGAGTTTAGGGGCTCGGATCAGAAATGATCTTTCGAAGGTATGGGTTGTATGTTGCGGAAGGATAAGGTCGATTGGGGATGAGCGGGTCTTAAGAGTGAGATGTGAGTGATTAAGAAACCTTTATCAGTTCATGTTTGGGTCAATAAATCACATCAGTTTGTGATTATGTGCTGGAAAACAACTATTGTGATTTGACTCCTCGTCCACGACACAAATGGGTTTATGACATTTAGCCCTCCTATTTGACAAAAATTACTTTACTACTTCTAGTATATAGAACTGCTAGTAGTAGAGTATGTATATTGCCTATTTTATTTTATATACTTTTTAAGTTAAATATAATAATTAATTCAAGCTTTATTTATGAAAATACTCACTTTGCTTCAAGATCTGTAACTTTCTTTTGTGCAGCATGAACTTCATCCATCTGTTTGATCCTATCAGAGCGAGCTTCAGCTATAAGTTTCTCACTCTCTTGGCTCGTCCTTTCTAAAGCAGCAATTTTTGCATCTCTATAAACAAAAACAAAACATAGTCATTCTTATTTTGCCCATGACAAAAAATATACTTACTTTGGAATGCTTGCAGCATCGATAGCCGCTTGTCTAAGTTGGCTCTCTTCAAGGTATTTCTGTTCCCATTTGGCCACCTCTCCTTCTAACCACATTATTTTTTCATCTTTTTCCCGCAACTGCCTTTTCAACTCTGGAGGACTTTCTCCCTCACCTATAATTTTTAATTATAATTTATGAAAATAAAATATGTGGTATTAGAAACAAATACCTTGAGTTTCTTGAGTGTTATTGTGCTTTGCCCTTTCATTCTGAAGTTCTTGTTCCAGTTGAAGCCTTAGTTTCCTCTCTGTCTGTTCTCTCCTATCACTTGCTAGTTGCAAGCTGGAAAGAGCTCTTTGTAGTTGTCCAACCCTTTCAACATGCACTTGCTTTTGTCGACACTGAATTTCATTAAAATAATAATTAACATTTTTAACAAAATAGTGTGTCAAGTAAAACATTTATTTAATAAAAAAATAATAATTTCCTTTTTTACTAATAAAAATTAAGTATGTTAAATAAAAATATACCTCTTCCTCAAGTCGGACGACATTAGCCTGAGCATTGATTAAAGCAGTGTCAAGAATATCTATATGAGTCCTTTGCTCTTGAAGAGTTGCTCGCTGCGCTGCTAATTCGATTTCTTGCCTTTCCTTTGTTGCGTTTAGTTCTTTATCTAATTAAAGAAAAAACATTGCATTTTTTAAATTCAATAAATGCATTTAATGAGTTACGAGAATTACATACTTTGAGAAGCAAGCCGAGCAATGAGAGCTTCCCGTTTTGAAAGTTGGACTCTGGAATTCTCAGGTGAGAGTAGATGCTGAGTAACTAGGCGTTGATTTGTCTCTTGGAGTCTCCTAACCTCCTGCTGGAGCCTTGAAATTCTAGCTACTTCCAGTCTCTCCCTCCTTTCACAAGTTGCGACCAATTCTTCATGGGCCCGTTTCACTTTTCCCACTTCTTCCTCAAGCTAAATACAATATATAAATCATATACTGAAATTAACTACAAGTGGACATCCATGCTGTAAATTACTTTAATTATGTAATATAATATTTATAATGAGTTAGGGATGGTTTTATTATTATAACTATATTAAACTGAAAATGTATGACAAGTTACCTTGTGTGCTTTGGCAACTCTATGATAACAAGATTCTAATTCTGATTTTAGACTGTTGTTTTCTTGCATAAGATGGTCCACCATTTGGGCACATCTTTGCTGATCTTTCCTAAAATAGTATGTTAGTATTGTATTAGTATTTAATTTAAGCATTTGTATACAATAGTCAAAAATGTAATTAATAAAAATTACTATCGTACCTTGTGTTTCCGAGAGTGTGTCTAAGAAGCGTGTTTTCTCGATCGGCCATCGAAAGAGCACTCAGGTCCGGTTGTGATTTACTCAATTTACTTCGAAGACGGCTGCGAGCACTTTGCTTCACGACTGTTTCACTCTCGCCGCTGCTTTCAGCACTACTGCTAACTTTCACTTCCTTAGCCAAATGTTTCAAGACCTGAAATAAAGCAGAAAAATAATTATTAATCGAACAATCAAAATCATACAATTTCAATTGTAATACAAAAGCGAGTCACAAATATAAGCTCATACCTGGGATTGCCTAAGGTAATCGTCAGGAATATCAGTAATTTCTCGCACACTAAGATCATAGCTGCCATTATCTTTCATGTTATTTGAATTATGGATTTTTGGTTTATAAACTGGTGGAGGCCTTCCATCATGTGTTCTACAACTCACGTCAATTAGCGACATCAGGAAATGTTTTTGTTTTGATTTTCAAACCTGTTGGGCCAGCTGTCTTCGTGTATTATTAATGTGTTGTAGGCCATGTTTTCCTGCCCTTGAGGCTCCTGTCTGGAAGTGTGCCTGATCGCATACCTTTCTTCGTTACTTAAGTTTTCATTTGACGTAGAAATGTCAGTTTCGCTTCCACTCCCACGCCTCATGGTGGATACTAAAATACAAACAATTAGTAACAATAAATTGTTTGCCTCTTGAAACTCGCAGGCCAAGACTAGAGATTCTCCTGAGAGATCTGAGAATTGATTACTTTCCATATGAAGGTAAGACAGACAACACATCATCTGACTGACAAAGATTGAAGCCCAGAAAAAAGATGCTATGGACATAGGCAAGCTAATTAGGTGTGCCACTGGATTAAGGTATAAGTTAAAGCATAAGGGAATCACGAAATATCTATATGAGGTCCTAAGCTCCTTTCTCAAAGGCCAAAAATTTAAAGTCAGAGTTGGCAATTGCTATTCAACAGAAAAAGGTATCAACTCAGGAACTCCACAAGGGTCAGTGCTGTCGCCTATATATTCAATATTTTCATGAGCGACTTCCCATCCCCAAAAGAAGTAAACATTGCTGCCTATGCTGACGATACAGTGGTATATGCCTCTGACGCAGACATCCAAAAGGCACTCCACGAAATGAGCTCCTACTGTAAAACCTAGAAGCTCACAAACAACCCCAACAAATTCAAAGCAAAAATATTTACTCTGGGAAGGCCCTGCAACCCAAACGAATTGAATATTGAGGGGACTAGCATTCCTTGGAACCCTCCCGACCGTGCTGTCAAGTACCTCGGAATAAAAATGGACAGGAGACTAAATTATAATATCTACATTAATGGCAAACGACAAGGATACGTCAGCCTCAGTATGTTGTACCCATTATTGAATAGAAAATGCTATAGAAAAAAAAAGGCTTAAGCCTGAAATATCTCTCCTGATTTATAAATCCATCATAAGACCTTTGGTCCATTACGGGTGCGAAATATGGGGGGCAGCCTCACCTTCCAAAATCAAACCAATCCAGTTACTACAGAACAAAATTCTGAGGATTGCAGTAGACGCAGCGTGGTTTGAGTGCGATTCCCAGCTGCACCGGGAACTCAAAATACCTTCCATCGACGAAACAATCCAATTCAGAAAGTTTCACTCCAGACTTCCAGCAGTAAAAGGAGCCGTACACTTCCAACTAGGGAATAAGATCCTTGAGGAAAACGCTGTGTACCCTCCAGGATGTACTGAACATTGTTTGAATATAGCCGATAGTGGACATTATGCACGTAGTTATTATTCATTTATATATTTATTATTTAATATTATTTCTCATTAAATATATGTATAAACTTAAACTATCCACCATTGTTGAAAAAGGCTCATGGTAGACTTATTATAACCAGATGCCTGATGGGAAGTATGTAATACAAGACAATCACTGTGTATAACTTGTAAACTTATTAACTTGTAACTTGTTGGTCTAGTGGAATTAATTAATTTTTAAAAAAATTAGGTGTGCCAAATTTAAAAAGACAAGTATCTAGTAGCCCTTTGCTGGACAGATTCAATCAGATTAATCTCAGTTTTAAGAAATGGATCCCAGATAATGCAAGCATATTCAAGATGACTGCGAACTGATATAACATTTTAACTGCAATGGGGTTAGGGACTAAAGTTTGAAGTAAAACGTTTCACAAAACAGAGATTCTTTAAGAACTCTAATCTCAGAAATGTAATCACGAAAATTGCATTTACTATTAAAAATGACACCTAAGTTATTTATTTGATCTACTTTACTACCAATGTGATACAAGTAATAATCACAATCCTTTAGCTAAGATGACACATTGAATTTAATGAATTTGCTTTTGAATGACACAAATGATTATCACAACACCAGGTAAGGAAAGCATTTAAATCTAACCGAAGTAATTCATAATCCACCATAGAAAAAATATTGAAAAATAACTTCAGTTGTCAGTTAAAAGAGAGTACGAAGAAAAATTAAAAATCGATGAAACATCATAGAACTAAATATTCTAAACATTAGTTCAGCCTATTTGGATGAACAGAGCGGAGCTGTGGGACAACCATCTAACAACCATTAAAACTATTTTTTTTTTGTTCTTCCATCGAAGAAACTCATTTTTGAAGGGGGTTGGGACCAAATTCAGGGTCGCTGAGATCCAATCCTGCCTGCCCCTTCTATTGATGAGTGCCGTGTCAATTTCATTCAATTGCGACCACCGGTCCCCTTTAGGTGTCAGAAAAATTCCAGAGGCGATGGTGGGGATCGAACCCACGACCGCGAGATCTACTAACCGAGAGTCTGACGCCTTAACCATTACCATTCAGCTACCGCGACCCCCAAACCAACCATTACTCCTTACTTACTGTCTCCAACCTTACTATCCACAATGACCTTAACATTCCCTTCATCAAACCGTTGATACGTTTTCACTCTGATGTTTCAACCCATCCTAACCCTACTGCTCTGCTAACTCATATCGTAAGAACTCTCCACGTTGCCACAAACGATGATGGCCCTGAGACCTCCAAGCCCTTAACGCGAAAACATAGGCTGGCTTCTCATCACACATCTTCTGGGTGCAGTACTGGCGTAGTGTGTGTTTAGCCCATATTTAAAAATAATCTTTTGAGATAATGAATAGTGACTGTCAGTAATAGAAAAACCTAAACTGACAGCTTATTTCAATCTTTACAACAAAATATGGTCTGTTTTACAAGAACAATGCAACAAGTGCTATCAGCAGGTTATAAGCAACAATAAGTGAACAAAAGTATTTATTTTTATTTAGATTTGTTATCATCTTACCTTGCATGTGGGAGGTCGAAGGTGAATAAGTTTTGTATCTCGTCGGCTTAGTGATCGGATTCATTTTTTCCTCCTTCGAGTCGGCTTTAAAACGGATGATTCGCAATATAAAACGTCGTTCGTTCCACCTTCGAACAACAAATTTACAACTTTTCACTCGTCATCAGTGATGATTTATCGACCCAGCACGAGCCGTGTGTGTTGTAAGTCAAGCTGGTAAATGTCATTGCAGATGGAGGAATGTCAAGTATGAATCATTAGCTGGTTATTACAGTAGAGTACAATAGTACATTCTCGACATTCCACACCTCCCACTTTTTAACAATACCAAGGGGTACTAATGGAACAATCTTGTCGAATAGGTCAGTCTCATCGGGGGGAAAGTCACTTCGAACGGTTTTTTTTGTTTTTTTGAGAAAATACAATCTAATAAAATTAGGTTTATTTCATACAAGGTTTATTATGGGAAAATCTCTCGCTCCACCTCGTACTCTCTTTATCATTCATTCTCTCTTAGTAGAAGAGCAAGTCAGAAATAAGTTCAGGCATACGATTTTTCGCTTATTCGAGAAAAGTGACTCACTTAGTTCGGCTTTACGTTAAACTGGTCATTGTTCTCGTCAGAATGTAGATTTGTTAAATTAAAAAAAGTATAAAAATATTCTCATTAATGAAACGTGACGATTCCGAGGAAGGGAACTGTATAACAACACTGACGCCTCGTTTTGGGTGTTTTGTGAAAGGGCGCCCCTTCCACGAAGAAATACGGTTTTGTCAAATCAATCAATCAATCATTTAATCAAATTTATTTAATCCCTAAACACAACAAAAACTTAAAATAAAACAATTTTATATATTTATATATAGACTTAAAAAAACATGAATCTCAAGTCAGAGGACAAATAATGAATTTTATTTAGATGTTTATGTATGTGACTTTTTGAACAAAAAAGAAACTATTAAGGGTTTTTATTTTATAATGGATTTGATATATTACATTATGATCTTTTTCAGAATTACAAATTCTTGGAGACTTAGATAATAATGTTAAATTGGACAAATTCTTAAATCCAGAAAATGAGGTAAATCTATTAAAAAAGTACTGTGTATTTCATAAAGAAAGTATTCCCCTTGCAGAAAATATTTGTGTTAAGAATGTAGAAAATTTATTATTTGTTAATTATACAATTGCAATTTATAAGAAAAATCCAATTTAACTTTGTGTTGTTAGATTATTCTTTACAAATTTTGTCTGTTAAATTGTTTTTCTTTTACTATTGGTGTTTATAGGAACAATACATAGATCATTCCTATAAAGAATAATACATTATATGTATGTAAATTCTATATGTTAAATTGCTATTTCATGAAATAATTTACTTTGTGCAAATCGCAACATGAATTGAGTATTATGAAATTGATATGTAAGCAAACTCACTTTACATAATTTTATAAATAATAAAGTATTATTCTCTTCCTATATATTATATTATAAACAATTATTCTAAGAACTATATGCTAAATATACCCACCAGAAATCCATATTAAATATCTAGTATGTTTCTCTAATTATTAATTAAATATACTAAATTTTTGCTATAAACAACAATGAGATGTTAAAGAACAAGTTTTTGATCTCATTCACTGTCAAATCAATTCTTATAGTATACACTCATTTGATCCTTATTATATGTGTTAAAACTATGTGCATTACAACTTTATTTATTTTTTAATGAGAGATCATAAAAGTAAAGTTCATATCAACTCTTGTGGTGCGAGTGTTTTTGAAAAAAAAAAAAAAAAACATTTGTAAGTATGTTGAGTTCGAATACAGAGCTGCTGGATTCAAACCTGGGACCTTACAGTGATAAGCACCATGTCAACGCCTAAACCATTGTAGCCAAAATAGGCTCTCTTATAATAGCACATGCCTTCAAATATTGTCCTATTTAGAAAGGTTGTATACCCAAGGTAAAACGATGTACCTTGTGTGGATAAGAAGCCAAAAGGGATCGAGGGAAATGAGAAATTAGACTATTGGCTAAGAAAGCTACAATCAATGGGATAGTAACAGAGGTGAAGACAGCTAGCCTTAGAAGGAAAAATAATGAGAGGAACAAATATGAGCCAGTGAAAAAGGGAAATTCTATATTAGATTAAGAGGGACAAAAGAAGGTGATGGTTCCTTGGATTCAGTCAACAGTTAGTAGGAAAAGACTTCTGACTATATGCAAATTGAGATACGGACATGCCGTATGTATAATTCGTACCTGTACAAGCTAAACATAAAAAGCTCACCAGTATGTAATATATGTATGGTAGAGGAAACACCAGAGCATATAATTATGAACTGCCATAAACATAGTAAGCACAGGTAAGACTTTTGGAAAAAGTGACAAACTTGATGAAATGTCCTTTCAATTAATTCCAGATACTAAGCCTAGAAAGTATGAATTTGTAAAATAGACAAAAATTAAATTTTAATAGCTGGGGTAGTGGCACTAGACCCAATTACCAGATAGAGTATCTAGCTGTGGCTAAAAGGCAAATGCCAATAAATAAATAAAAATTAAATTATATGCATTAAAAATAATAACAAAATACATTATGAACATTGATCCAGGAATAATTTATTTAATGGGCAGTCACACCTTTTTTATTGTTCAAAATGTAAAAAAGTGACCGTTTACAAAGTACACTAAAATTTACAATGAAATAATAGAAAATATACAATGAATAGGGAAGTACATTTATAAAATTTATAAGAAATAATAATTGAAGTAATGACATAATAATATAAAAGTATAATATATGAAATTAACAATTAAATTGTTTTGATAAAAATAATAAATAATAATAATAAAATCAATATTACATTAACACAATAAAATACTTGAATATAAATAGGAATATGTGCAATATATAATAACTGGAATAAGGAAAGGTAGTGAATGACTAGAACAGGGCTTCCCAAACTTTTTAGCTAGCGGACCTCTTTCAGGTCAGACAGAATAAAATCTAGGGAGAACCCCTTTCCTTCAAATATTTAAAATTATATAATTTTGGTTCCATCGCAAAGAGGTGCAAACTTTAAAAGAAATATATTTAAAATTAGATACTTAAAATAGCCAGTCATTCCTAATTAGATGACGGAGGGAGATACAAAATCACTATGAAAATAGACATAAGACTGACATAACTTTATTTACAAAATCCAGAACACAAAAATCAAATTGTACAGAATGGATTGAATATGTAGATAAAACTAGAGCCAAAATCAAAAGTAAAAATTTGAACATTAATGATTAATGGGAAGAGTGATTTTTAGCCTTCATAATTTGAATATGTTGGGCTTAATTTTGGCTAGATGGAGACGGATGTTGGGTCAATCAAGACAGCTTCAGAGGAGGGACCGCAGTAGCTAGGTGGTTAGCATGATAGACTTTTGGCTCAAAGACACCCACAGTCCTGGGTTCGGCTCCCACTATCATCCCTGGCCCTTTTTTTCGCGATACCCTTCCCCCATTAAAACAATGCAACATAAAATACATACGTTTTCCTTAGCTAATATATTATGTTCTTATATATATAAACAGTTTTGGTGGCTGTATAGATAGAAAATACAGATACACATAGGTGAGTTGTGGCAAATGAGAAAACACCTATGCTTTCTCCACGAGAGATCGAAATTTTTTGTTTTTGAGCCAAAGATAAGTATCAGACTTGAAAGTAGATTTTATGGTGGAGTCTAAAGTAATATCTATCAAACACTCATAGGATTTAGGTCATTTTCATTATGAACGATGAACACCAACATTGTTTGTGTTGTCCATCAGTTTTTGCAACTCTTTTGCATTCTAAGTTATTTGTCTTCTGCCTAGCGTAGCATTGCTGCCAGCAAATTGCTTGTTGACGATGTTGTCACATCTGATGAAAATTACTGCCATAAATAAAGCTGAGAAAAGGTCCAATGACACTGCCTTGAAGCATTACAAATTTTAGTGTACTTGACAAAAATAAACTATACTGCATATAATATTTATATTACTATGATGTTATACATATATTTGTAAATATCTAATGTTAATAGATATATACTTTATTAATACTAGATTTAAAAATGAACACTTACAAGTTATAAATCATAAAACTATGACTATGCTTCAGTTTATTTGTTCTGTGTGTCAAGTTGTGTTAATAATTAAATAAATAAATAAATAATACAATAATGAATACCCAAATATTGACTGGATATTACTTGGTGATGTTTTAAACCACTTCAGTTTTTACTCTTTCACATTATAAGAGACTTTACACTCCACTACCCTTTCAGACATCATGGATTTAGATTTGTTTTTCAATTATTTATATATTCATAAAGAAAAGGAGAGAGTCGTTGGGAAATTAGAATATGCCACATTTGCAGTTCTGGATTTGAATCCTGGTATTGTCCTTGGAATTTTATTGGAGAGTAGTTTGAAAAAAGATAACTGATTGTAAAGTAGTATGACCTTTCATTCACACACGGAACATATACCCCTCCTGTACATCAACAATTACTTCATATTTGTGGCATGCATGCTAATTTTAGTAAAATTAACATATTTTTAAAGATTATGCATGAACAAGAAATTCATTAACTATAAATAAAATTAGCACTTAAGAGCCAGAAATTTGCCAAAATTCAGAACAGAGTGAATAATTTTAATTATATTTATATGGTAATGCAAGTTTAACCACTGAGGCTGGGCCTACTAATCAAGTTCCTTGATGAACTAGAACTCATTGATGTGCTATATGCATAGAACGGGGATGTAATTAAAGGACGCCTTATTCTACACACCTCGACCAATTTATCTACACCTACATCTAATATAAGCATATATTAATTATTTATATAATAGGATTTTACATTTAACTACACTCATTGACAAAGGGTCAGACAATTATTACAATTTAGTTTGTGCCAGTCTATAAGGATAGGTATACCAAAAAGTTTGGAAACGACCAAACTCATGGGTATAGCAAACGGATTAATCTCACAAATACTTGCTTAATTTTAATTATCTAGGTAAATTTCATAGATACTAGATTTAATTCTAAAAGTTCTAATAAAATATTACACATTTGTCATACATATATGCTGAATGAGTTAAAAATTTATCATTGTCAATAATAAAAATTTGATATTTTACTTCAGAATTGCTCTATTTCTGAATTAGGTAATAAAATGTTAAAACTCAAAATGCAATGGAGTGTGTGCGTGTGGCACCATGCGGCCTTTTTTACTTTAGAAAAAATAAATTTCTATTAAAAAAAGAAATTGCAAAAACATATGATACAATAATTCTGTAATAAATGTTGGAAATTTTATTGGCAAAATTTTAGACTCTAAATCAAAATGTTTTCTAGATTCATTACAGTCGGCAGAAACGCTGGGAGATGGGGGACAGGCACGCTCAAAGGATTAGATTTTTCAAGGGGTGATTTCTTCGTTTGATTCTACAATTTGCCCTCAATCTACACGGTCCATTTTCCAGGTCTCAAGATAGCCGTTTTAGGAGGAATGGGTCAAATAGGACATACGCTGTGTCTAATGTTAAAGCAGTCACCATGGTTTGATGAGATCGCCATCCAAGATTCTGTCAATCCTAAAGGTCTTGCAATGGAGTTGAATCACATTGACACACAAAATATAGTCACTTCACACGAAGGGCATAGTGGCCTAAAAACAGCTCTTAAGGTAACACATTTAACAAAACAAACAAATTAATTTCTTATTCGTTCATCAACAATATTGTTTTCAATGTGTTCAAAAACATGTGTTCATTTATTAAAAAATAATAATAATTTGAAAGGTTTTCTTTGTGTATCATCCCTGTTCCACTCAAACTGAAATGATTGTTGTTTTTTTTTAAATCAAAATACTTTAATAATCAAATTGTTTTGATTGGTCATATTAACCAAAGAAATTATTTTGATTGATTTATTATTTTTTATGAAAAGTATGTTTGAATTGAAAATTTAGTGACATGAGCGACTCAAAACCACCCTAGAGAAAGTAGGGGACAGTCTCTAGGCTTGCAGATACGGTGGTCGTGGGTTCGATTCCCTCTAATGCCCCTGGAATTTCTTAACCCTCTCCTTTCCTCCAAAAAAATCATATCTTAACACATACGACATAAAGAAAAAATTAAAGTGTTGAAGATGGATGCATCTGTATTAGTGTGGTTTATGTTTTCTTTAAAACAAACTCAATTTAATTAATAATAAAATAAAGGAGTATAATTTTTTAAAATAGTTTAGACTTTAATGTCTTGTTTTCAATGTTGCATAAAGTTGAACTGTCTTGATCATCAGGTATGATAAAGTCACAAATTTTATAGCTTAGGAAGATCTTTCATTAAGAGCAATTTTTTTTAATACTTCATTGAGAAGGCTTTGAAAAAATAGCATTTATTTTTTAGGGAGCAGACATAGTAATGATAGTTGCAGGGCACACAACCGAAAAATATTGTCCAGGATCGAAAGATGACCTTTTTACAGCCAACTGTAGAACCGTATATGAACTAGCAAGAAGTTGTGCTGTTCACTGTCCTAAAGTAAAAATGATTCTCTACAGCAACAAAAAAAAAGCACAAACTAATATCAGGAATTTTATAGGCATTTATTGCTGTTTGTACAAACCCTGTGAACAGTACTCTTCCCATCACTTGTGAAGTTTTCAAAAGACTCAACCGGTTTGTTGACCCCTGTAAGATGTTTGGCGTAACAACTTTGACTGTGGTTAGAGCAAACACACTTGTATCAGAAGTTATACAAGTAATTCAATAGTTATATTCAGGTATAATTAAAAAAATGAAAGGTACATGAAATACCAAATTTTTTTGTTTGTCAGGTAGTTCCGGAGACAGTTGAAGTTCCGATAATTGGAGGACACTCGCCTTCAACGATGGTGCCTGTCCTATCGCAAGCAAAACCTTGCGCTCAACTGACTACAGTAAGTAACGATTGAAGAATTTACCGAAGAAATGCGAATACAGAAAATCAGTACATAATTTATTTTCACATTAGGAAGAAGTGGTACGAATCACAAGAGCTTTGCAAACTGCAGGGGATGAAGTTCAAAAAGCAAAGAACAACCAAGGCACTGCTTCATTATCCATGGGTTTTGCAGCGACAAGATTTGCAGTGTCATTGGCCAAAGCCCTAAGTGGTATAAATAAACATATTACCTGTTTATAAAACCAAGAAATATTTATACACTTTGTTCCAGGTCAAGACAATATTATAGAATGTGCCTACTTGATGTCAAATATCATCCCTGAGCTGCCCTATTTTGCCACCCCAGTCCAGCTGGGTCCTTGTGGAGTGCAAAAAAATCTAGGTATACCAGACTTGTCTAGCTATGAATGCTGCCTGCTAGAAACAGCAATCCCGTTCTTGAAAAGGGACATAGAAAGTGGTGAAAATTTCATAGCTGATGTAATAAAGAACAAGATAATCTTTTAAAAACCATTAAACAAAAAATTAAGCCTCCTCCAAACTGCAGAAAGCACTGAAATTTCAACCAAAAAGAGGAAAATATAAATTAATGTATAATAAAAGAACATCTGAATTATTGACATGGCTATTATGTTCTCTTTTGCAAATAAAGGATTTAGAAAAAAGTATTTTTATTTTTATTTTTTTTTACAAATTCACAAATCACAAAACTGTGTTTAAAATAAATGTATTAAACAATTAATTATTAACAGTACAAACATAAATATTTTTTTAAATATACAGATTTAACTTAAGTAAATTAATATTTCAATTAATCTAGCAGTCATTAACACACAGTTTATCACATAAGTTCCAGTAAAACCTTAGCATAAATGACTACTTTAATTTATCACTCCATTTTTTAGTGTGATCATTTCATTATATTCATTAAAAACATTGCATATGAAGCACGAGTTAAAAAAAGTTTCTGAATGCTAGAAAAAAGAAAAATATAACTGCAAAGAAGTTAGATCAAAAAATAATATCAAAAAATAATATTTTAATTATTAAGTCCTTTAAATATGAAACAAATTACAAAAATTAAAATTCTGTGGCAATTCCCACCATTTTATTGCAACCTGATAGTTTGTCGTTTATACTTTTATGGAACATTAATAATGTATTTTACAAAATAAACGTAGACTACGATTCAACTGAATTATTCAATAGTTCATTATTTACATCTACTGTATCTGCCATCTTATCCCGAACCTTATTAACAGATCAATGTTAAAATTTGCATTAAAAAAGAAAATAACTTAAAAGTACTTACTTGGATTATTTGTTGAATTGCTTCTCGGAAACAAAGGAAATTGTAATCGATTACACCTACAGGAAAAAATGAGTTATGCGAGTTTATATTATAAGGTTCAACTCCCAATACCAACCTTGTTTTTCAAAATTGTCCTCCCTAAGTATGCACACAAGGGCGAGAAACTTATTGACCTCACGTAAGTAAAGGATTGTTCCGTTGTTTAATTTAATCAGACTTGAGCTTTTATCGTCAAATGCTTCGTTTTCAATATCTTCTTTCATGCTGTAAAAAATTTCTCATCATGATAAATCTGAAACCTATGACCTACTGATAAATAGTTAAGAAAAACGAACCCATAAATACCAGACAAATCTATGACTACATCTATCATATCACAGCACAGTTCATAACTTTGCATGTCGACTGGAGAACAGTCTGTTGCTACGTAAATCTTAGAAACTACATCAAACAGAAAAGCTTTTTCTATACCAGAATTCTAAAATAAAAAATATTTATTATTGCCTTTAGATATTTAAACCGAATAAAAGGAAAAACTCACAGAGATAAATATATTGAGCAGATTTTCTAATGTAGGAAGTTGAGGTATAAGCTTTTGCACAACCTTAGAAAAAGCTTCAAAAATACTATGGTCATAGATTGAAGTGAGATGAAAGCTTAAATTTATATTGTCAAAACCTATTAAACATAAAATTAAAAAATTGCAATTTGTGTAAATGATTATTTGGAGATCGTGAGAAATTGTGTAAATGGTCGATTTTTTACCTGAGTCAGAGAGATCATCGTTAGCACGCTGATGGATATCTCTCTGTGTTTCCATCTTGTTGTCTTCAGTCAGACCGTCGACTTTGTGTATAAACGTCTCAAAGCGTATGTTCGGATTGATTTTATAAGCCTTGGTTACAGTGGTGTTTAATTTATTCAGAGCATCCATATAATCATCCTGAAATTAAAAAGTAAATAAACACAAAAGGTCATTAATTCTGAGGTTTGTCTCACATTGGAACGGACTACGACTAAGGGCACCTTACTCATGCGAAATCGTGAGATGCGGTCTGGTGTGATGTAGGTTTCAGAAAAACATTTTCTTTATCGTGCCAACGTTTCGATCTTTATTGAGATCATCTTCAGGGCCTGGGATTTACAAACATTGTGTACATATAACAATTACATTTTGGATGTGGAGATACTTTGATTGAATACATAAAAAAATATATTTTGCATTGTATAAATTCACTTTTCCACATCCAAAATGTAATTGTTATATGTAAACAATGTTTGTAAATCCCAGGCCCTGAAGATGATCTCAATAAAGATCGAAACGTTGGCACAATAAAGAAAATGTTTTTCTGAAACCTACGTCACACCAGACCGCATCTCACGATTTCTAAACAATTATTTCTCATATTGGGACAGACTTGTCAGAGCCATTTGTCCGTCAGTAGTGATTGTTCTGTTTTGGTTGGCATGAATTTGTAATAATATTTTTTTTCTAATTTTTACATTTTTTTAGAAGGCAATTTCTTTAATTAAAAGAATTACCTACGTTTTGGGTCAATTGTTTCTCAGGACAAATCCTAACAACTTCTCAAAAAGTGTACTAATGCTTCACATCTTACGGGACCAGAAATCAGCGAAAAGTGCCAATTCGCTTAAAACCAGGTGAAAATGGAAACACATGCACATGCCCTCATCTATTGTGCCAATCTCGTAATATTTAATATAATTGCAGGAAGCAAATGGATCAAAAATAATTGAGATTTGTAATGCAAACTAGTGTGAATGGATCCTCGCACCCTGCCACAAGCATGGATTGAAAACATTTTTTTGGCCAGATGATGTATTTATGAGTATAATGTAAAAATAATGACTGTATAAGGAATCTGCAAACTTTTTTTGTATGTACTTTCTCAAAAATAAGTACATACTAATATAAATAGTTTATATCGAGTTCTATGAGTTTTGTAAAAACAATATGTAAGCTTCAATGCAATGAAAATTATATTCTTCTTACGTCGTCCGTCGAACACAAAAAAACTTGCTGGGATTGATATTATGTCGGTTCCAGTGTGAGAGGGCTGATTATATTTTTTTGTTTGGGAATGCTTGGACATATATGGGCGTTGATTTGTAGTCAATTCCAGTGTAAGTAAAGCCGGATATCAACTTACTTGGGCATCTATGACAAAAACTAATGCTCCGCAGGCCCCGAAGATCGCTTCGAAGTCCGAACTCGAATCAAACAGGTCAATCTGTCCTGGAAAGTCCCAAATTTGGAACTGGACAAAAGAGGAGTTCGACACTTCTTCTTTTATAGATTTATTTGTACCCTCGAGGAATAAAGTCTCATTGGGCGACATCTTATGAAATACGACCTTCTCTATCGACGACTTGCCACTCCTGCAATAATGTGTAATCGATAGGATTTTTTTTTTTAATTTTATTTACGCCTTACCTTCTCAGTCCCATGAGAATAATCCTCGGCTTCTCGTCATCTTGGTTAAGACCACCATCACGGTCAAACAGAAACTCCTTCTGTTCATCATAACTCTGACCGTATTGGTCGTCCTCGTCTTGTTCAAAAGACTGAAATATGAGAGCTTTAATAAACACAACTCAGAGGGAAATAAATGTTATTCATGTCGCAGCATGTGAGATTAGAAATAGAAAGGAAAAAACAATATCTAAATCAATATTGAATCGTCATATCAATTGTCAATATTGAACATACTATAATTAAAAAACAAATAAATTAAATAGCTGAACATGGCTAATAGTTCTTGTTGGTATTAATTAATTATTAATAACATGGTATTTAGCAAAAAAAAATTTCCTTTGTTAACAACAAAGTGATAACTGTTATCAACGTTATTTACCAATAGAATGCATGCTTGATAATTCATAATTATCCAAAACATACCATAATGATAAAAACGGAGTTTTCTCCAGGAAATCGGTGTTAATATTTATTGAACTTTGTAAGTCACATTTAAGCTAAAGCAGTCCTGCTTTATGAATCCTTAAATATCTCTTCAACCGAGCTCATGCTTTGCCATGAGGTCGATGGGTTAATCGTTTCAGAACCGAAACGACGACATATGCTCATGCAATTGGGGTACACGTCGCTAGTAATACATTACAAATATTTCCTGGTATGAATATGTCCTGGCATAAAAAGCAGAGTACTCTATATTGCATTACTCCATATCTTCTTAATATCCACAAAAACAAAGCTAACGATAGTAGATTAGTAGTAATGACTACGGACTACACTAGCGCCAAACAGCATAGACCAACATAACAGGTACAGATTTACAGATGTTGCAGTAAGGTATTAGAAGTATAGACAATTACAATTTTATTTTACTCCTTTCCTCTTTAAAACTTTCAAGCATTGCTTCAAAAAGCACATACAGAAAGTTGGTTGTTCAATAAAATTTACAATTTAAGAGAAAAACAAAAAATCAAATTATACAAGACACAATCCAAGAATTTTTGCAGACAATTCAGCAGTTGTTATAGCAGTTCATAAAAAGGAAAACTTATCCGACATTAAAAAATTATAGACCCGTATCTCTACTTCAAATATTTTCTAATAGATTAAATATTTTCTAAAATAATTTTAAAATAGATTATTACTTTTTTCCCAGAAAATAGTATTTTAAATATGAGGCAATGTAGTTTTCAAAAATCAAAAAGCACAGAGGATGTGCTTATAATTTTTTTTTTACCCTGGTCTAACTAGATAGATAAAAGGTTTATAAGATGATTTTTAGAACATAGAAATTTTTTAGACTAATTTATCTTTTTTAAATGTTTTTGTTTAAAAAAAAATTTCATTGTATTGCTTGCGGCCCTTTAAACAGTTTTACCTCAAAGATGCCTATAGGATCAACTTGGGCATAAATCTATATATTTTTCTTTTGTACAAGGAAATTTGTATTAATTGTCTCACTTTTTTTTGTGTGTATTATATATTAGCTTAATAAAGTTTGTAGAAAACAAATTCAAGATTAAGAAAACATAAAAATAAGTGACACTGCATTAGAATCAAAGTTAAGACAGTATTTATATCTGGTTTATATAAAGATATAATTTATTATATTTTATATAAACCTTTACATAAACCAGATATACTAGCAGACAAAACATCAATTCTGCCCTATCTCTGATTCTAATGCATTGCCATTTATTTATATGTATTCTTAATCTTGTTGTTCCTTATTGCTAGTCCTAAAAGTATCCGCAAAAGAAATAATAAATAAAAACTTATCTGGTATTAGAAATTTTGGACAATTTTTGACACGTATGGCTGGAGTAGTAACTTTTATTTAGTAAATGGGAGAAACACCTTGTTTTGACGGGTTAGTTGAGAATATTAATAACAATTTTAAGAATAACTTAATGACTAAAACCCAAAATTCTATATACCACGTGTTTTATAAAGAATTAGATTTAAGTTTATCTGGTGGTTTGAACAAAACCACATTGGTAGAACGTGTATCAGTGGGAGATTGAAGACTTGTTTCATAACTTTTTTCTTTGCTCTATGTTAATGAAGTACAAGATCGGATGGTTCAGCAGAAGTATGTTAACTAGAGAGGAGCTTGTACACCTAAATGGTAATGGCTGAAAGAAACTGTACGACTACCACCTTGGTGATTGGAATTATAGAAAGTTTATAATTGAACATTAAAACATATAATTTAACTCTGCATATGACTGTTGTATATTGTATTAAGTGCACAACACAACTCAGCAGATGGACTTCAGTCCATGGTCTGTGTAGATTATACAGATATGTTTTTCAATGCTGAATAAAAGAGAAAAAATAAAATTCTTTATTATTATTACAAATGATCTCTTTTAATTGTGTAACACCAGCCACTTGAGCTTTTTTTTTATGATGTTGCACCTTAAGCGTATAAGTGCAGAAACATGTGCCTGAGCAGAAAAGGTCAAATAATGAAGTTGATATAATAAACTCTTGGTTAAATATGCCATTTAAATATCTCTAAAACTTGCTTTAAAAATTTTTCAAATTCAAGAAAAAATCTCCCCACAAGTGTAAAAATTCAAAAACGTTCATCAACTTGACAAAACAAAAATTCACGTTCTTGCCTTGAAATGGTGAAAATTCAAACTTTTCTGGATAGTAAACATATTCCCTACTTTGGATTTGATTTCCAGAAATAATGGTCAAGTCTATAAGTCAGTAGGCTAGCTACTTTAAATCCTATTTTCAGATCTAACAGAGTGTTTTATTAATATTATTATAATTATTACCATCATCAGATGTTAGATCTGTACATTCCTTAATTTGCATCAACTGTCCTAAAACAATTATTTAATTTAGAAATAAAAAGGCTAGAAACATCCTAATTACGATCCGAACGCCACCTATAAAAGTCATTTTATTATTTACATGGTTACTACTATAATCTGATTAAGTAAAAAAAAGTAAATAAATGAAATATTGTATATTCATTTGAGGACACTATACGCTTGCAAACAACATACCTGATATAGCAGTAAGATTATCAGACGTAGTTGTACAAGCATATAAATACAGATCCAACAGTCAGAATCTTACGATTGTGAATCAAAATTTAGCATAATGTTTTAACGTTTGGTAAGTGAATTGACAATAGGGTGGTACATAATAAAATAAGGTTTATAATTAAATAAGCTGAGTTTTTATTTAATTAGGGTACATAAAATATGTAGTATAAAAAAATGTATAAAAAAATATCTATAACTTAACAATTACTACATGAACATAATGTATAAAGGAAAGAAAAAAATAGGAAGAAAAAGAAAGGCATGCATAAATAATACTTAAAGTAACCGTATATTAATTACATTTTCTGAAATTTTCCAAGGTACAAGAAAGTGGCATTACAAATCTTAGCAAATAAATATCCATTTTTTATAATTCATTAATGCATTTAATTTAATCTTAAAATTGATAATGCTTAGGTGCACAATTAGATTTTAAGCTAAAATTCAATTTAATATCACCAAATAAATTAACCACTTGTGATATGAGTTTTATATTAAGAATTTCATTGAACTTACCCCAGTGCAATACGATAATTTATTGACATTATGAACAAACTATATTATATTAACAATCTAAATTAATTATCGATTTAAAAAAATTTTAAAAAAAGCAATACATAGAATAATTTATACTTAATTCTGTCAGTCAAATTTGTCTTATCACAAAAAAGTAGTCATTACGTAACTATAGGTACACCAAATAGCCATGTGCATTTTTTTCTTTTTAATATCACTTATAAGCGTTTAAAGTTAAAGTAGAGAGCAATTTTTGTTAACGTAAAATTCTATTAAACTGCTGTCATTTCCATCACATCATATTTTCCTCTTTCTGCACAAACAAGAGGATAAAATATGGAAGTGTAGTAAATCAAAGCAGAGCCTACAATGACAAGCATTATTAACGATATAATACCCCATGCTGAAAGAAATCTCCCTCCTGGTTTGGTTTTTGGTAAACTACCTGAAAAAAATATAGTAATTTTTTAAAGATCAAAATAATATAAACTAAATTATTGATTATCGACAATTGTTCTGCCAAGCTTTCCCTGGATGCACAGAATTATTTCCGAGATAAAGTTTCAGAAATAGCAGGAAAGGGTAAAACGGCTGAATTTATCCTGACAAAAATTCCAGGCACACATCTTTCAAACTGAACTCTACACATAAAAATTATTGAAAACAGCTGGAACACTGAAAAATACCTAGTTTGGGTTTTGGCAGATTCATGGGGGTGCTTAATATTCCACCATCGTCCCCCAACACATTCATGTTAATAAATACAGTCACTCTCAATATATATGCCCTAAAGGGAACACAAAACAAGATATCATTTCAGTCGTATTTATGTCAGTACTAAATTATGGATTATAAATCACTGACAGTCGTCAATAATTTCTTTCCCTGGGTTTTCTTTTTATCCCAGGTTAACAGTTATAAAACAGGCCTATTTCCTGCATAAATTGAATACTTGCCGCCGTACTCTAGCACAATTAGTGGGTGGCATTCTTACACACTCTCTGAAACCAAGGAATGGTTTAGTTAAGTAGGTCACATCGAGGAACCTTTCTCTCATGCTGGACGCACATGGGCTTTGACCCAAAAGTAAGCCGCACAGCCTATTCTTAATTAATAAGTAAATTGAATTTGTACATCAAATCTGGTTTTAAGGGTCACTGCATTAACAGGCATCCCTGGAACACGTCTGCTGAAGCTCCCCCCCCCCAAGCTTTAGTTGCTTCTTGTTATGTGAGTGGGCTACTGAAGCCTGACCCTGCATTAGCGTATGAATGTGGCAATAGGGCAAAGAAATGTAGTGGTGGTCGATACAGAAGGACTTCCAAGGCAATAGTGGGGTCGATCTCATTGCCCCAGTGATGCTAATATGTGCTAGTCTATCAGCAGGATATTAAACTGCCCTTAGGTGTAAAGTCTTTGTCCACCGAACGCTATCATGGGTCTAACTACCACTCTGTATAGCCATAGAGACATATTTGAGTATTGTCCCCAACTTTTCCCACAGAGGTGGGATTTTTGTTCTCTGTGTTATTTTATTTAGCAGTTGATTCTACGAAAGTCTTTGGTCAATGGTCACTTCCAGATATTTAACCTTGTTAGAAAAAGGAATTACTTCATTTAGCACAAGGGGCTTAATCCTCCTAGTGCCTTTTTTTTTTTTTTTTTTGCTAAGGAGAATTACAATGGTATTGTTACGGGTGACTGACAACTCTTCCTTCTTCTTATATTGAGAGCATTTGAACATTTTCTGTAATGACGTGGCACAGCGTCGATTCACGACTACCGCCAGATTAACTGCATATCCCAGGGAGTGAAAGCTTTTATCAGATAGCAGTTGAGCTTACAATACATATTCTTCACTAGATGGCTCACGCAACAGAACCAGGATTCTGACTGGACTCCTGACAGAGTACTGCCGCCTAGAAAGGCACATGCACTGGATAGGAGTAAAGACAGAAGAAACACTGTGCAGATACTGCCAGGAAGAAGAGACTGCAGAACACGTTCTCTATTTTTGTGAGGGTCTATGTAGGTGTAGATTCTTGCAATTAGGAGAAGAAAAGCCGCAAACAAGATTCTACACTAAGAAGCCGCTGGATTAACAACCTGAGGCCAGTGAGTAATAAAAATATAGAGCATAAAAGATCTACTACTAAGTGCAGAACACATTGTGGCCACCCCTTTTATCCTTATCCCTAGATGACTCATGTGACTTAAATTAGAGCCTGGAATAACTTTTGATTCAAGATTGAGACTTATAAATCCACACATATTTTTAAAAAAATTACCACCGTTCTGAAGTTTTCCATTAACAGGCTCTCCCAAGAATCCTTTTGCTCCCTGAGACTTAGCGGATTTCCCTCCTCCAGATGAGGACTTTGCGTATCCGCCGCCACTTGACCTGGCACCGCCTCCGCCACCACATTCAACAGATAGCACGTACAAACCTGCATTACAAAGACATAACAACATTCTATGCGTTCTCGTGCATTGTAAAAGTAAAAAACTTACAGAAAAACAAGATTAACACTGTTCTAGTCGAAAACATAGCGCTTGGTTATTAAATCACTACTAACTTTATATTTCATTGAGTTTAAGATCCTTATTAAAACCATTACTCCATATTACTCTAAAGAATAGTTTAAAATCCAGGTTTTTACTGTCACGAATCAACAAGTATCCATAAACAGTTAATTATTGAATGCTTTAAGCAGAATATGACAGAGGGCGCTAATATTTGTATTTTGATGATTCGATAGTGAAAGTCGAAAAAGTAAATTCATACTAATGTCGATTATTTAATCTTATTTTAGTATATCGCTGGGTGATTCTGTAATCTGAACTTGTGATTTTGTGAAGTATTTACTATTTATAGTATAGCAAGCACGTATGTACGTAGTTTTCTGAAATTTTGCTCATTGTACTTTTATATTGTCTTGAAAATTTAAGTTTCAAATCCGCTTTTTTATATTTGTAAGTTTATAGATTTGTCATCATTTAAATCACTAGATTAATAAAACACCGGTGAAAGATGAGGAGCCCTGAACGTTTCGCAGTATTATTCCTCTTCGCGCTGTCCACCCTGCCAGTATTTTCCCTAGGAAATAAATATTCGAAAAAATCCAACGATGAATTCTCCAATAAAGAAGCGTACAAGAAAGAATACAAGAAGGATTTTGACAAACGTGAATACAAACAGAAAGATTACGACATGAAGAAGAAAGAATATGACGGAAGAAAGCGTGAAAACGACGCCGGGCATAACGAAAATAAATTCTACAACGACCATTCCCAGTTCGTAGATCAGAACGCAGACCTGAGGAAGATCGACAAACCGTTCAGGATGGCCAAACTCAATTTGCTGTGGACAAAAGCTCAATCGGTAAAGATTAAAGGGTTAACTATCCAGAAGTTTTGTCTTGGAAGAATAAACACAAATAAATTTCATCTAATGGTTGTGTAATCTAGATGTAGGCTGGTTGCACGCTTTTGGTTTTCTGTTGCATTGTTTTCAAATGAGCCGACGCTAGCCAAAAAATCACAGTTGGCTGCTTATTGGGTGAAGCGACTGTCACTTATAAAAATTGAGATGAACAAACACATATTTGTGACAGTTGACAACACCCATAACACAAAAATTTGTTAATAATCATATAGTCAGCGGAACCGGACATAGCTTCCTCCAGATGGACGTCTATTCTTTCCTTCTGTAAACCCTCGTAGGATTTTGTATATTTCCGACAGTGAAGCATTATGTGTTTAAAGTCCTCCTTTACTCCACAGGTCTCACTATTGGAGTGTTGTTTCCTGTCAATCTTATGAAGGTACAGAGCACAGATGGTTAGTTTTTAATCGATGCATGATAATTTTTTTATGTCCATTTTATTTTCACAAGAGGAAAACGGGTCATATAACCCACTCTCTTATATAACGATGTATGTACAATTTGCCATTCTATTTGGTTTTTGTTTCTAACATTTGGAAAAGGTTTGTACAGGGAATCTTTATGTTTCTGGTGTTGCAAAACTGTGTAGCATATTTAGCCAGTGTGTCAGCTTTCTCATTACTGCATAGACCCATGTGACCTTTAATCCACACGAAAGAAACTATCTTATAATATATAAATTATAGTCAATTCGAATCCTGATCACGACACTGACGTTTTCATCTCAACTAAGACCTTACATAAAAGAATAATTAATTGAAATAATTAATAAGGCCAAATATGACCACTAAACATAAATGGGTTTATTAAAATATTTGATTTTCAGTCTTATTATTAGACAAAATATTTATCTTAATTTGACAAATATTTGTGAATGTTTTACAATTAGCCATTGATAAATTTGGAATTTAACAGGATCTAGATGTAAAAATTTGACAAACTGCGCCCTTTGAGACGAATTCTATTGGCATTTTGTAACTACCGCACATCAGTGAGTCTTGATTCATCAATGAATTTGATTATTAAGCCTTCTATGGTTATCCCACATCCCAAAGCATTTCTCCCTGTGGAGAAGCGTAGCACCATAGTCCATTAGTAGGCGCATTGGGGTTTCTTCTAGTTGTTGTCATGATGCCTCATCACTATAAAATCCTATATCACCACAATATCCTTGGCACTTTAAATTGATGCTTTCCAACATTTAAATGATTAACTGATCAATTTTACTGCAATTGTATTTTTAAATCACAGTAATATAAAATTGCAGCGTGCACCAGCATAATCCTATTACATAAGAACTGCTTTTACATTTTTAAATATCTATTTAAACTTGCTATTTAAATACCAAACTGTAACATTTATATCCATTTTTATATTGTTTTAATTTTAATTTACATTAATTTGTTTTTATATTTCAAGAGATTGACCGAGCCAAAGCTAAAATCCATTTTTTCCGAATTGAAGATCCAAGATAAAGAAGAGCTTGCTTTAAAAAAATTGAAACATGAAGGAAATGATAAGGAAGGGCTTCTTGAAGCTGAACTGCGCCAAAAATTATTAAGTCAGCAATTCTTGTAAATTTGGAATTTTTGTGTTGTCCATAGATGTTAAGATAATTTTACTGAAAATTGTTTTCTGTAGCTATCATGAAAAATTATGGTTTGACCGAACATGTCACTGAAATCCAAGATAAATCTAAACATAAGCAAGATGGAGGGAGCTATACAGTTATCGAACTTTTCACTGATAAAAAACTAAACAAATTGTGGCAACAAGCCGAACATTCAGGGTTTACAGGTGAAATTCATTTCTATGGTTATTTCTTATTTTGAATTAGTTAGCCCATTGAGAACAGTGAGCGTGATATTGCACTCTAGTCTTTTTACTTTTAGGCTGAAGTTCAAAGAAGAAATGTGTTGCTAAAATAGTAAACAGCATTATCTTTTTCAAATTACTTTCTCTCACTAGTGCTAAAAATAATAATTTAAACAGCATACTGCTTCTATGAGCTTCATTCTATATCACGCTGTCAGTAACTGACTTGGCAAACGAACACTTTCCGACCTGATTGGGTTAGAAACATTTTGACAAATGTAGTTTAGGCTGTAGCTTTATCTTACTTAATTATCTGGTCTGTTAATTAAAAAAGAGAAAATGGTGAAATGCTGAAACATCTGACAAGCAAAACTAGTTTGAATTTGCAGATTAGGAATTGCCAAGTTACAGTAAAGTTGCAACTGTAAAAATATTCTTAACAACTCATAAAGCAACATATAATATCATAATGCATAATGATATAAAAACTTTTCTTTTAAAACTTTAGCTGAAGAGTTGCAGATGTTAAAAGAGGAGTTTACCCACCATCAGCAAAAAGTTGATCAGTACAATCAAATTTTAAACCAAGTTGGAGATGCTTCCAAAAATAATGCAATCAGTAAGCACCCAACTTATTTAAATAGCCATCTTATAAAAGTTCATCAATAAAATAAAAATTGAACTTTTCAGATTCAGTGGATGAAAAACATGATCGGTTTAATGAATTAGACCAGCTAGAAAATGATGATCCAGTTGTACATCAATATCTTAATAAAGTCAATGAACTAAGGTATTTTGTTTGTTACTTGAAGTTTTATTTATTTATTTTTAAGTTTTGTTTATTGTTTTTAAAGGGAAAAACATAAGGAATTAAGGGAAGATTACGATAGGATCTATAGAATGGCAATGGGAGGTCCAAAAAGCCAGGAGTTCACAGAACCCCGAATACAAGGTCTTTGGAGAATGGCGTTGACATCCAATTTCAAGCCAGACGAATTGGAATCCCTCAGAGTAAGACATTATTCTAAATTGGCTACATTCTTCTTGATATAATTTATCTGTGCATGTTTGTTGTAAATTAAAAATTTTGCTCTAGAGTGAACTATTCCATTATGAAAGGCGGTTGATGAAGCTTCGTAGACTCCATGTTGAAGCCGCGATGGAAGATGAGCAAAGAAAAAATAGTGGGATTGATAAAATTGAGGGATTAGATTTCACCAGTGATCTCATTAAGAAACAAACAAGAAAAGTTGCCAAAATGCACTTAGACATTGAGTCAAAAATAATGGAGAGACACACTGAATTATAATTATTTGTAAAGTAAAGCAAATTTGTACAAAATATATTTTTAATTTAATAAATTTGTCAACTCAGTTAACAAGGAATTTTCACCTATAAAAAATATATATATATATGTTAATAATCAACATTCTAAAAAAATTAAATATTAGGTTAGATGTATACTTTGTTTCTTTCGATTATATCATGCATTTTTATTTCTTTTATGGTACTGGCATATTCATCAAGAATGTTTTGATATTCTTTTACACCAAGGAGTCCTTCATACAATTGTAAAATTCCTGTCGATTTTTCTATTTCACATGAAACATCATTTATTTCTTCAACCAAATTCCTTTTCAAAGCTTCGAATTTTTCTGGTGAGCAGCTGTCGTAAATTTTTGCAGTTATCTCTTTGTTCAAATCACTACACACAAACAAAAAATGTATAATTAACTGTTGTACTAATTGAATAATTACAGTACCTTGCTGACTGCAAAATGACGTTTTTCTTGTCTGCAAGGATGTCACAAATTTTGTCTATCGTTTGGTAAGAAACATTAGTCTTGAGATTCACAGATAAGTCTTGTTTTTGCAATAACCAGTTGAGGAAAGCATGCATCCTTTTTGTCTTCTCCTCTATCGTTTGACATTGTGACAAAATAGTCGACCTGTCTGTTTTATGTATTGGGCCTGGAAAAAAAAAAAAAAAATCAAATTATCCAATCCAACTGGATTCCATTAGTTTAGTTTTAAAGGATTTACAAGACATGGCGTTACTAATATTAAATTGCATTGGATTCGAAGCTACAGTTGTAAAGGAATGGGGTGATGTAGACACACAAGTTTGAGGTTTTTGATTTGTGCATTCGAAGGTATGCAAAGCATTGTATGCAGCAGAGTAGATGATTGAGAGAGGAAGTTGAAGGAAGACTTTACTTCATCATTGTGGCCAGGCTAACCATCTTCAAGTTAAAGCATCATCATTAGACTTTCGTTTTCAGTACATATCCTTTTGTCAAAATGTAACTCCAAATATGTCAACTGTTGTATAAATGAAATGCAATTTGCAGAAACTTTAGATCTGCTTCCATTAGAAGAAAAACAGCAGCTGAAGATGATCAATTATGGGGACTATGCATGATAAATTTTAAGTACTGGTTTTAACGGTTCAAAAGTGGTGATTTCAACACAGAGGATAAGGAACATGAAGGAAGGTCGGAAACATTTGAAAATCTAGAATTGGCGGGATCATTGAATGAAAGCTCACGACAAACAGAAGAATTAGAAGAATCTTTGGGAATGACTCAAAAAGCAATTTCATTATGCCCAAAACCCATGGAATACTTGAACAAAGGTAGAGGGAGTGGAGCAGGAATCTACATACCAAATGGAATAGTTGAAAACCAAGGAAATTGGGTGCCATATGAATTAAAGCCAAGAGATTTGGAAATATTTTTCACTTGCGAACATCTGCTCCAAAGGCAAAAAAGGCTTTTTGCATCAAATCGTAACTGGTATGAAAGATACATTCCGACAATCCAAAGCCTAAGAAATTGCAGCCAAGCCAAGCATCAAAATCAAGCGATGAAGCTGACGCTGTGTATTTAATGGGATCAACTGTAGTATATTATGAGTTGGTAAAAATGAATGAAACCATCACAGGAGTACGCTACCAGTTGATACAGTTGAGCTGAGCATTAAAGAAGAAACGGAATAAGCAGACGGTGATTTTGCAGGCAATGCTCGATCACATGTTGCTTTTTCAATCAAAAACTACTTGGAAACACTCAAATGAGATATCCGACGACAATTTGTTTCGATCAATGGCTCATGTCCTATCTGAGCAGCACTTCCACTCACGAGGAATGCAAAAAAACAGGCCGATTCTTTCATTGCCTTTAAAGACCAGTCGTTTTTTCAATATAGAATTTGTACGCTGCCAGAAAGAAGAGGGGAAAATAGGGGCTATCGACGGACAATACTTTGAATAATTTGTTACCATTTTTGCACAAACAATCCTTTAAAACTTACTTCTACCCTCAATACCTAATGTGCTAAAAACGACAAAAAGAAGAGGTCACACCTTCTATACCTTTATATTATTACTAAACAGAAAACCTTACCAAAAGATCGTTTGAGGTCTACTACCCAGTTGATCATTTGTCCAACCTCTTCCTCTACAATTTTCTCTAAATTTGGGAAGTCTTTGACATCAACGTTTTCAGATCCTTCTTTGGAATCCACCAGGACCGATCTTATTTGGTCACATTCTTCATACCGAGTGTCCAAAATGAACGTTTCGTATTTTTCATTAAAAATCTTATTGTCCAGACACCTTTGCAAGGAGTGAAGAATGAGCTCTTTTTGAATCACCTTCTGATGCAGCTCAACCAATTTATCAGCCATGACAGCCAAGAAAAATATATTAAAAACGACTTAACTTTCAAAGAAAGAAGGAACATTCAAAACATTCAAATTCAAGTTTTTTGAGAAATGATAAAACCTCCGTAATCTGGTTGCCGGAGACTCATTCGGCAAAAATGTTGTTTAGATAAAACCTCCGTGTACGTAAATAAGTAAATCCCGGCAAAATACCGTTAGAACTATAGACGTAGTTCCCAGCCTCGTTGATAGTCATGACAGTTGACAAGTAGTTCATTTTCAATAATTGTTTTTGAACACTTGTTAAAGTCGTAGAGTAATCTATTTTTCTTCGAGTAAAAAATTAAATTAGATCTTGTCTAAAAAAGAAGTTGTTATTTGTAGCAGATTTAAAAAAAAAATTATCTTGATTGACATATTACAGACATCTATTTAAACTTAACCCTAATTCAAGTCCAAAATAATGGTGCTTTTTAACTAAAACTAAGCCAAAATGAACTTTTGAAATAATTTCCTGTAACTAATGACTTCCAAATTTAAAAAAAAAATCTTTTACACGAACTCGAATCTTTTTCATTGAAAAATTTACCATAATTTAAAGAACTAGTTAGTATTTGCTGTAAGAATTATTTAAATTGAATCTTGTCTAAAAAAAGAAGTTTGTTACTTTGTAGCAGCTAAAGAAACAATTATCTCGATTGACATATTACAGAGACAACTATTTAAACTTAACTTTAAGTACCAAAATAATGTTTTTTAACTAAAACTAAGACAAAATCAGAAAAACAAATAAACTTTTAAAATAATTTACTGTAATTGATAACTTCCAAAAAAGAAAAAATACCAATGTTTTATACAACTACAAAAATATAGCATAATGTTAAAGAACTAGCTAGTAAGAGTTACTTAAATAACTTTTTATTTCATGTTTGAAGTTTTTATTACACGGTTCATTGCTCATGTTAAAATTTTGATTGTGCTTTATATGCCTATTTATTTTTTTGAATTTTTTTTGTTTCACGTTTCAAGGTTCTTGTGGTTTGTTTTGAGGTATTTTGTTTTGTCTTTTGCTCGTGATGAAATTTTGATTGCACCTTATTTGCTTATTACTTTATTTGCAATATTTTGGTTTTGGCATGTTTCATGTTTTTCTGGCTCTTTTTTTAAAGTTTTTACTGGTAGTTTTGGGTTTTATTATGCGTTGTTGTTATGTCCCACTTTTTTCACATTTGAAGTCTGTATTACATGACTTTTCACATTTAGAGGTTTTAATAGAAATGATAAATGGTGGAGTATGTTGTCCAATCTTTTTATAAAGATTCAGAAATTTTTTTTAAGGAGGGTATTTTCAACTACGAGGTTATATGAACCCTCGGGGTGCCATGTTTTTGAAAAAATGCCCATTTGTATGTCAGGTTCGAATGCAAGGCCACTGGATTTGAACCTGGGACCTTTTTACCTTACATGATGAGCACTGTGTCAACGCCTAAACCGCTCTCTTAGAGGTTTTTATTACACATATTGAAGTTTTACGGCTCGTTTTAAGGTTTCTTGTTTTTACACTTTTATTGCTAATGTTGATTGTGATTGTACCATTTTTTTCATCATTTCAAGATTTTATTTTATGTTTTTATTAATTAACGTTGTTTACTATTTTTGTAGTAATAGTTTTGTAATTATATTTGTAGTTTACCTTCAGCGTTGGGTCTGTGTCATTGTAACTGTAATTAATTTTACTTAGAAGTGTGTAATGTTAGTTGAAGTCGAATATAGGAAGTTCATTATAGGAATTTTGTAACGAATAATATAATTCATTGAAAGCCATTTGTTGAATACTTGTAATAACAATAATTCATAATACAGGAATAGTAATTATGTATTATTTAAAAGTACAACTTACTTTTTGAATACAGAATACAGTAAAAAACAATTGTAATTTTTTTAAAAAGGTGTATTTATTTATAAATAAACCTATTTCTAAAAACGTTTTTCTTGCATAATAGAAGGGATGAACAACAAAAATAAAATTATCAAAAGTAAATAGAAGTGTTTATATATAATCTGATTAATTTACACTGTTTACTTGCGTTCAAATAAAACCGTAAATATTACTGAACATTATACTTATTTACAATAGGGAAAATTCATATTTTGTAAAATGATAGTTCAATTTAAACACAGAAAGAAAAAAAAAGAAAAAAAAGAAATTGTTCTAATTAATTTCTTCGTGAAGCTGTTGAAGCAATGCCATTCTCCTCAGCTGAAGTTCAGTATCGCTAAGCTCTTCAGACTTATCTTTTGTTCCACTTTCGGGAGCACTGAATTTCGATCCATTTTTATCTTCAGTTGGAGTAGGTGTACCACTCTTAACTCTGCCCTCCGATTCCCTTCTTTCTTCCTAAAATGAATATTACATAAAATATAAAAATTACAGAAAATTTAGTTTCAGTGCCATGTAACAAGAGTTACACCATATACAAGTAGTGGTATTAATAGAGACCAATGCAATTTTCAAATCATTTAAAAAAAAAAAAAAAATGTTTTCTTAATTATGGAAAAATGTCAGCATAATTGATTCTATTTGCTAATATTTACTTATTTTTATTTAATTTTTTACAGGGATTAACTACACAGTCATATAAACCTGCGGAGTTCTTATTTATTTTATGTTCATTTGAATTCAATAATCTCAGATTTGAACTGTCTAGTGATTAGCTACTATGTCAACGGTAAAACTTTTTGACATCAAAGCCCTTAACATTATCTTTTAAATCACTACAATGGCCCTACACAAAATAAATACAAATGTTTGCATTTATTTTAATAACCTCATAATTTAGACACCTGAAACTGGTTCACAAATATCGTTAGCCACCACCATAAAATAAATACTCTTTCTGTATTTGAGGACCGATAAATACATTCTTTAAGAAATAAGCCACCACCAGTTCCATGAAATACACATTCTGTATATGAGGGTTGATAAAAACTAAGCGTAAAGCATAATTTGTGTTTAGTGAGAATGAATTAACAATAATAATTATAAAACTATTTGTAAATATGCATGAAATATGCACAATGACTTTAACCAGTGAATTTAATTTCCATTAAATCAACAACTAAGATAATTTACTATTTAAAGGCAGATTAAAAAAAAATAAATAAAAAATACTGTACTTCATCAAACAACAAGATAATAAAATGTAAATTAATTTGAATAAATAACCCTACATAAAAATTAAACTAATCAATAACCTATTAATTCATGTGTTGAAGACTATTTTTTCTAAATTGATTTTTAAACTTAAATTGAAATCAGGGACTTTACATGTAGTACACATAAACATAATAACATATGTTTATGTGTGTAGTGAAGATAATAGTACAAAAAACAAAAAAAGCTCACCAATTTGGGTGTATGGACTTCCTTATTCCTCTTCTTCGTTCTTTTTTCCATCTTACAAATAAATATAAAGTAAAAAAAATGGGAAAAAGGAAAAAAAACTTGAAAAACAATAATTTAAAAAAATCTAAAAATAAAGAAAACAACTAAATTTGGAAGTCATATTTCAATAATTATAGAAAAATATATAACTATGTCATTTGATTTAAATATAATTTCAATTTATATTTGTTATACTTGAGTGACATCTACTTTAATATTAGAATAGATCGTGTAATAGAGGATAATTGTTGGATGTACGGAAATAAGATTGGGAAAAAACTTTGTCATAATTTGTTGAGGGATGTATAATTTGTTCAAAATATTCAGATATTAGAAAATAAATGTAAAATCGTAAAATCATTGGAAGGTGTTTAGTTGTTGCCACTTAAATGACACCTGTTAGTATTTATTGCTATAAAATATATACTAACAAATAGTTTTTGATCAATCTATAAGGAAATCTTAAAACTGAATCTGAACCCAGAAAATAAAAATTTAAAGATAGAAATCAATTTTCAAAGTTAATTTTTTTTAAACAAGAAAAATAACAGATACTTTATTAATACCACTGCGAGCACACAGATCTATACTATTATTAATTAAATGTCTTACCTGAAACCTGATAAAATAACTAATCTATATTAAATTTTATATGATTTAAAGAAAATCACACATTAAAAAAATCTCAATTATTTTTTATTACAATTTAAAATAACAATAATAAAAAATAAATAAAAAGGCCGCATTCTGCTTATTATTCAGTATTTGTGGCAATTAATAAATGTATTACAAGTTTGTTTTCAGTTACTCACATGAGGACTGTGTGAATGGGCTCTCTTTTTCTTGGATTTTTTCTTTTTACCTCTCCTCTTATGTTCAGAATCTGAGGATTCGCTCTCACTCCGACTCTTGTGTCGTTTTGATCTTTTCCCTCTTTCTTTTTCTTTGTAGGTCCTTTCCGACTCGCTTTCCGATGCCTAAAAATAGGTAAGATATGTAATTAAAATCTGATATATTTGTATAAATATTACATACATACCAGAGAACGCGATCTAGATCTTTTCTTCTGTTTTTTACTTTTCTTAGTTTTCTTTGATCTTGTATGATGATGACTGCACGATTCTTCTACTTCCTGCTGATATTCCTACAAAGGAAAATATATTTTATAAATTATCCACAAAATTAAATAACAAGTTGGAATGCTTACTTTGAAAATGCGTAATCTATCGGCTTCAATACTGAGAGTTCTAAAAGCTTCTTCATTCGAGAGTTTTTCTCGAACATCTGCCCACTCTGTGTTATAATCGACATCATAATCTCTTAAAAGTGTTCTAAAACCTGCTTCTAATTTTCTCTGCCTTCTCTGGTCTTCTTTCTGTCTTTCCTTCTCTCTTGATTCAGCCTTATCCGTACACAAAAATGTTATTAACTTACACAGCTATCATAACAAAATAATGAAGGGGGATAAGAAATACTAAAAAATTGTTTAATTAATTGTTAAAATTATGTTAATTACAACTATGTATAGTGAAATCTGTGAAAGTGCAAATATAAATTTTTGTTATTTTATAAAATTTAAACTACAAATTTTAATATTTTCAAAGAATAAATAAATTGCAGATTGATTGTCTCCAATTATAAAATGCTCATTTTTTAATTTTAATTTCTTCTTGAAAGATAAGTGAAATATATTTTATAATATGAAATGTACTTAAAAATACGATAATTTTATATTTAAAACTGTAAACCTATACAAAAGTAACAATCATCTATCATTTTGCTTTGATTTCATTTATTGTCCTGTGCAATTAAATATTACTTATTTAGAAATCGTGAGATGCTGTCTGGTGTGATGTAGGTTTCAGAAAAACATTTTCTTTATCGTGCCAACGTTTCGATCTTTATTGAGATCATCTTCAGGGCCTGGGATTTACAAACATTGTTTACATATAACAATTACATTTTGGATGTGGAAAAGTGAATTTATACAATGGAAAATATATTTTTTATATTCAATCAAAGTATTTCTACTCACTCAAAGTGTTTGTCTTCTGTGTAATTGTGCCATTCTTGCGTGTCGTGTCAAGAGTGCCAGTGAGATTTTGCTCTCAACACGACACGCAAGAATGGCACAATTACACAGAAGACAAACACTTTGAGTGAGTAGAAATACTTTGATTGAATATATAACAAAATATATTTTGCATTGTATAAATTCACTTTTCCACATCCAAAATGTAATTGTAATATGTAAACAATGTTTGTAAATCCCAGGCCCTGAAGATGATCTCAATAAAGACCGAAACGTTGGCACGATAAAAAAAATGTTTTTCTGAAACCTACATCACTCCAGACCGCATCTCACGATTTCTAATTAAATATTGATTAATAAATATCACTAATCACCACACATTAAATATTACCTTTTCCAGAAGAGCATTGTATGTTAGTTTAACATTTCCAGCGTCTAACGTAGCAGATCTTCGATCTTCACAAACTACAGTTGCAAATTCTTCAAATGTGGTTGTGACCTGAAAATCAAAATTGTGATCCAGCGTTTCATGCATGTTACCTTTAGGAACTCGTACGTTTCACATACCTCAACTTCAAAACTTTTCTCTTTAAGTATTTCTTTAATTATTTTCCTTTCGTCGTGAAACCTCGATTTCAAGTCTTCGACGTAAAATTTAAATAGATCTAATGGTGTCGAACCTAAATGTGAAACAATGGAATTTAAAATGGGCAAAATTGGCATTTTGTCATTTATTCCGTTACCTGGTTGTCCCAACATAGCTGAAAACCTGAGGTCAGCACTTATTATTGGATAGAGTTCAACCCAAAGTGACATAGACGTCAATTTACCCTCTTCATGTAATTCATTCAGCAGCATCTAAATTAATTTTCAATTATTTAAGCATTTTCAAACCAAACATCAATTATATTTACATAACTTACTTACTATATTAAAATATAGGATTTTTAACTGATTTTAAATTTCAAAGTTAACAATTCCTTCATCTTATGAAATAAATTTGTTCCTTGTTTATAGAGTAACCATGTGTTAGGGTTTTGCATAATGAAAAGTGTATTTTTTTTTTTTTTTAAGCAAAATAATCATAAAATATATTTTTAATTAATTAAATATTGTCTGTATAAATTAATTCTAGAATAATGATTGTCTAATTTACTGTTTTCCTTTTCAACATACCATATTAATTCTCCACCTAATTGGGTATTCAACTTAATCCCAACTGAAATAAATGCTCATTGATCTTTTCTAAAGATTATAATAAACAAAATAATTAAAAATTACTACATACCCCAAAAGAATCTCTGTTTTTTCTTTGCTGTCTTTTTCTTCTCTTTTTCTCTTTTTCCTTATCTTCCTCTTCCTCTTTTTCCAGCTCACGAATATGATCTTCAAAAACAATTAAAGCATCTTCCTTATCCATACCTGAACAAAAAGTGTTTTATTACTATTTACTTTTAAACAAATTTAAGTTAAATTTGAGCCACCTAGTAGATCTGTGTCATTTACAAAACTAGGGTTATCCAAAAGCATTTGTTGTGCTTCCTGCCATGTGGTCCTATGATCAATTTGAGCCATTGCATCCAAAATCGATGTCAACTGTTTCATGTTTCTTTTTTTTCTAAGTTTAGCCTCTTCTTTCTCTCTCTTGGCGAGATTAAAAACAGCGTCTTCATATATTTCTCTCCTATCTGAGTCGCTTACGCTTTTCCAAACATCAAGATGACCGAATGCTTCCTGACACCTATAATACCTCATGGATGAACACATTTTATCAGAAGTCATAAGAAAATGTTCAAGGTCTTCTTTTGCTTTCTTGGCTTTTAATCTTTGTTCATCAACTTCTTCTTTTCTTCTCTGAGTCTTATACGCATTAAAAACTTGTTTCTTGTCACTGAAATGTTTCAACTGAGGATATCTTGGATCGGAGCCTATCATTTTCACTGCTTGCTCCCATGATGCATTACTTGGAATATCCTACAATATACATACATATTCATTAAAAGATTAGACTTAAAACAATTATCTTTTACATTACTTTTTCTTTTAAGAGGGTTCTAAATGCTTCAGAAAGTTCTTTTTTATCCTTGAAGGACATCTTTACATCGTTGGTTTCAGTTTTCCCTGGTAGTGAAGTATTTGAATTACTGTCTTCATCTAAAATATTTAGACAACTGTATTCAAGAAAAATCAATCCCTTAATATTTAAATTTTACAAATACCAGCTTTTGGAGGGGGCGTAGATGCACTTATGGCTGCTAACGTAGCGGCCATTGCTTGATCCAAAGCAGACTTTGCAAGGGGTGGAGGAGTTGTTGATTTTGGGGCTGAAATATCATTTCCTTCAAATAAATAAACATATTTTCAATATAGAAAGTTAAAAATGGTAATTATTAATTAGAATCATTTACCAGAAGGCATAGGTATGGTAGAAGATGGTTCATTTGGAGCAGGTGATGATGTTTTAGGTTCATCATCTTTGAGTTTGTCTCTAAAAATTAAAAAAAAAAAAATATATATATAATTGAATTTTAGAATTAAAAGCATAGTGTTGCATTTGATTACAAACAAATCGAAATTAAGGATTACATTCAAAATTAAAAAAAAAAGAAAAAAAAAAAAAAAAAAAAAAAAAAAAAGGAAGCAATTAATTGATATGCTGAAACCTTTGAAAGAAGTTTCAACAACCAGAGTTTTTTTTTTTTAACTAAAAAACAAAAAAATTAATTCTATGACTTAATTTAATTAATTATTAAACAAATTTTTTAAATACGTACGAAAGACCGGCTTCTTCGACAGCAATTTTTGCTTTTAACTCTTCTAGTTCTTTTGGAATTGTCCACCTTGACTCTTTAGTAACTACATTATGGAAATAAACTTTACCAGCATCTGACTTATATTCTTTCCACGGGCAATTAGAGAGCATTTTCTATTTAAAAAAAACAAAACAAATTGTTTACAATTTAAAAAAAAAATTAAATAATTTTTTTAAATTAATTCATTTAAAAAAATGAATTTACCTCAGCTGGCGTTTTCAATTCTTCAGGCTTTTCCCACAGGCTCTTTTTAGTAACAGTGTTATAATAGTACGTTCTACCATCAGGAGCTTTGTGCTCAGTCCAATCACTTTTTTTGTCCCTAGATTCATCCCTGCAATGTAAACAATTGTAATTAATTATTGTACTTATGTGGATAATAATTTATGAAAAATTGTGGCAAGCTTGTCCAATCGTTTGATAATTTCCGAACATATTGTTCTGCTTATTCTCACTGATTTGCCTGACAGACACGGAAATATTAGAAAATCATACAACGAAAGCCAACCACTGAAGATGGGGAAATGCCGAAGACAGAAAAAACTAGATGAAAAAGCGACAACCTAGTTTCTCGGTTACTATTAATGATCTCTTGCAAGGTTTAACAGTAATGTAAATGAAGTAGTGATTTTAACATTGCTGGAGGGTAATATTCTATTTATATTATTTAAAAAAAGTAAAAAAAAAAGAGAAAGAAAAAAAAAGCATCTTTCCCAACAAGTACACTTTACCAGTTGTGGTGCAACTTGCATACTTTAAACAGTAAATTATGTTGTTTTAGAAAAACCAAGAATAAACAAGGTTCAATTAAGAGTCCCAAGAAAATTCTAAAATGTAAAGTAGAGCCATAGAGGAGAGATAAATGGATCACCAATTTTATGTATCACAATGTTATGTAGTAATTTAGTATCTAGTAATTTCTATTCAGTTGATATTTTTGTTCCTTTGTGGCTTTTGGTCTAAATGGCAATATAAGAAGAAGAAAAAACATGTAAATGATGTAATTTTTTGTAGTATTTACTTAACTATTAAGTTCATATTAAAATCAAAATGTTTTTGGATTGTGAATATATATTTTTCAAATGTTAATTTATTTATACTCTCAAAGGGAGAACAAAAAAAGAAGTATAAGAAAGAATATTTTTTATTATATTTGTTGAGAAATGAAAAACCAAGTGCCTTGAAATAATTATATCAAGTATAAAAACAAAAAAGGCTATATATCGACATAAAAAAACAACATATGTGTATAATATATGTTGTACTATGTAAAATGTACATATATATATATATATCTGTGTGTGTGTTGTAATATGTCTATATATATTTTTAAATTAATGTAGAATTGTCAATTTCTCCTTTATTTAGTATTGGTATTTTAAAATATTAGTACGCAACGAAGTTAGGGTAAAAACAGATTAAAATTAATAAGAAAGGAAACAAGAAAAAAAAAAAAGAAATAAAATAAGGACTGCTACAGCGTTTAACATATACACTAACAGGATTCGGCCTACTCCAAAGGAATTAAATAGTTGCAGCATACCTGTAGAAGTCAATTCTTCTCATAGCTTTAATTAGTTCAAAAAAACTCTTAATGCCAAATGGTATATTTAAATAAAAACTAGGGTTGTAAAATGACTCTGATTTAGATTGTAATTGTGGTTGTCATGGTCTGTTGTCATCTGGCACTTGCAACTATCATTATCATATCTGAACTATCAATACAATTAGGGGACTGGAATGACCAAGTGGTTAGGGCAATCATAATCTGCTAGTAGTTGTGGGCTCGAATTCTGTATTAACCCTTGGCTTTTTTATTGAGAATATGACAAAAAGTATAGTAAAGAGGATTGACCCATTGCCCACAACACCCAAATGGTGAGGGGGAGTTGGATGTTACGCCCTCCTGTATGACAGCAATTACTTTATTTACATGCATATAAATTATTATATTAATAAGTCACACTATATATATTAATAAATCACTAGTTTTTGTGGTCTGCTTGATCAATTTATATCTTTCAATTAATTAATTGAAAAATGGCAAAAAGGAGGGAAAATTCAAAAGGTGGGGTTGAGATGGGAAGTTGGTGCCCGAGTGGATTGAGGTCACGATAGCTCAAGTGGTAGAGCAGCGGTGTATCTAGCCGAAGATCGTGGGTTCCCGCTCATGACACTGACTTTTTATCTCAACTAAAAACCTTAATTAATTGATAAATAATAAGGATGTACATATATTAATATTTTCCCTTGACTTACTGTTCTTTGTCTCCATTGATGACTTTTCCAAGGTCTGGACTATTTCGGGTTGGCTCGCCAAAAACTAAAACAAAATAAAAATGAATAAAAAAATACTGTCAACATTTTAGCTATACAATTTATTGTGAGATTTGTCTAGGTGGACGGAGTAATGAACCTGTAATTTTTTTAAATCTATGCTATTGTATGCTATACATAAATCCAAGTCTCATTAACTTAATTATTTAAAGTTTATTATATATACATCATACAATTTATATAAATGTATACACTATTTTCAAAAAAATAAGACACAACACACAGTATATACAAAATCTGTATGTGAGGAAACACCCCAATTTCTCTTAAGAAATGGAACAGAGGGTGTCAAACATTCACCCACCATAGTACTACCTTTAAATCAGGGCTCATGCCTATTGCTCCCTGTAAGGAGCCAAGGCATGGCACTTTCTGATCAGATGTGACACACTGAGCAACCTTTCTCTGCAAACGGGACACCTGCACGGGTTATGGCCCAAAAGAAGTGTCCGTGTGTCATACAAGTATGGCTGATCCTCAATCAGGTCATGATCCTTTCCTTTCGTTTCTAACTCTCAGGGAGCCATCGTTCAGTCGTGCTCTTAACTTACAGGAGCTTCTCGCACGACCCTGCCCATGCTCTCTCACAGCATTCTTAACTACTCACACAGGGTTACCAGGCTGGATTGCAGAGGCTTGGTCTGCACATTTGTTGCCCCCCCCCATCTATACAATTTACTGTGAGATTTGTCCAATGGTCTATGGGGTGATGAACCTGTAATTTGGTTGTAACCAATCATTTTGTCATACCAGATCTGACATTGACGATTGGGAAACGCTGAAATGTGACAGTAAAAACCAATGAAGATAGGCAGACCAAAAGTGACTGACAATGACAAAATTTTACAATTTATAATGAAAACAATAACTTTGGACCTAACAAATGATAGACCAAATGACTAGACTATAAACTGAGCGTCTCTAATGCAAAAATTTATAAAAGCAATGTTTGATAATTAACATCTAGTGTTCAAAAAAATATATTAACAAGAAAAATATTAAAAAGTTACCTTGGCTTGGTGGAAAGCCAAAACCTGGTGGAGGCATTCCATAAGGTGGAGCGAGTTGAGTGCCAGGTGGCATCATACCTGGAGGTGGTATGAATCCTGGAGGTGGAGCTCCAGCAAAGCTGGGTATTGAAGGCATCGGGAACCCTGGAGAGAAGGGCTGACCTCTGTCTCCCGGATTCTAATAAAATTAAAACATTAAAAATAAACACATTAAATATGATTGGTCATAATGGGTCAACAGGACTACAATACTGTAATGTAATGCATGAAAGATGTTGATACATTAAAAATTAAGATATTTTTGATTGATCAAATCTTTTGGACAATTTGATACAGAAATATACTTGGTAATTAAAAAAAAGACTGAGATTTTATTAAGGTTATAACGATAATTGTAAAATGAACATTATTGGTTACACTTTGTTATTTTATGTAGTCAATGATGTCAATTGGTTTATTTAAACCTAAAAAAACATGATTTATACATTCAAACTTTTATATTACATTCCAAAGAAAATTATTAACAATAAATACCAAATTATAAAACAATAAACAATATTGAATCAACATTACTGTATATATTATCTACCTTTTAAGACATAACTTCAAGGCTCTGGTATTACAGTAGTAATATGATTTTAAACATTTTTTGTAAAATAATTGTAACGCTGAAATAAAACACCCATTATTTTGTGGGCTAACATTCACATAAATAACCAATATTACATTGCTTGAAACGGAAAACTCACCATTTTTGAGACTCGGTCGAAATATCAGTAAACAATCAACGATTCCTGCGTTAAAAACGCTTTTCTCAGAGACTTTGAATAAAATGTACGCTTTGCATACCCGTTCTTAAAATTCGGTGAATGTGTTAAAAACCGGTGAAACCTCGCGATTTAATCCAGCTAACCTTTACCTATGTTGTTTGCGTTCAGCTTCAGCCAAAGGAAACATGGTATTTTCCAACATGAAAGTGGTGGGGCATGGCACGTGGCCCCTTGCCTCCAATTTCAAAAGGCGAACGGGCCAAAACCATGCAAAATTAACATATTTGTCAAAATCAATGGACATTTTTTTTTAATATACAAATAAATCTATGTAAAAGAATCCAGGTTGGATGTATTTCTAAAAATTACAACTTTTTTCACAAGTCAGACTAGTCATTTATGTGTTAACTGCATGTGGTTTGTTGTATATCTGGGATCAGAACGTTTTATTTATTATTGTATATAATTATTTTATATTATTTCCCAACATGAAAGTGGTGGGGCATGGCACGTGCTCCTTGCCTCCAATTTCAAAAGGCAAATGGGCCAAAACCATGCAAAACTGACTAACATATTTGTCAAAATCAAGGGACATTTTTTGTTTAATAAATAAATATATGTAAAAGAACCCCCCCCACCCCCGACTAGTCATTTATGTGTTAACTGCATGTGGTTTGTTGTATATATGGGATCAGAAGGTTTTATGTTTGTTCATTAAAAAAAAGAAAATGAAAATTTTATATAAAATTTTACTAATTATACAGAAATCGTGAGATGTAGGTTTTGTTCAGTCTGGTGTGATGTAGGTTTCAGAATAAAATTTTATTTCAACCAATACCTTACATAAAAATTAATTAATTGAAATAAGTTATTTGGGTAATCGGACCACAAAATCTAATGGAGTTATATAAAATTTTAATAGATTTAATATAGATAGATTAGACATCGCACCATATATGATGATGTTGAGGTCAAAAAACTCATTGAAGGAACTAAATAATTGCTAATTTTAAACTTATGTTGAGGTGAGCGGCCCCAGAAGAAAAGTCCAAATGCTTCGTTCAAAACATTTATTGACACGTTTCAGACGTCTCACGTCCTTCATCAGGTACATAATTATTGTTTTTTGTGTCAGTAACACCTTTTCTGGTGTCCCAGACCAACAGCCAAAAGCCCAGACACAAAAAACAATGATTATGTACCTGATGAAGGACGTGAGACGTCCGAACGTTGTCAAGAAATGTTTTGAACAAAGCATTTGGACTATTCTTCTGGGGCCGCTCACCTCAACATAAGTTTAAAATTAACAATTGATTATCCAACGGCCGACTAAATAATAGTATTATAATATAATAATAATATAATTTGAGGTTTTTTTTTTTTAATTTTTTGACAGGTCCATTAAATTGCTTGTAAACTAGAAGGAAGAAGAAAAATATCAAATTTTTGCTGGTGGTCATTTCATTTCAAACTTTGCACCCTTGCAAAACAATAAGAGTACAATCCGTCCTGAGAGGATATCCTAAACTCTCCATTGTGAAACACTAACATCTATACATGACGCACGTGTACTGGCTTAACTCTGTACATGTGTGTATATACATAAATGTGCAGATTTTAGCTTATATAAATAAAAACACAAATCTATTTTTATATTGAATATTCTTAATTCGTAATGAATCTTAATTTTATAAACAAATTATTGTGTCTCAGGTCTTTTTTTAATTACATTGAATTTATGTTTAATACAGAAATTCAATATTCCTTACCTACATAGCATTCTAAAGTAGCTTTACTTAAAAACTACTGGTGTTTTCAGTTATGAATTGACGAGTCACATCTTAGCCCGAAAAACATTCTGGCAAAATAGGTTTTGAAAGGATTGCTTTTGGTTTAAGGGGTGAACTTTGAACCCTAGAAACAGTTCCTGACATATGACACGTGAATATTCAAGAACAAATGGGAAAAGACTCGAGCTAGTTCTTTTCTATTTGTGGTATAAACATTAAGATAATGTTCAGGGTGAATAAAAATAAAAAAAAGTTTTAAACATATTATACGAGTAACTTTTGATGATTGTTGAATTATAATTGTGATGTGTACATGAAGTTAAGTTTTTGCCTTCATGTATATAAAATATATGTAATTCTGTAACAATAATTAATGTAATAATATACTATATTGTACAGACAGCCTTGAAAAAAAATTTAAAATTAAATCGAAACGACCAAGATTCTAAGTCGTTTTCTCTATGCCAACAACCATCGACCAATATTCCCATTACACACCGATACAGACATCACAATATTATACAAGATTGTTAAAAATTACAATAATGCACTTGTTCCTTTGCAAAATTGACAGTAAACACAATCAGAGTAATTTAACTCAAAAAATGAAATTCTTAAGATTGGTGAAATACCCAAATGATATGAATTTGAATTCAAAATTTATTTAGTGAAACCCATTAAATTTCATGGCAACCCTCTTAATATCTGTTGGAGATTGTTACAAACTTCAGTTCTAAGCATAAATTAAATAATTTTACAGAATAAAGACATGCACTTTATTTAGTTTTCAGTAAACAGGTGACAGGTGAAGCGAAAAATAATTCAACTAATCGAGAATGTATCCTTTTCTTCTAAATATTGAGAATGATTTGATTCTGCCCATGGAAAAAATATATCCTTACCTAAAATAACAAACACATTTTACTAAAAATTAGAACAAAGGTTAAGCTGAAAAAATGTTTACCAAAGGCCACTGACGAAATGGAAGCACTCAAAGCAGATTGAGCTTCAACAATGTGAGTCAAAGCATGATTGATCAGCGTACTCTGGGTCAAATGAGAAACTGTAAATTTATAGAAAAAAAATTGATTATATTTAGGGTAAAAAAAAGTGTTATAGTTCCCAGAAGTGTGAAGTGTGGGTTCTTTTATTTTCTTTTATTAATAATTTGAATATTTACCTTCAGGTTTAGGAATAGTAGGAACATTGAGAGCATCTAAAGCTTCTCTTACACAAACAAGCGCTGTTTTCACTAGTACATCTCTTGGAACTCCTTTTGTTGGAACTTAAAATGAGCATTGTAAATTACTATTTTTAGTAATACATAATTGTAATATTGACATACTTATTGTTTTGTTTTCAGGAATCTTTTGCCCCCATGGGAAAACATCAGTATTCACATTTTCCCTGTAAGTTTTAATGTGTTAGAAATTAGTTATTAATTTTTTTTTTTTTTTAAGATTACTTTTCATTATGCAAGAATTTGTTGTTAAACGGGCCATATGATCCTGGAATTTTCCAAGTCGATTCTTTTGTTTCCGAGTTGTAAAAGAACTTTGTACCATCTTTGAAATTGTACTGTTTCCAAGAACCGAAGAAAAGTTTCTAAAAAAATTAAATTATCAAAGTTTTTATGAAGTAAATAAAAAACTCTTTCCTAGAAAAGTGTTATCTAAATTATCTATTTTAAAGGAAATTCTACCTTCTCTAAAAGAAATAAACATTATTGTGTAAACTTATGGTTTTCAAACTGCAAATTACATTAAAATAAGCATAAAAAATTTAATTAATTTCAAATACTTCTCCTTTGTATTATATTTACTAAGATATAAATATCAAATTTTTAATTTTATCTCCCACTGATGACCCTGGCTCTTTTTTTCATGCTATCCTTCACTACATACATATGATAAATATGTATGTACTCTGGCTAATATGCTAATTCATAAGGCCATTAAAAAAATCTTTTGCTATTGAAAAACCATCTGTAAATTTTTTTCCCTGGCTTCTCATGAGTCAAAAAGTTTTGATCTAACTCTCCAGAATAATGGGATATGGACAGTAACTTGATTTGTTGGCTGTTGAGGCTTTTACAAATGCCCAAAACAAGTTTTAATACATAGTTAACTTTTACCTTAAAAATCATCACAGTTTACTTTTTACATTCTTCGACTTACTGGGAAAATCGTAAAAATGTGTCATATATTGCACAAAATGTGGAGATGGTTCTACTGTCGGAAAAATGGAATGAAATTTGCATCAGATTGAATCGCACTTTAATCAGCTATATCTAGAGCATCCTGTTAAACGATGTAATTTGAGGAAATTGTTCTGAAATTTTTATCATGAGGAAGTAATATACTATCAATTAATATTTTAAATAAATGATTATTTGGAGATAGTGAGATGCAGTCTGGTGTGAAAACATTACAGAAAAACTATTTCTTTAACTTGCCAACGTTTTTTAATCTTTATTGAGATCATCTTCAGGGCCTGGGATTTATAAACATTATTTAAATTATACAAATACATGTATGATGTGAAAAAATGAATTTATACAACAATAGAAATTTTAGACTCAATCAAAGTATTTGTACTCATTCAAAATGTTTGTTTTCAGTGTAGATGTGTCATTACTGTGTGTAGACCGCATCTTATGATCTCCAAATAATCATTAATTAACGGTCACTGAACACACATAAATAGATGAGTGGTTGAAAAAGTTGGAAATTTTGTTTTTCTAAAAAACAGAATTCTTAAAAAGGTTTTAGTGAGTAACTTGAGAATGGTTGCTCTAAATTAAAAATGGTTGAATTCAGCATCAAAAACCTTTAAAAACATGTACATTGAACAGTACCTTGCTATTTGAATTAATTAAGTTTCTGTCCATATCTCTTATCCGGAATGTTAGATCAAAACTTTTTGGCTAATGAGAAACTAGATAAAAATTAAAAATTAATGTCTAGGGATTTTTTCCGAAAATGGATAATTTAAAAAAAATTTAGTGGGGACAGAAGTTAAACTATATTTTTATATAAATTTAGTTGAATAAATTGTAATCACTCCTGATAATATTAGTCTGCCCTTTCTCACTGGTTTTGACTGTCAAATACGTTTCCAGTGGATTTTATTAAGTCTACTTTTGTAAGACAAAATGCCTTTAGAAGTGGGCAAATACCTATGAAATGGATATCTTCTTTTGCAATTCAAATTACCTAATAAAAAATTTATGTTTTTGTTCACCTTTCCTAGAAACACTGTAATTCTAGAAAAAACATAGTTTACCAAGTCCGAATGAAAACCACTAAAACCTTAAAACACTGGTTGTAAACGATAGTTCTTTTAGGATTTTATGCAGCAATCTGGATTTTGGGCATCAAATTCTCTTCAGGCTGAAATCTACAAGCCCAAGTTCTGACGTCTACAAGCTACTTATAAATGTCAGCCTGAAATCAGGGTTGCTGCATAAAACCTGTTTGTTAGTATTACTATTGTTTACAACCAGTCAATTTATATACTCTCTCCACCTTAAATATTTTTATGAAAACCTTACAAAATCAAGAATTTATGTAGGCATTTCGCATTATTATCTGTGCAGCAATATATTGTTTCAAACACAAATTTTTAAAATTTTATATGTTTATGAGGTTAAACGAACTTGAAATCTGAGCTGCTTGTTCCTGTTGGTTCTGTCAGTGAGCTGACAAGAGACCAACATTTTTGGTTCATCACCTAGCATACCACCTTATTTTAATCCATGCAATTTAAATTTAGCTAAAATTATCGAAGGGCTTATTAGAAAGTCAAACTTTACATACTTCAGAAGGAGTTTTAAGTTCTTCTGGTTTTTCCCAAACCCTTTCGTTTGTAATAGGATTGTAAAAATATATCTGCCCATCTGGCGATTCAATCTCTTGCCAAGTATTTGTATTTTCTCTGAAACAACGAAAATAAATATCCCTTTCTTCTATGTGTGTTTGCAGTGTTTGGTAATACTTTGAACCATTTCTTTCTTTTCTTAGCATGTTATTGACCAAAATTGGAATTTGTCTTTCTGAAAGCAAAAAAAAAAAAAAAAATTAACCTGCTCGTACAGTAATTTTATATCTGTTTTCTTCACGTCATACCTTCTTCATTTGATATGTTAAGTGTGTATCGTTTCTTTTTCTTTGCAGCTTCCTTAACAAAATGTGAAAATTGATTCCATGAAAAGCTCTTAAAAATTTTCTGCCACGTGTCTTCATCTGGTAAATCACTACAAGCGGAAATTGATATAGTGAAAAATAATACGCTTGACAAACATGCACATAAGCATTAGTGCCTATGTTGTTTATCAGGCGAGCTTAACAACTTAAGTGATTGTCTTTTAAATTATGACCAAGAAAAAAAATACCTTGCTTGATCATGCCTAGATTCTCTTGGTACGGACAATTGATTAGACAAAGTTGTATTTGTATTGACTAAAATGTTTAGTTAGTGTTTAAAAAACAACATATGATTCAAAATTAAATCAAAATATTTTTCACCTCCGTTCAAAGATGAATACTTAGTAAACTTTTTTCTCGATAACAAATCTTCGACCTCCGACACTAACCCTGAAGGTTGGCTATCATCTAGCAATGCGACTTTACTAGATTTTAAATCGTGCACTTCCTCTGGAGTTAATGGCTCGAGTAATTGTTTGAAGAAATTATCCAAGCTCTCAGATCTGTATGGTGGACTGCACATTTTAACGGTTGGAAGAAGTGGGAACACTCGGGTTTTTCAAATTGCACTGTTGAATTTAAAATAAAAAATGTGTACGTAAAAATACAACTTTGTCCTGATCTGTTCTTGCTAAATTGACATTTTATACTGTACTACCCCATAGATGTGTAACCATTTGTGTGAAATTGTCAGGTAAGAAACAACTGCATGTTGCTAAGGTGACAATTTTGCTCATAAGATTTCATTCAATTAAAAAATATGTCGAACAATTAAAAAATAAATCAATAAAAGTAAGGGTAAGATAAAAAAAAAAATTCAGACAGGTTTTATCATTTTATTGTAAATCAAGTTTGCATAATGGTGTGTTTTAGGATGGGAACAAAAGGCAAATGAAATTCGTTTTAATTAAAAGCGAATTCATTTAAAACATTTACAATATTGTTTATAAATAAACTGTGGTGAAGAGATAAAACCGTCCATTTTCTAAAATAATAAAAAAAATATGACTATCAATTAACTTGTGAATTACTTAGGATTCTTTTTACATATTTATATAAAACATTTTTCAAATTTACATTGTTTTATTGTTTCATTATGAAGTAAGGCTTCAGAATCGAGTCCTGACAAAAATTGCTGCAACATCATGGTCCGCATATCCAACTCTTTTGGCATGCTTATAAAGCTCATTGGCCATGGCTGCCAAAGGCACTGGCTGGTTTACAGTTTGGCTCGTGTTGAGAACAAGACTCAGGTCTTTCTGCATCAGACGTAGGGCTTGATCTGTTCCGTAAGAACAACCGATGATATTTTTGGCCTTTTCAATGACATAAGGGCAGGCGAGCTTAGTCAAACCAATAACTTCAATAACGTCTGAGAGCTGTAGGCCAAGCTTGTCCGCAAGGGCAAGAGACTCTGCACATCCTGCCAAGAACACACCGGTCATCAGCTGTATAACAAGATTCATTTTTGTAGCACTTCCGACTTCTCCAAAATAGAAGGAACAACGTCCAAAAGCTTCAAAGCAGGAGTGGCACTCGTTGTAAAGCGTCTTGTCCCCGGCTGACAGAATCAAAAGGGTACCTTCTTCCGCTTCGGCACGGCTTCCTTGGAGTTGAGCTTCTAGATATCTCCCTCCTCTTGAAGTGACGGCGTCTGAGAGATCTTTCGACGTAACAGCGTCTATCGTAGTCATTTCAACATAAGCTTTGCTTGAATTTACTTCAGCAAGGGCGCCACAATTTCCGAACATCATATCCTTGGCTGCTTGAGTGTCTGTCACGCAGGAAAACGTGATATCCGCAGATTGCACAACATCTTGAGGGGTACAGGCGATTTCTGCACCAGCTTTTATAAACTCTTTTGTTTTCTCTGACGTCCTGTTCCAAATGACCACTCGGTGCCCTGAATTTAGTAAATTTTTGACTATGCCCGATCCCATATTTCCCAGACCGAGAAAGCCAAATTTAAGCTGTGATGGGGTAATGTTTTTATCAAGGAGAGTTTGGGATACCTTGGAAATGTCAAGAGGAGTAGTCTCGGGTCTGGCGATGTTGGGTGGTCTATCGAGAAGCGATGCAGCAGCAAGCCCACGCCTAGGTATAGGTGTGCTGTAATCGACACTTCCGATGCTCCATCCGGCCGGTGTCGTCGTGTCGGCATCTGAATGCTGGGTACGTGGACGTTTCGCATCACTGCGGTTCGTCAACGACGGCCTTTTACCCGAATGACCATCCTTGCTAGGCCTAGAACTCTTTTTGACCGAATGAGTCTCGTCAAAGTCCGAGCTGGAGTCGGACTCTTCCTCCGAACCCTTTTTCTTGCGGGGTGTCGCCGCGGATTTTGACTTCTTCTTACTAGGCTCGCTGGTGTCGGACGCCTCGGAACCGACGGAGTTTCTCCTCTTCGCTTTCTCGGCGTCTTTGGCGGCCGACTTTTTCTTGGCAGACGCTGACCCTTTGCCCTTCGAGGTGGAGGGCTCGTTCCCTTTCGGCGTTTTGGCCGGAGACGGCTCCCCAAAAAGCCTATCGAAAGCGTTGTCCTCACATTGAGGGTTAAAAGGGGACGCTTCGCCCTTATTGTAAACATCCTCAATGGCCTCGCAAGCCTCTTTGAACGCTTTGCTCGACTTTTTCAAGTCCAAAGCCTGGGGTTTATAAGGGTTTAGATTACTCACGTCGATCCAGCTGTAATTTTTGCTCCCGAAAAAGTAAATCCAGTTCGAGGGCTTTTTCGGCTTGTTGGTCATATCTTCAGGCGGCTCGGAAATCATTCCCGGCCATGGAGGGAAGCCTCGCATTTTCGCCCATACGAGATCACCCAATTTGTATTTAGTCGTCATTTTTCAATCCTCGGCTACAGAAACACTGATCTGTAAATGAAATTAAAGAGAAAACGACGCACAGAAACAAGAACAAAATGGACAAACCCGGCACTGCGCACCCTAAACAATATGGCGTATAAGAGAACGTTCGGGTTCGGACGTAAACGAACGCCACGACGAATCGCCCCACTGCAAATCCCCACCACCCAATCCTTTAAAACTTTAACCCTTTTTTTAATTACTGGAAAAAGCTTCCCTGCTAACCCAAAATAAGTATTACAATATAAATAAAATGAAAAAAATACGAAATCTTGGAAAAGTTAAAACGTCGCGATTTGTCGTTTTTCCCCAATCGTAAAAAATAATGAACAGATGTAACGGTTTAACGGTTATCTTCCCTTATGTAACGGTTTGTAGTGTTTGTACTCACTCGTTTGACGATTGGAACCTTAAAATTTACCTTTTCCCATCATCGTAATAATTTGTAGTTCATACTAACTTAGTAATGACATCTCCGTATAAACATTATTTAATTATTGTAATCGCAAATTAATTAGGATTGAATGACTATTATTGTTAGTTATTTCATAATTATCATACCCATTTTCACTTGCTAGCATGTCTATTTATTTATTTATGGATAAAAAAAGACAAGTTACAAATCGTTCTCATCTCAAAATTAAATTTGGAAATACAAAATGTTTATACATTTTAAATTAAAACGAAGAATACAGTGCTTTCAGAAAAGTTCTCTGGAAAAATACAGAACTGATTGCATATACAAATTTAAAGTACATACTGTCAATTTTTCTTTAAAAAATCAGTTAAAAAAATTAACTTTATTTTCATTGATTCTTCCACTTTTCCACTAATTTTTAAGCAGTAGGTATGCTATACTTTTACGTAATAAAAATGTTAATTAATCTAACATTTCATTTTTTAGTGGTATGGGGTCGGAACATTCATTTTTCATTTCAATGAACAAAAGAAATTCTCGAAAATTCATATAGTCCAAGCTGGTCATACCCCTTTCACTTATTTAAACTGTCACTCTTTCTCTCTCATTCTCTTGAATTTTTTCCAGCTCGGATTACTATACTTAATTTAATGGGATGATTGAGACTTTTTAGAGAAAGTAAACTGCTGATTGGTGTTTCAGCTTTTAAGTAGTGCGAAAGTTAAGAGAGGAAAGATCAGGACAGAATGAGTATAAGTTTGTAGTTAAAGAAAATTAATAAATTATTTTTATGGTGTACAGAATATCATTAGGATCATGTACTCCAGCCACCCTGAACCAAATGAGACAAAAGAATCTGTAAAGCCTCCAGTGTTAATCAAGAAATGGTTCCACAAAGGGCTCATAAAATAAAAGTTTGAAATTAGAATAGCCAAATACGATTAATAAATCCAAGTTAATAAAATTTTCTTCTACCAATTTAAGCTAGTTCTTCAAACTCAGGTGTGAACTTATCTACTTTAATTACTCCCTTCTGGGATATGATTCTGTTGTGCGCTGCTCACTGTGTAACTCCTCCTATTCCATTTTTTGGCTGAGTCTCTCATCTCTCAGAGTTTCGAGTTCTCTTTTTGGGAACTAATGAGTTTTGAGATCGTGTTTGATTGCAAAATGCCCCAGATTGCTCAGACCTGCTTGGGTTTGCAAAAAATGACTGGAGTATCGCAACAGCTTAATTTTGTATTGAGAAGCACTAACAATTTTAATCTAATTTAATTTTGTTTACTTAATTTTTATTATTATCTTAGTATGTGCGCATTATCTTCTACTCAAGTGATTCTCAGCCGACCACCACCTTCAGCAGACGGTTTAATAATCAATGCTGTATAAGAACTGTTTTTATTTTAATTTCGGTTATACTTCCTTAATTACATAAACGTATTTTCTTTTTATAATAAAGTTCTTTTTTTCATTCATTCAAAATCCAAGTTAATTCTTATAAGTACCGTGCGCTAACCATTTGCGCCACTGGGGCAGGTCAATTCATTCATTCATTCAAAATCCAAGTTAATTATAATGTTTTTAAATTTATTCCGAAATCGTGAGATGCGGTCTGGTGTGATGTAGGTTTCAGAAAAACATTTTCTTTATCGTGCCAACGTTTCTTTCTTTATTGCGATTATCTTCAGGGCCTGGGATTTACAAACATTGTTTACATTTAACAAATACATTTAGGATGAGGAAAAGTGAATTTATACAATGCAAAATATATTTTTTATATTCAATCAAAGTATTTCTACTCACTCATAGCGTTTGTCTTCTGTGTAATTGTGCCATTAGAAATACATACATGCCAGTAGAAATGTATTTGTTAAATGTAAACAATGTTTGTAAATCCCAGGCACTGAAGATGATCTCAATAAAGATCGAAATATTGGCACGATAAAGAAAATGTTTTTCTGCAATCTACATCAAACCAGACCGCATCTCACGATTTCTGAATAATTATCGATTAACGGTCACTAATTACCACACGTTTTTAAATTTGTTTTATAGTACAGGTATATCAACCCCGGAGTTATAAAAAAAAGACAATTTTTAATCTATGTAATTTAAGAATTTTAAAATAATTCTATTCAGCAACTTGTATATAAATTCCTGTACCCTTTCTTCGCATATTTAAATGATATAAATCCTTATTATTAATAACGTATTAGTTTATTATCATAAAATTTAAACTTCATTTCAGCTTTAATCAATCAGATTAGAATATCAGTGTTTGCTTATGGAAGTAACGAGTAATAACTGCTAGATGTAGAACTTATCAGTCGATCATGAGCGTCTGCCTGAGTGCCCGCAACTATTTCGTCTGATCGTCATGATTGAATGAGGCATGATTATTTTCCCGCCACGTTGAGGTTTCTTGCCTGTCAGTTTAGTTATACCAGATTACCAGCATTGTGTGAATTACCTGAAAGTGTTTGTTTTCGCTGGTTGTCTTAGTTTAGATGTTTAAATTTTCTATCTTATAAAAAAATACGTTAAAAATACGAAAATGTCATTCCTCAATGAAATTCTTCAATGTGCTTGTAAGTTCAATCGTTCTGCAATTACGCCAATTACATTTTGTTTTGTTTAAAAACAAAAAAAAAATTACACGAACTATTGGTCTTAGTATGTTGTTCTAATTTATTACTCATTGTCATAAAGAATTTTTAAGCACCAGTCTCTTCCTCGAAGGTTGTTATGTACTTAATCGTCGTAGTGAATAGAAATTTATGGCTTATAAAGTACATTGGTATTGTTCTATGCAGTGATTTACAGTGAAACTTCCCTATAACGGACACTCTTTGGGAATGAAATATTGTCGGTTATACAGAGGTGTCTGCTTTTGGGATAAAGTGTAAAAAAAAAAAGTTTTACAAGATGGGTCACAATGGGGATTGCAAGATATTGAAATTTTAGAAACACCAAGGGTGTTTGGCCATTCCCATGGCCAGAGATTTTTCCAAATCACTGAGCATACCTTTACATAAGAGGGATGGTTAGGACCACCCCCAAGGCCGTCTCATCGCAATTAATAATGTTTTTGGTAAAATAACAACAACCACCGCTTTTCCGAGAGGATCTAGCTCCGCGTATTTCTCTAACAAGAGCACTATGAGAGGGTCCACAGAGAACCTGTCGTATATAGCCCAGACAGCGCTCAGAGAGTCGGTACATACGAGGAAGGCTGAGCCCTCCCCGGTCCGCAGCGCCTCGAGAGTGTGCCAAATCGCATACAGTTCTGCTGTGTATAAGCTGCAATGAGAGGGCAACGACCAGAAGGTGGTATTCCATTGCTATACACAGCACATGCCACACCATCGCCAGGCTTGGACCCGTCTGTAATAATCAGATAAAAACCGGCCAAGGAACTTAGCCCTGTAGAGGTATGGCGGCATACACGATTTGGGCAAAAGATTGTCGTGGATGAGTATGGCCAGAAAGGTCCAGGGGGTATCAGCCGATGGCCCAACCAAAACACCGTCCCCAGCGCCAATCCAGCCCTCCCTAAGGACTCACCGAAGCGAATCCTGAGGGGTCGCATCCGCGAGTGAAGCCTGTTGTAGACTACTCTGTACGGGCAGGGGAGGATCTTCATAGCGAGGAGGTGCTCCGGCTTGGCCAAGGACCTGGCTGCGCTGCGTAACTGAGGGTAAGTTGCTCTCTCCGAAGTTCGGGAGGCAAGACCCCAGCTTGCTTTAAAAAAAAAATATTAAAAAAAAAATTTAAAAAAATAAAAAAATAAATACATTTTTGGGTTTAAAATCGATGTAATTTTTTTTTACAATTGTTCCATCCAGTTTTGTACAGCCTCGGGCCTTCGTTCTGCTCCACTAATAGTCACCAGGCGCTCAGTGGTTTTAGTTGGGGTTTCAAAACATTTGATTCACTATTTACTAAATTGTGCACATTAAATTAAATAGTTTAGTTGTGGGCTGTGAGCACTCAAGCAACTAATATATTTTATTGTTATCATTGTTGAGTTAGGTACTGGTGTGCTCTTGAGTTGAGGAGAAAGAAGAAAATGAAGACTCCTTCGAGACTCTTTGCCATGTAGTTCTTACTATAAAATTTTTTTTATTGAATTCAGAATTATAATTTAAATAAAAAGGTCTTTATTATTATGGTATATATTGCATTATTTTGTAATAAATGTTAAGAATTTTCAAAACGTGTGGTGATTAGTGACCGTTAATCGATATTTATTTAGAAATCGTGAGATGCGGTCTGGTGTGATGTAGGTTTCAGAAAAAGTTTGATTGAATATATAAAAAAATATATTTTGCATTGTATAAATTCACTTTTCCACATCCAAAATGTAATTGTAAACAATGTTTGTAAATCCCAGGCCCTGAAGATGATCTTAATAAAGATCGAAACGTTGGCATGATAAAGAAAACGTTTTTCTGAAACCTACATCACACCAGACCGCATCTCACGATTTCTAAATAAATTTTCAAAACAGTGCAATTATGCAAAAAAAAATGTTTTTTTTCTTTCTTGCAGCCGAAATGGAAGTGAACGAAATAAAAGACAAGATAATGATGGTAGAAAAAAACTTAACCATTTTGAAAAGTAACGTTAAAACGCACATGGAAAAAAAGCATATTGAAATCATGCGAGTTGGGGATCCGTCACATTTGATTGAGCTTGCAAGTGAAATAAGTTCCAACATCAACGAACTCCAGAAAAGACTCAATAATGATGTGAGAATAATAAATTTTATTATTACAGAATTATTAATTATTTAATTTTTGAATTTCAGACTAAAACAGAACTATCTAACCTGTCCGAAGAAATGAAAGAACTTGTAAACTCGTTGAAAGAATCGTCCATTTCTGTGGATATAATCAAAACATTATTTGATCTCGATGTCCATGTCGGTGCAATGAAAGCTCAAGGGGATAGCATAAATCATTTTGAGGTCGCAAAGCATCATAAAGCAGCTTTAGACTTACTTACTAAGTATAGAACATTCAATAACAATTTTGAACTAGTCTATTTTTAATTTATGACTATTGTTTATTTTTTATTTTAAAGATATGATTACTGCGAGTATATAAACATAATGGAGAAGATGAAAAACTCGATGATGTTTAGGTTCATGTCAATATCTGATACTACTGTCGATTGTTGGAATAAATCTGTTTGTTGGAATTATTGTGATATCGGGGAAGGAGTCAAAACTTGTACATTAACTGTTAATGGAACTGTGTAAATTTAATTTTTTTTTTTAAATTAGAAATAATTTTTGTTATTTAATACATTTTATTTATATCAGACATTTTATAAATTTTCTAGAGACAATATTGCAAGTTTAATGGGAGCACTACATTTATATGGTAAAAGTGGTTACCTTATATATACATTTTCACAAAACCTATTGGAAAAAGTTATCAATCCGTGCATTGATAGTAAGACAAATGTTAAGTCGTCGGCTACACGAAATGAAAAAAAATTGTCCATAACCTCTGAAACGGATCAAAAATCTCATTTCCAACAGGTATTAAAATATTTTTTTCTCAAAACCAAAAAAAAATTTACGCACACACCTAATAAGCTCAGCTACATTGAGATGCAAGTACACAAACACATGTGCAAAGCCAAAAATATCATTTCTTGTAGCTCGCTGGCAATTCCAGTCAATTATTATTTGTTTTACTTTATATTATAAAAATAAATATTTTTCCAGGTATTGACTAATCTCAAAATGGTATTTTTATTTATCCAAGATACTTTGGATTTTGAGATAAAGCAATTGGATTGTGATGAAATTAGCGAATCAAAAAATAAAAGTCAACTTTTTATTCGGCAAGTAGGAAGTCACATTGAAAATGAGGTTTTGACAATTTTAGTAGAGGAATGTCTTACAAATGCTATTCCTTTAAAAAAACCTGACTTACAAGAATATGAAAAACAAGTACAAGACATAGTTGATTTTCAGAGCCTCCTTCTGGAAATTGGTATCAACGTCCGATTATTTTATTATTTATTGATTTTTTAAATTTATTTGACTAAAATTACATTTTTCAGGATTCCTATGTGAGAAAAGCGCTTTGTTAGAAAAGTATTGTGGCAACGTTAATGAACAATTCAGAAATAAGACAATAGAAAGATATCTCTCCAGGGCAAGGCAGATTTATAAAAAACCTTTGCAAGATAAGGTTCAAGTTAAAATGCAATTGGTAATAATATAATTAAAACATGCAAATACCAGGTAACCAGAAAAGTTCATGTGGTTTTTCATTTGTTATTGTTTTAATATTATTAATTAACTTTTCTACTTGCCCAGGATTAGGTGTTTACATCAAGTAATACGAAGAAGTTAATGTATCAGTTCATAAAGTTTTGATGTAAATTTTAAAATACTAGGGCGTATCAGTGATGCTTTGTTTGGTGGAGAACTTTTTTAAATTTTTTGAAGCACTTTTGGGCAGTGCGCTTACTTATTGTTTCATGATCGAACACAGTGCAAATTTTACGAGCTGCCATAGTAGTTTTGAAGGCCTGATAAAGAAAATATTTTCTAATTTACAAGGAACTGATGCATCATCCTCTTTTCATTATGTGATTTAAACATCTAATCCTCCTGTACATAAAAAAGTTGATATATCGTATTACAACAATAACAAATGAAAAACCGCGAACTTCTCTGGTTACCTTATATATATTTATATATGTATGAATTGTAAACTAACACTTATATGACCGTTTTAGAATAAAGAAAATAAGACAACAGCTGGTGAATCTTTGATAAAACTCGATACAAGTGAAATTCAAAATAGTTTAAAAATGAATAAATTATGTCCGAACATGTTGCAGTTTCCAGATTGTTATATAAGGTAATTTTTATATATTGGAGTTATTTTAACTAACTTTGAAAGAAATGTATATAATAAAAATCAAATTTTTGATTTTATTCACAACTTGAAATACATGTACAGGCTTTTTCACGGACAGTTCGGGCCAAGTTTAGCACAATGAAAATTTATTGGCCTGTTAACACTGTTCGTGGACAATGTTTTAGAAATTGTCCTGCTTTATTACGACAATGTTACGGGGTTTTTTATGGATTATTATTTTGAGAAGGACGATGTCGTGGGTTTTGAATATGTTCGAACTTTATATTTTTATTTTTCACACAGTTTGATGTATGTTAAGGCCCTTAGCGTAATTTCTAACTAGGAAAATTGGGTCTATATCACTTGAGTGAACCTGAAAATGTAAAACAGGACCTTTTCTTGCTAACTATTTAAATATTTGAATTGTAAACATACTAATGATTTATATTATAACTTAAAAAATTAATATAAAAACCAGACATTTTGAAAAATTTGGTCAATTTGTTGTTTTGGAACTCATCTTAGCAATTGTAAATGTAAACAATAAAGAAATGCAGGGGCGTCGAAGGTAATGGTCCCGGGTTCGAATCCAGCGACTCTGCATTCGAACGTGATATACTTACAAATGGACTTTTTTTTTTAAAACACCGGCACCCCGAGAGTTGATAGACCTCTGCTTTTGCACTCTAGTAAAAAAAATAAAATAAAAACAACGAATATAAAGATATACCTATGAACTGTACATTACGTGATAGGGTTTGAACACCATTTTAAACAATCAAAATTTAAATAGGACCAATATGGAAAATTTCAAGTTTAGCACAATGAAAATTTATTGGCCTGCTAACACTGTTCATGGACAATGGTTTAGAAATTGTCCTGCTTTATTACGGCGATGTTACGGGTTTTTTTATGGATTATTATTTTGAGAAGGACGATGTCGTGGGTTTTGAATATGTTCAAACTTTATTTTTCTATTTTTCACACAGTTGATATATGTTAAAGCACTTAACCTAATTTCTAACTAGGAAAATTGGGTCTATATCACTTGAGCGAACCTGAAAATGTACAACAGGACCTTTTCTCGCTAACTATTTAAATATTTGAAATTGTAAACATACTAATGATTGATATTATAATTTAAAAAATTAATATAAAAACCAGACATTTTGAAAAATTTGGTCAATTTGTTGTTTGTTTTGAAGTTGCATAAAGAAAAAAAAAAAGGACATACGTAATAATACTTCGAATCTGTGAATATGGTGATTCAGAATTATAGACCTGTCTTTTCATAAAATATCTTTAAGTTTTTCAAAACACATTTTTTTAAATGGCCTTATCTCCAGTATTAGTGATTTTGAGTTCAGAGAATGTGATAGTTTTTATTATTTCTTGGGGGGGGGGTAAGAAGGACCATGAGCGATAGTAGAAATTTAACCCATGATTGCGGGGTCTACGAGCCCAGAGTCTAATACGCTGACCACTGGCTACTGCCAAAATTGATTTCTTCAATAACTAATATACAATAAGATAAATTTTTTCTTTATCTATGATTGCTCTTCAGTGAAGAAGGGTGCAAAGCTCAAACGTCTGAGTAACATCTAAAACCCATGAGTGTAAATGTAAATGGACCGAGTGTTGACCGACTCAAAGACCAACATTTATCATCAGCTTTAATATTTATCTTAACATTAAATACCATTGTTTGTGTGGATAAACATAAACTTACTGTCAGAGGGGTTGGTTCGACAATTATCAAGAAAATAATCTAGACCTCTGAACTATTTTTATGACATTTTTTTGGACATTATCAGGAGATGAGTAAGATCGCTCTGTAAGATTCTTGAGAGGATTCTTCCTTACAGTACTACTGTCGATTGTTGGAATATATCTGTTTGTTGGAATTATGATATTGTGGAAGGAGTCAAAACTTGTCCACTGTCAATGGAAATGTGTAAATTTAATTTTTTTATATTAGAAATAATTTTTGGTCAAGTACATTTATTTATATCAGTCATTCTGTTAATTTTCTAGAGAGAATATTGCAAGTTTAATGGGAGCAGTTAGTAATATTTATTACCTTCTTGTATGTAATAAGCTGAGGTGTTATAAGAAAACACAAAAGCAAAAACTAAGACAATATCTAAATTAAAAATGTTAGATTTTTGTCTCTAAGCGTTGTGATTTTCTAAGTTTAGTAAGGTTATGTTTGATTTATTTGTATGGATTGAGAAATCATTATTTAATAATACTTCTTCGAAATCCAAGGGGTGTTTTTTAATGCTGATACTTCTTGCATTATATCTGCATTAGATAATTACAATGTCGACCATCATCTTACTAGATGGGTGAAGACCTCCTTGGAAGGATGGTCAATATATGCTTAGGTGGTAGTACTCTTAGAATTAATGTCAAAGGAGGCTGTCCACAGGGAGGCTGTTTGTCACCTCTTTTATGGTTAATTACAGTAAACAGCTTAATAGAACTTCTAAATAATTCAGGTTTCTAAGGTCACTTATTTTCAGATGATGGTACCATAATGCTCACAGGTAGGGCTCCCCTGACTCTACTGATGGAAAAAGCTATGGGATTGCTTTATGAGTTGTGACAAAGGTTTATCAATTAAACAAGCTAAACTGGAATTGATAATATTTAGTAGGAGAAGACTATTCTCTTCTCCTAGGTAATTTTAAAAACCATAAATTTCAGGGCATAGAATTAAAGTTAGTGGCTTCAATCAAATTCCTTGGTGTGACGTTTGACAGGAAACGATTGGAAAGGTCGTATTAATAACATACAGGAAAGGCACAATATCAATGGTACAATGTAGGAGAATTGTCGGTAAAACATGGGGCATCAAACCATGGGTAGCCAAATGGCTATATACTGCAATTATTCTACCTAGATTATTTTTCGCAGCTTTAGTATGGTGGAAAGGTCTAGAAAATAAAGGGAACAGTAACAAATTAAGGACATTTGAAAGACTAGGTTGTTTGATGATGACGGGAGTATTTTCAACTACACCCACCCTAGCACTTGAAATCATAACTAATACCACACCTCTACACATTGAAGTTAAGGTCAGAGCGCTAATCAGCTGCTGCAGATTAATTAGCGAAGGCAGCTGGAATCATAAGTGGAATAACATAGGTCACTCAAAAATCTCACAATTATTAAGTAAGGTTAACGGCCAATTATAAGCGTTAGTGATAAAAAAAATTAAAACCCCTTCGGGGAAAAAGCACTTTCAGGTAGTCACCCCTCGTGAATATAATTATACTTTGGATGATGACCATCGCAACATAGACTGCTACACAGATGGATCACTTATTAAAGGTAGAGGGAGTGGTGCAGGAATCTACATACCTAAATTAGGAATCAGTATTTCCTCTTCTCTTGGCAAAAACACCTCCACTTTTCAGGCAGAAATCTGGGCCATTAATTTGTGTTGTAGAACAGTTATGGAAAATAAAATTAAGGGAAAGGATATTAGAATTTTTTCTGACAGTCAGGCTAGTCTTAGATCATTACAAAAAGATTTGTCAACTTCAAGACTGGTGGAGGAAATCGTAGATCTTATCAATAGGATCTCTTCCAGGTTTGAGAACAAGGTAACTTTTATTTGGATACCAGCACATAAAGGACACCATGGCAGTGAAAATGCGGATGGCCTGGTCAAAGAAGGTTCTAATACTGCATTTGTTGGACCACAACTGGTATTACCCCACTCTATGAGCACAGCGAAAGAGAGTATTAAAATCTGGGGCATTAAACAATTCCGTAAGGAGTGGAATCTATCCCCCGGACAAAGGCAATCGAAAGAGTTTGTTAAGGTGATCAAACCAGCAGAATCGAAATGGCTATTCTCTAACTCAACGAAGGGAATTAGGAGGCTGATAGGTATCCTGACGGGCCACTGCCCACTGAGAAGACACCTCTCTGTAATGGGTATTCTGCCAGATCCCTTTTGCCATTTCTGTGAAATAAAAGAAGAAACGGCAAGGCACTGCTCACAGAGATAGGTATGCTAGGTCCAGAGTTGAAATCTTCGAAGGAGCAGACATCACCAAATCACTCCCTGAGATAAAATGGTCCAAAATCTTGGGGTTTGTTCTTGTGAACAAGTCCAAGAGATTTATGCAGTACACGTGAGCCAACGTCCCAGACCTTTTAGGGATGGAGTACGAGTCTACCCAGGCATTTAACCCCTCGGGTCATGGTCGCCCACCCTGTGCAATATAATTATATATATAAAGAGAAAAATTAATTAATTTGACTAAATGAGTTATTTAAATCTTTAACAACTAAATACTAGTAAGAAACATTTTTTTAAAAATTTAACAGTTGCTTCATGATACCAGGTCCTCCAAAAATCTCTCTTTTGGAAAAACTTACTTTTGGAGTCATAAAAAATGAACTTAAATCAAGGTGATTATCTAAAGCCCTGTTTGTGACAGGTCTCACCCAAATTTTTCCTTTTTAATTTTAGATTTTAGTAGATGAGCAATTGGGGGCCATTTTTAATTTTTGAATGACTGGTTCAGAAATCAGTAAAATATATACTGATGTTCAGATGGCTGTAGAAATGATATTGTTCTTGTTCTTGATTTTTCTAAAACCATTAACACCATAAACTGTTCTCTTCTTCTTTCTAAACTCAATTCCCTTCCTTCCCTTATAGTGTTTTTCAATGATTTACTTCCTCTCACCTATCCATTATTACTGATGTTACTCAAGGCTCAAGTTTATCTGTCTCCTTCTTTTGTTGTTGTATTAATGATCTTCACATCCTTAAATATTATAAATATCACCTGTACACAGATGGCTTCCAAATCTGTCTCCTTTTCACCTCATGAACTTAGTTCTTACCACATGAATCCAAGAGGACCTAAATACCATCAGCCCTTGAAAATGAACTTTTTCTCAATATCAAGTCCCAGGCTGTAGTGTTTGGATCCCATCTTCTTCTCCAATCCTTACTCCTATTCCTCTGCTCTACATTAACAACCAAACGATCTGTCAACCTACTGATGGTCCATGATCAAACCCTATCCCGGAATCACCACATTTTCTAAATCTCCCGCTACTGCTTCTCCACCTCCGGTAGTTCCGTCATGGTAGCAGATCACAGGAAAAAATCTCACAATTTAACATAGCTAGGCTAAATTGTTAACAAGAAATTACCCCAATTCAACACAGAAGATGGTGAAATGCTGAAACACGTCTGATTAATAAAATCAGTGAGGATAGGCTACCAGATGATATTTAATTAGGAAACTATTGCTGTTTATACTAGTAAAGGTCATATTACAATAAAAACAACAAAAACACTGAACACATTAATGTAAAAAATGAGAGGACATTTTGGAGTATCTGGTAAATTTGATAAACAAATATTGACTGCTTATTTGTAGCATTTCTACTGTGGAATTGGTTGACTTGGGGAAAGAAATTATTTTGAATTCGTTTTCTACACCAGATTTTGATCCTGAAATGTTTACTACTGCCAGGGATATTTTTTCTCTCTATCATGAAGCTGTTCCAAAAATACATGGAAAATATCTCGATAATCTGGCTGAACAATCTGGTAAAGCTAATCATTTTTATCAACCAACATATATCTATGTTAAATTAATTAACAGTCAATTTATTTTTTATATTTAGCACTATTTTATAACAATTGTTGGTACCTTGCTCATAAACTCATAACAATCAATGAAGAATTCAGGTCTTCAATTCCACATAACACAAGACCACCTTTGGCTTGTTTCGTTGATTTAGCACACCCGTTAATAACAAAAGGGATACACATTTTGGACCAGCAAATTAATAAGCAATTTAACCAAATTTCAAGTATTCTTGAACAGTCAGGTAAACAATTAAATGTTTAGTAGAGAAATAGTTTGTTTAGTGAACTTTTCATAATAGGTTTGTCCTCACTAAGTGATTCAGAGGTGTTAACACCTATGACAGGAAAATGTATGAAACAGTGCATGCATCTGTTATCCTACCTTCAGTCCGTTTGGCAGGATGTACTTCCCACATCTGTTTACTGTCAAGTTTTGGGTAGCTATTACAATGATTTTATTAAATTGTGCTTCATACAAGTGTACTATTATAAATATAATTGCACGAACATTTCACAGGATCGTTAACAAGTAATTTCTTAAATGAAATCATTGATAAAATTGTCGTGACAAGTGACATCAGGGCTGACATTGCGACGTCTTTAGTTCAGGTTTTTTCATCGGTTACTGAAAACATTCCAAAACTTTTCCCAGTAAGTGAACTATTCTTATATATGGATTGCTTTTTAAAAGTGAATATGTGAATAATTCAAACCCTTATCAGGAACCTCAGGATGTTATTATTTATGTGAAAACCTGGACACGGTTTAATGAACTGGTATTCATACTTGGAGCTAATTTGATCAACATTGGAGAAAGGTGGGCAGATTCAAAAGGGCCTATTGCTGCTGTATTCAGTGCATCAGAAGTTCAGCAACTTATACGTGCACTTTTTCAGGTTTGTAAAAAAAAAAATTGCGAAGTAATTTATCTAAATTAATTTATCTTATTACAGTAGTTCAACAAATCAACTTTATTTATAAATACTTCATTTATATAAATATGTTTATACATTAAATGTACGCATGTATGAATTTTATTGCATATAATTTTCTATTTACAATATTTCTTCGCATAGTTGTATTCATTTAGCTCCAGGGCATCGTTTCTTATTAAAGGTGATCTTATGCCATCTTCTGTAAAACGAATTTACTGTTGGCTATGTAATTAATAATTAAATGTTTAGGTAGTTAGGAAATAGGTGTGTGGGGCGTCGGTGGCCGCAAGGTTTAGTCTTTGACACGGCGCTCATCACTGTAAAGTAAAGGTCCTGGGTTCGAATCCAGCGGCCCTGCATTCGAATCCGACATACTTACAAATTTTTTTTTTCAAAAACACCAGCACCCTGAGGGTTTATATGACCTCTGATGTTGTGAACCCTGTTTAAAAAAAAAAAGTTGTGTTAATTTTTCAGCATATTTCTTTTGCAGTTTTAAATGTTATATAAAAATTACTTTTTTCAACAAATTATTATTTTTATGTAGTTTTGGTTGAAATGAAAAGCTAATGCCACGCTAATATGTTGCCGAGAATTGAATCCTGATTACACAACAATTGAAAAACAGCAAAAAGATGTCCGAGTGGATTGAAGTCACCATAGCTCAAGTGGTAGAGCAGTGGCATATCAAGCCGAAGGTCGGGGGTTCGAATCCCGCTCGTGACACTGACTTTTTTATCTCCACCAAAAACCTTAGATGAAACGAATAATTAATTGGAATAATTAATATGGTCAATTGTGGTCACTAAACAAATATGGATTAATATAACCAACTTTTTCATTTTAACCATAACCTTAACGAAAAAGATTAATTAATTGTAAGGTAAAATGTTCAATCTATAATGTAAAAATAAGTGAGGCTGTTGCCAGAGCAATGCATATAGTCAACGTTTAAATTAATAAAATTGAGCCCAAGATCGTGGGTTCAAATCCCGCTTGTGACACTAACTTTTTCATTTCATCCAAAACCATAAAAAGATTAATTAGAATTGGCACTGGAGCTAGCTCAATTTCATTCACACCAGCACCCTGATGGTTTATATGGCCTCTGCTGACACATCATTTTAAACATGGGAACTCTGAGCCAAATTGTCAAAAACAGTAATCACAGGCTTTTTTATATTAAAAAAATATCAATTATATCATATCCACCAATCGTATCCAGCTGGCTAGCTGCATGGCATAATAATGTCATTTTCATTTAAAACAACACAATAACCACTATTTAAAACAGCAGTACCTGTTTAACAATGGGGAAAACTCATAAGGTGGAGTTGAGATAGGAAGTTGATGTCCGAGTGGATCGAGGTCATGATAGCTCAAGTGGTAGAGCAGCGGCGCATCTAGCCGAAGATCGGGGGTTCGAATCCCGCTTGTGCCATTAACTTTTTTTCATCTCAACTAAAAATCTTAATTAATTGTAATGGGGAAAACTTTTTAACAATTACTTACTAAACAATAAAGGGATTTGACAAAAACTTACTATGGTGGTGTTTTATTATTATTATTTTTATTAGATTTTATTATTTTATTAGATTTTTATCTTTTTTTTTCCTGAGGGTATTTCAACTGGTTACTCAGGGTGCCAGTGTTTTTGAACAAAAGCCTGTAAGTATGTCAGGTTCTAATGTGGGGCTGCTGGGTTTGAACCCAGGACCTTTACCTTATAGTTATGAGCGCTGTGTCAACGCCCAAACCATTGCAGTCACTGCCACCCCTCTTAGATTATTTAAATATGCTGTAATAATTATTTGTTTTCAATTGCAGGTTTCTAACAGGAGGGCTGCTCTTCTGGCAAGGATAAAATAGCTATAAATGAGAATTATTCTTTAATATTATTCTGTAAATAAATATATAATATAGTATTATTTTATTTACATAAGTATTCCCTTACTATAATGTCCTGATATCGTTTTTCATAAGTATTCCAAGGAAGGAACCAAGGAATGGCACCCTTCACTGAAGTGTCCATGAAGTTTTAAAGGGAGCTTCAGGCAGGGTGATGCCTGTTGATGTCATGACTCCCAAGTTCAAATTTGACAAAAAATTAAAATACCTAGAGAAGACCATATCTGGTCAAAGATGGCTCAAAATCGAGTATTGGTCAGGAGCTGATATTTATGGAAATAAACCTAAGACTAGAATTCATATTGGCTTTTGGCAATATGCCACTATCATTCATGTGGAGACTAGCTATTGAAGAACATTGTGCCAAGGAGATTAAAAGGCTAGGTACTGTTAATAGAAGAATAGCCATCTATTCGGAGAGCCAGGTGGCACTAAGGGCAATTGGTGGGAAAGTCTAGTCATTTCAGATTGAATTAAGGCCTTGTCAGAGATTGGAGAAAACAACAAAATTATCCTTGTCTGGGTACCAGGGCACACAGGGTAGTGGGGCAACAAAGTGACCATAAATTGGCAAAGGAAAGTTCGAAGACACCTATTGGCCCCTTTTGTGACATACCAAACTGCCAAAATGTGGATCCATCAGACAATGGATTAAGAAAGGTACTTCGTTCAGGGAACACGTCATGTAGGACAGGACAGAAACATGTGAAATAGTTCATAGAAACAAAGGCAGAATTTCTAGAATGTGTTAGGACTAAAATAATAGTTGAACTGCTAACTGGACCTTGCAGACTCCAGAGGCATATGTATAAACTCGGAGTGGTGGAAACAACCCTTTGCAGATATTGCCAGGAAGAAGAAGAGGCACTGGAACATGTCATCTTTGGTGTGAAGGCTTAGATTCGTACTGGAAGAGGAAAAGCTCGGGCCTGAATCTAAATTCTTAATTGTTCATGTGTCAACTTAGCATGGTCTATTCGAAATCGGATGAGGATGGTGAGGATTTTTTTCTACTATTGAGATCCTGTGAGGGCCATCCATCGACCATGCTCCTTCCTCTTAGTCATATTTTTATCGCATCTGAAGTGTCAGAGGGATGGATTATAGTGATTGGTCTGAAGTTGGGACGTCTTGGCCTTAGCTGCTTCGTCACCCTTCACTCTGCAGACTTATGTGATTCCTGACCCAGACAACCACCACGATTAGAGAGACTATTGAGCCGAAGGCCTTGGGCTCAAATCCTGCACTGACACTACCTTTTTCATCTCAACCAAGACCTCCGATAAAAAGTATAATTAATTAAAATAATCAATACGGTCAATTATGACTATTAAATGCATGTATGGATTAATATAATAAAATGTTGCCGCTTAAAAAATAAATAAGCAAAAGTGTGCTAAGAGGATTTTAAAATTAAAATTAAATTGATTAATTTTATAGGTGTTGCAGTGAATTGATTTGTTACTCTATTAAAGTTTCTTTAGATTATCAATTAGATTTGCAAATTATCATGTGTGATGCTTTTTATACTGTGATAGTACGTTAATATCATATTTTCCATATTAATTGCAAGGATCAAAAATTTTAAAAAAATCCATCTTATCATTTCAATAAATTACTAACCGCAACTCAGTGATTGTCACTGAGGTATCAATTGTAAGTATAGTTATTAGTTTCTCAAAAATATAATAAGTATTTTAATACATAAATAGGAGAGTAAAACATTAAGTGATAAACTATTTTATCAAGAAAAAATTATAATTTTTTGAAAATACTTTACAAAAAATAAAAATTATCATCTTAAAAACTTCAAAATAAGTAATATGTCCCTTTTTATACTATATACCAACACTATCATGTGCTGTTTTCATAGAATTTTGAAGAGCGGTTTGAATTAAAAAAATTGCTTCTACTCTACACGTTTGATCTAGAAACTACCATGTTTTAGCAATTTCAATCTATTTTTCAAACTAAATTGATAAAAAGAAATACATCATATATACTTATAAAATTAATTGTTTAGTGAAAAAGAAGAATTAGAAGAACATAAGTTCATAAAAACTCATCATTTTGGCTGATGCACTCACTGCATAATAAAAAATAATAAAAAAATTACAGGACCCTTTGTGTAAATGTATTAATGTTAATTTATGTATAAATTGGTTTAGCTTATAACACAATAAAGATTAAAAGATGTAAGTTAAACATTAGCATTGAGACAGTTTATCACAGTGTAATCTATATCTATGTTATCCCTGTTGTAAGGGTAATAAACTGAATCTTTATTAATATACAATTGTACAAATATAATACAAGTAACACCTAAAATATGTGCTTTTACAGTTTTTTAAAGTTAAAAAATATATATAAATATATATATGAAGGAAATAACAGTGTATGTTCTGGGAATTATTTCTCTTGTCGGGAATTTTTTCCAAACACATGCATATTTGAAGAGAGATGTACTTAATCTCCGAACCGCAATGAATGAACTAAATAGGAAAGGAGAGAAGCCAAAATATTTAAATACAAAGTTTTGGTTCAAAACAGAAGATGATATACCTACTATTCGACAAAAACTAGGTAATAATTTTATGAACAATATTTATATGTAATATTTAATATTTGGGGTGTGTAGTATATCGTGTACTTTAATGCATATTTGGTATCCGATAGTTGTTGCCCTCTCATTTGGCCATTGGGTTTTGCTATTAAAAATATTTGCAAATATTTGTTCTATTGTGTAATGTATTTCTTGTAAGGACACTAATTCACAAAATAAGTAAACAAGGGTTAAAATTACTTTTGTTTCAAGAAATAATGACCTATATTTACTTTCTCTATTGCTTTGTAATAACTTTACATAAGAGTGGAAATCAATGTGATGTTACAAATTGTAGACCTACATGTCAGCAATCAGTAACAGCAAAAATCTTGGAATCTCTAATTTTAAAAACTATCAGACCTTAACTAAATCTTTTCATAATACCTGAACATCATGGTTTCCACCCTTCTCGTTCAGCAACAACAAACCTTTTTCAAGACAATGGGTTGACACAATATCTTTAGATTTTGTCAAGGCGGTTGATCATTGTCTTCTTATATGAAAACTCATCATCTTTGAAATATATGGTTCTCTCCTCAAATGTTTAGCTCCTATTTGCAAGATTGAAATCAATTTGTGAAACTTAATGTACTTCTGAAAAAGTAGGAGTCTCACCTGATACCTCAGTAGTCGTCACATGGACCACTCCTTTTCAAAGTATTTGTTAAAGATATTTCTCCTTGTATTTTCAGTTATTTTCTCCCTTATTGTTGTTGTCCTGAAGGTCTAACCGCCAACTTCCATTTTTTTTCTTGTGTTTTCATATCTGCCATATCAATGGTAAATAGTGTGGGAGAGACCCATGCTACACTGCAATCTCCATGATTAAATAACTAAAACATTAGCCACATTGAAATTGTATGTACCATTTCTGATAAGGGGGTGGTTTGTGTTACTCAAAATTATACTGCTTTTAGTAGGTAAGAACAAGCCACATTGTACAATTGCAGAACACAATTGATCTCTGTATTTTGTGGTTAGAGGGCAGGATAAAAAGATGTGGTCCTGGTCTGCCAAAGAGCCATAATCACATCCGCAAACAGGGCTATCTTTAATACCGATCTTATATAAATGATATGGTAGACTGTTATGGTTCAGGCGAAGTCTGCAGATGGAGGTAAAAAGTTTTCTTGGCCCATTAACCGTACTGAACCATGGTTTGTGTGGGATTATTGGCTGGATACTCGTTTTGCCATTTCTTTTTAATATAATTATTGAAGTGCGCCACTATGTCGGAAGCTGTTACTCTGATTTTACTATTCCTGGGTTGGCAGCTTCTTTTGCTAGAAAATCAACTTGATTGTTGTATTTGTTATTGCTATGGCCTTTTACCCATATTAAAAATACGTTCATACTCTTGTCTAATTCCATCAATCCCTGCTTGATTGATGTGCCAACTTCCGTTCATTATGCTTAAATTCTGCAAAAACCTGTAGATAAACTTGTTGAGTGGTGTTTATGCATTGGCATCGAACTAAATGCAAATAAGTGTAGGGTTGTTAGTTGAAGTCTTGAACATAGATTTGTCTTCTACAATTATGCTAGTCATCAAATTGGACAGGAATCATCTACTCTAACAACCTGACATTTAACTTCATTGCACCTCAATAATTAATAAGGAAAATAAAATTTTAGGTTTCTTACATAGTACCACAAAAAAATTTAAGGATGCAGAAACGATTATACTGTTTGTCCCATTTTAGAATACTCTTCAGTTGTTTTGTTACCACATCAAAAAATACTAAGTAATTCAATAAAAAATGTACAGCGACGATTTATTCAACGGTTTACAATTACTAGAACTATTTTGATATACCATACAAACTTATTACAACCATATTATGGAATCCGCAGAATGCGACCACTAAATATAAGACGACAAAACAATGACCTGATATTTTCTTATAAACTCTTAAATAATATGATCGATTGTCCACAATTAATCAATTTGCTAAATTTCCATGTTCCACAGTGTAATACCAGACAAAAATATTATTTTCAAAATCTAATCATAATATAAATTATTTAAAATTTAGTCCGATTCCTCGACCCATGCATACTAGTAATAAACTTGCTTTACATTGTGAAACTTTTACCTTTCCTTAAGTCGATGTAATCATTTTTTAATAATCATTGATCATGGCAATTGCATTTGATTTTCTCATGCATATCTGTTGTTTAATTAAATTTTTATAATTCCTTCTCACTTTCTTTATATTTGTTTATATATTTCTGTTGTTTAATTAAATTTTTTTTATCATTCCTTCTCACTTCTTTTATGTTTTTTTTTATACATTTCAGTTGTTTAATTAAATTTTTATAATTCCTTCTCACTTTCTTTATCCTTACTTCTTACTTCTTTTATATTTTTTTATACATTTAAGTTGTTTAATTAAATTTTTATAATTCCTTCTTACTTCTTTTATATTTTTATACACTTATATACTATAACACAATAGTTACAATATTTTATTTGTGTTTGTTATGTTGAATATGTTTACATTTTTAATTATTGTTGTACATTTTAGTTATTGTTACCCATATAAATAAATTAATAAATTTCTGATGAAAGTCATTTTTCATTAAACGCATGTTGCTAATACATTTTGGTTTGTAAATTTTACAGCTAACATGATGCTAAACAATATTAATGACACTGTCGATCCGTGTGATGATTTCTATCAATTTGCATGCGGAAATTGGCTTGAGAACAACCCGCTTCCTAAGGATAAATATATGTTTGATAATTATGAGATCATATTAGATGAAGTAAATAGACTTTTAAAAAATCGTCTTGAGCAACCAGTTTCAGATAATGAACCAATGGCCTACACAAAAGTTAAAAATCATTATAAATCTTGTATGAATAATGGTAATATATTAGTAGTAAAATATATGTAAAGTAAGGTAATTTTAAATATTTAATTGATTTGCCATAAGAAACAATTGACTCTATTGGATCTAAGCCACTTCTCACCTTCCTTGATTCATTGGGTGGCTGGCCGTTGATTAGCAAAAACTGGAATGGTTCCAATTTTGATTGGATTTCATTAGCAAGCCAACTTGCCAAATACCAAAATGAAATACTAATTTTTTATGACGTTATTCCTAATTTGAAAAACTCAAGCGAACATATACTACTAGTAAGATGTACACAATTTTTTGTTTGTTTTTTAATAATCATTTATATATTATTTATTCCCTGTTTGTTTTTAGATAGAAAAACCATCGTTATTTTTAAAAGATACTAGCATGTATTTATCGCCTTCAAAGGTAAAATCATTAGAAGCGTACAAAAGATACATTGTTGAAGTGGCAACACTACTAGGTGCGCAGGAATATGAAGTTACAAAGGCTGTGGAAGATGTTGTACAGTTTGAAATAAATTTGGCTAATGTAAACATAAATTTGAATTAAAATAACTTTTAATTTACAAAATTTTTAACATGTCCTTTCAGATAACTGAACCAGCAGAAAACAACAGAGTAATGACTTTAGAGGATATAGAAATGAAGTTTCCTGATTTAAAACGATTTATTTCCAATGTATTTAATTTATCACAAAATTCAAATGTGGAATTAAATAATTTACATTATTTTAAAGAGCTTGAAAAATTAATGAAAACAACGAAAACGAGGTAATGAACAGTGCTATTCTATGATAATAAGTGCTACATTTATTTATTTTATTTTTTTTTCAGTACATTAGCCAATTATATGCTATGGAAAATGATAGTAAATATGTTGTATTTTATGGGTGATAGATTTAAAAAAGCAGATGGAAATTTTATTAATAATGCTTATGGGGTAGAAAGTTTGCCTGCAAGGTGGGAACAGTGCGTCGTACAAATGTCTAAGGATCTTGGGCTGGCTGTTGGTGCAATGTTCGTACAAAAACATTTCGATGAATTTTATAAAAAAGAAGTTAGTTTTAATGTTTTTTTTTCTTCAGAATGTTGTTAATTAGTAAATATGGGCTTTACAGGTAATATTGATGAATAAATATATTCAACGAGCCTTTGGAGAAACAATCGCTAATATTAGTTGGCTTGATAAGGAAACAAAAGATTTAACTAAAGAAAAAATAAATTCAATTTTGTTCAGCATCGGATATGAAGATTTCATATTAGAGCAACAGAAAATTGATGATTATTACAAAGACGTGAGTTAAAAATGGCTAATATATTAGCTAATTAGACAATACTGAATAAAATAGTACAATATTGAAATCCTTTTGTAAAAAAAAAAAAAAATTCTATCTGGAAATGACAGATAAATTTAAGTGTGAGAGACAATACAAATTTTTGGAACATATCAAAATATTTCAGAAAGCTCAAGTTCGTTGCAGGTTAAATATTTCAATCCATTTATAATATATATATATATATACATACACATCTTTATTATTTTATGTAATGTTTTATGTTCCGAACCTGTAAGAAAAATAGCACAAGAACCGGGAGGAGATGTAACTTTTAAGTCAGTAACCCTGGAAATGTCTATAAATGTGTTTAGGTGTCAACAATTTTACCAATGTTATGTAAACTTAAAATTCATTTAGAAGATGGAGAGTAATAACAATTAAATTCACTAATTTCGTGGTCCGCTTGACCAATTAATACTATACAATTAATTAAGGTTTTTAGTTGAGATGAAAAAAAAGCTAATGGCGATCCACTCGGACATCAACTCCCCATCTCAACCCCACGGTCACGATAGCTCAGGTGGTAGAGCAGCGGCGTATCAAGCCAAAGGTTGTGGGTTCGAATCCCTCTCGTGCCATTAGCTTTTTTTCATCTCAACTAAAAACCTTAATTAACTGTATAGTAATAACAATGAAAACATTTAACCAACAATGGAAAACATCCGAAAAAAGTCCATCAAATGTGAAAAGACAAAATATTTAACACTTTAGATATATTCACTAATTTCGTGGTTCGACCAATATAGATATATTTATTTTAAACTAATATGACTTGTCAAATAATACAACAATATGTTGTCACATAACAATAATATGTTGTCAAAGTTCTAACATTTTTTTGCAGATTGACATTCGTTTGGAGTATTTTTTTGAGAATAAAATGAATATTTTAAAGGATCGTATGCGGAAGATAAAATCTAAAATTGGTTTGCCAGTTAACAAATCACTATCGGTCCTGAACATTCCGACAGGACTGATTGCAAATTTTAATTACAGGCTGAATTCAATAGGTCTATTTTTGTTTCAACAATTCATTCAATTGTAATGTAAATATTAATTTTATCACATTATCATTACAGTACTTGCTGCAGTAATGTTCCAGCCCCCCGCATTTCATAAGTATTTTCCAAAAAGCATCAACTACGGTGGAATCGGAGTGGTAATTGGTCATGAGATGATACATAGTTTTGATAGCAATGGTCGTCGTTATGACAAATATGGAAATTTAAATCCTCAGTGGCCTGATGAGGCTGTTAAAACTTTTACGGAAAAGACTCGATGTTTTGTTGGTTAATAATTTAAATTTAACAATTATCTGATGTCAACGAAACTGATAATTACAAATAATAACTAAATAATTATAGAGCAATATGAACAAAATTTTGTGACAAAAAAGGATACTCAAAATAACGGAGAATTAAAATTGGGAGAAAATATTGCAGATAACGGAGGGGTTAAACAAGCATTTTTGGTAAATACAAAGCTTATAAGATTTAAAAATAAAAATAATCAATTAATTGTGTGATAGGCATATCAAATGTGGCTGCAAGCACAGCAAGACTTTAATGAAACACTACCTGGAATGAATTATACATCGGGACAGTTATTTTTCTTGAGTTTTGCACAACAGTATTGCTCTGTATTTAGACCTGCTGTAGGCGAAATCGTACTTAACCAAGATAGTCATTCTCCAAACAATTTCAGGTTATTTAGCTTATATGCTCACAGTGCACAGAGTTTTGGTTGCACCTTAAACTGTCATTTAGCTAATACTAATTTATTCCAAACGATTATTTTTTAATTATTATTTATTATGAAATAAACTTGAAAATTTAAATCTGCGTGCTATTGCATTTTTGCTACAGGATGAAGATAAAGAGGATGAAGAGAAAGTTATAATGTTTGTATGTTTTGTTGTAGGGTAATTGGAACATTAAGTAACAGTGATGATTTTGCAAAAGAATTTAAATGCCCAATTGGTTCTCGAATGAATCCAGTGAAAAAATGTTCATTATGGTAAATAATATGCTCAATTTTGTATTTACTACTAGTTGGTTTTGTAAGATACCAAATAAATAAAAGTATTTTAATTTCTTATGGTCTTCTCATTTTACTGTATGTACAACAAGACAAGAATAAAAACAAATTATATAAATAAATTGGACTTATTTGAACAAGAACCGACAGGATCTGCTTACGTTGTTTGCTCTGAATTCGTCAACGTGGTTACTGCTGTCTGTGACAGGTCTTCTGTTGAGCTTCTAATTGTGCTCTTTACCACGAAAAGGAATGTCTCGGCAAAACGGTGGTTGGTTATCTGGGTACCTAAAAACATAGGTCTTGAAGTTGGGGATAAAGTGTACGAGGCATTGTTTTCAAGTTGATTTCATACTCACTGATTTGTGAATTTATTATAAGCCAAGATTCACAATTAAAATATTTTTAACCACACTATTTAAAACATTGTTAGGTAAAAAGTACTAAGTAAATTTTGTATAATATGAAACTGTAGTACTGACAATGAAAACTAGTAACAAGTAAAGCTTGTTTTTCATTCGACATAGCATTGTAAATGGACGGGTCTGTAGTAGAATACAGAGTACCTCGAAGACCTGTCAAACTAGTTAGGTTAGCTATAAAATAGGTTGTTTTACTTTCTTGTATGCTTATATGTATGTTGCTTTAATACTGATTGAATTGAGGGTCTTCATCATGTGTGAGAGGAGAGATTAAGGAAGAAACTACATGTTCGATGTACCCCACATATCAATAGAAGGTAAATCACCCATGAAAGGGCTACTAAGATATAAAATGCAGAATAGGAAAATACTGAGTAGAAAAAACTATGGAAAAAAATATGTGAAGTTGACACACTTTAGGACAAAGCCTGCAAATGGGGCCAGCATGTAGAGAAAGGTTGGTTGCTCGATGTCACACTTAATTGAAGGCAGAGTTGGGCAAAATCGAACTAATTCAATCATGATTAAGAATTTTGATTGAAGTTTAATCCTGATTGAATTAATCATAAGTAAATTAATCATTGTATGATTTAGTCATACCTCATGATTGAATTAATCATGACTAAATCATATAATGATTAATTTACTCATGGCTAATTCAATCATGATTAAGAATTTTGATTGAAGTTTAATCATGATTGAATTAGTCATAAGTAAATTAATCATTGTATGATTTAGTCATACCTCATGATTGAATTAATCATGACTAAATCATATAATGATTAATTTACTCATGGCTAATNTGGTTGAATTAGTCAGATTTTGCCCAACTCTGTCTTCTGTGCATCTTAAGAAACGGTGATGATAAGCAGATCCAGAGTTGGGCAAAATCGAACTAATTCTTAATCATGATTGAATTAGTTCGATTTTGCCCAACTCTGGCTACAATGACTAACTTACCAAAATCCAACAGACTCCGGATAAAAATGTTGAGATGAGAGTCGTTCTCAAGGCCAACGTTCAAAAAGTGTTATCATAAAAGAAAACCAAAGTTACATAATTATTCTACAAGTCTATTTTATTACAATCAAGACCGCTTGATGGTGTATTGTCCACATAATGTAGAAATCTCTACTTTCAAGCAGAATAAATTTTAATTCAAAGAAATATTTTTTCCATTGATCGGTTATGTAAACATATTTACTTTTCTAAGTGTAGCTTGTTCTAGGATTTTTTAAAATTTTATTACTATTATTGTTATCATTATTTTTTTGGCTTTTCATAACGACGTAGTTTTACTTATAATTGGATGATTGATTTTTGTTAAATAAGGTGTTGAAGTATTTTCCTTTTGATGAAATAAATTTCTCTTAGAAATTTTTTTAAAAGTGATGAAGTTGTGTATTTTTCATTTTTTGAGCACACATTTGTAGAAGATTTATCGAAATTTAGTCATGACTAACTATATTGTGACTAAATTAGTCATGCCTCGTATTTAATTACTAATCATGACTAACGGTCTGATTGATCAATCATTAATCATTAGACATGACTAATTTTTGCCCAACACTGATTGAAGGGTGTCGCTCCTTGTCTCCATATAGAGAGCGTGTAGGAGTGCCACCTAATATGTGAATTTTGCTTGAGCATGGCAGTGAGTATTTCAGTCCCTTGTTCCAATTTTTGGAGGGATAGGAGTGTTTTACTGTATATAGTTCTTTGTATATAAATTGTCTTGGGTGTCTTGTATGTATTGATGGATTGAATGTATTTATTAGCATGAATGTGTAGTGTGAGAGGGTTGATGGCGGAATATTTGATTCATTAACGTTCAGTTAGGTTAGTTATACTATACATGGAGAGGGTGAAGGAGGAATATCAAGTACTCCATCATCCTAACTAAATGAATGGTATGTAAATTGGAAAGAATGTATTGAAGAGAGAATGGGTTTGGAATTTGGAACTGATTGCGTTGGGGGCTGAAATGGCTTAGCGTTGATAGCCCCTATAGCCCAACCTTGGTGCTGGGTAGATAAGACCAAGGTCTAACCCCGGAGTGGGTGATTCTTGAGGCCTGCTGGTAATTTTTGTAAATTACACAGCTGGAATTGCCAGTAGATTGTGAGAAATGATAGGCTCAACTATGTACAAGTGTGTATACAAGTGGTAATATGCGTGTAGAGATTTGAGCTTATATAAATCAGTAATCTGTCACAGATATAAACTCTGTAGTAACAGTAACAAAACTATAAGAAATTTATTGAAAGGGTATTTCTAGGAATTCTAATAAATTTTCCTGTTATGCTTTTCTACACAAGACACATCTATTGTACATATTTCATAATGTTGGGTTTCTAATGTCAATTGACAACATCAAACTCATCATTTGAACTTATCAAATATTTTGAAAAATATGGCCAATAACAAATGTGAACAGAATAGTACTTATCCGTATAGTTAAGAATTATAAATTTGATTTGCTTATTACCATTTGCAATGCTTCTTATACTGTGATAATCTGTTAATATTCAAATTTTACATTTCATTTTACCATTAAAAAAATAAATAAAATAAAACTCACAGTGATTATAAAATATAAAAAAATTGGTAAGTACACCTCTTTACTACATTCATGAAGAAAGATATTAATTTATTAATTCAGGTTCATCTCTTTTGTTATTTATTTAACCTCATTTACACTGACACTTTGTAAAATATTAAAAAATGTAATTTTCAGAAATATTAACGAGGTTAATTACATTATTTCTTAATGTACCATAAAACAATTTTAAATATTAGAATAAACAGAATAATAATAAAACTAATTAAATTACATATGAAGTAAATAATTAGATTCGATAAGAATTATATCACTTATTTTGATACATTTTAATAAATTTTCATGAAGAGTTGGTTATAAATAGTTGTTAAATAAAAAAACTAAAGAACTCTAGAATAACTTTTAGTTTGAGGTTTTTACATAAATTATCATTTTTTTATAAACTTTTTTGATGATACAGAATGCATGTGACTTATTATAATAACTAACCTCCACATAAAAGTGAATGAATTTGTTAAAGTGTTTCTAATAATCAGAAGAATATACACATGAAGAACATAGTAGTTGTGTTCGTGTTGGGAAACATTGCTCTCCTTTGGAACGTTTGTCATACACAAGCAAATTTAACTGAAAATTATGAACATCAATTAAAAGAACAAAGTAATTTAGTATTAATTATCAAATTGGTATATAGTATGCAAAACTAATTTCCTATAATTCCAGCTTCAAACCAACTATGGAACAAAAATTCATCTGAACAATCTCAAGTTATTAATAAAGAATGTACAGATTGCAACAGGAAAAATATTTTCATAAATGAATTAAATATATTTTCCCCAAAGAAAATTGAAAATCTTGGATCATGGATCAGTGATCTAACTGAGTATGCACTAGTTTTGTAAAATAAGTATCTTAACATTTCAATCGATTTTTCAATCGAATCAGGTCTTTAGTAAAAAAAGCGGAAGAAATAATTGAAACTACAAATCAGACTATTTCATATGATCCAAAGGACGAGCTGGCAGGAAAAGACAAGCAAAATATTCTACATAAACCTGGTAAATGGCAAGTTTATTTTTTCCAGTTTAAATTTTTTTAAAGTATCTTATTTTCTTTATGTTTTTCCCTTCACACATTTCAATGTCCCAGAGGTTAAACAAGACATGGAAAAAGAAGAAAAATATAAGCTAAACTTTCGGCATCATCGAGGTAACAATAATTTGTTATTAAATTTAAAAAAGTAATTATTTTTTTGAAAAATAATTTGTAGCTTTCATTATAAAAACAAAACGAAGAAAATATACCCCAAAATAGTTTAATAACTTGATAGATAAATTTGGTTTTCAATTAATTTTGTTTTGTTATAAAACTTATTTCTAGAAGTGATTCAATCTAAAAACTTTCTTTTTAATACTTACTAAATCTGATTTGACCATGAACCAATCAGTATAATGATAAATCAACAGAAACATTATATATCAATAGTTTTGGATCAATAGTTTAATTCCTTGTTTAATTAAATATTTATTAAACTAATAATGATCTAAGAAAATATTTCCAGCCCAAATGATGCAAAAGTACATGGATACAACTGTAGATCCTTGCCAAGATTTCTACACGTTTGCTTGTGGCAATTGGCCTATGGTCAAACCCATTCCTTGGAATACATATCATTACAATATTTTTGACTTTGCTAAAGGCACAATAGTTGATCAAATGAAAAAACTCCTAGAGCAGCCAATTTCAGATAATGAACCAAAGTCATTTACCAAAGCTAAAAATTATTACAAATCTTGCGTCAACCGTGGTAATATTCATTGATAAAATGTTATCTACATTGGTAATTCAATTATTTTCATTTGTTTAAAGAAACTATTGAATCAAGAGGGTCAAAACCTCTTCTTACCCTTCTTGACTCACTTGGAGGCTGGCCATTGATCAGTAATAACTGGAATGGTACTAATTTTGACTGGATTTCTTTAGCAGGGAAACTTAGCAGATATACTAATGAAGCATTGATTGCCTTTTCTGTTTCATCTGTAAATGAAAGTCAACTTGAAATAAATGTTAGTAATTAAATTAATTAGTAAATTAAGTCATTATTTATGTATTAAAAAAAAAAAAAATCATCTCTCTTGTTTTTAGATAGACAAACCGAGAATAGCTTTTCCAACAAGATACAATCACATCTGGAACAACAATTCCAATGACATGCAGACATATATGAATTTCATTAAGGAAATAGCAACACTTTTGGGTGCAAATAAAGATAAAATTACAGAAGCTGTGAAAGACGTTATAAACTTTGAGATGAACATATCAAGAGTAATTCAAAATTTTAAAATATTAATAATATATTTAAATTTAAACTAATTTTCCAGATTATTCTTCCTAAAGATGGATTATTAGATAAGACAAAATCATTGTCTTTAGACGAAATAAATCAATCGTTTCCTAAACTTGATTTAAAACGTTATATTTCAACGGTATTTAATTTAACAGATGATTCAAACGAGCAAGTTGTGATACATTCCGTTTATTATTTTACTGAACTTGGAAAAATTCTGGAAGATACTGAGGCCAGGTAGAAGACATTTATTTTATGTTATGTAATTAATTCAGTTTGTTTCTCCAGTACAATAGCTAATTATTTGTTATGGAATGTTGTTGAACGCTGGGTGGTTCATTTGGATCAGAAATTTAAAAACGTCTATAAACAATTTCACTCACAATTACCCGTAAACGTTTCAAAAATGAACTGTTTCAAAGAAGTGAGAAATGGAATGAAATCAGTAGTGGATGAAATGTTTTTAAATACGCATTTCAACGAATTTATCCAAAATGACGTTAGTACTGATGTTTTTGATTTTCATGTAATTTTTCAAATAAATTTTTTTATATTTTCTTTTCAGACGACAATAATAAGAAAGAGTATTCAAGAGTCCTTTAAAGAGGCAGTTTCTAATGTTAAATGGCTTAATCAACCGGCTAAAAACACAGTTAAAGAGAAGATAGATGCATTAAAATTTCGTATAAAATTTCTAGACAACAGACGAACAACAGAGGAACTCGATAATTTATTCATGCATGTGGGTTTATGAACAGTTATTACTGCAGTAAAACTTCCATACCAATTTTTTTTTTTTTTTTTTGGCGTTATGAACTATGCATATTAGCCATGTGACAAATTCGTATATGTGTGTTCAAAATTGGGGGGTTATTGGGAAAAAAGGGCCAGGGGCAACGGTGGGAATCGAACCCACGACCGCGGTGTGAGAGTCTCTCATGCTAACCACTCGGCTACCGCGGTCCATACCAATATAATGCCAAAAAAACAAACTATGAAATTTTTTATCAACCACTTATACATTGTACATTTTATTTTTTAAGTCTTGAAAATATGGTATTTTTTATATATTATATAATGGTATCTTGATTTAAAGATAAATACAATCATTTGAAAAGGGGATATTTATAGTATTCCACATTATGTAATGTATTAAGTTAATATGGGATTTTTTTATTTATTTACAACGCCAAGAAGGCAACGTAGATGGAAGAAAAACTAATTAACGTTACAACATGCAATAATTATTTAAATGTTCCTTTTATAAAAATTAATAAAATTTGCTTAAGAAAAAGGTGTTTTGCAGGTTACTATAGATCCAGCTACTTACTTTGAGAACTTTATAGCTATAACAATGTATGATGTACAAATTACAAAATCTCAAATTGCTTTGTCCAAAAAGGAAATACAATCAAATGGAGATATTACAGAAGTAGGAACGAGTTTTATTCCCAACGAGAATGAGATCGGTGTGTTTTTCTATATTATAATATTAAAACTGTCAAATTTTTATGCTAATAAACACCATTGTAGTGGCCACAGTGGGGATTTTCCAGCCTCCGTTCTATCATAAATATTTTCCACAATGCTTAAACTACGGTGGATTTGGAGGAGTGATAAGTCATGAAATGCTACTCGGTTTTGATTATTATGAAGTCATGCATTACAATGGAAACTTAGCAACCAGACTGACTGAGGAATCATATATGAAAGTTTATGAACGTGCTACGTGTGTAACTGGTAACTCAGAGCTAACTTGTATAATATTGAAATTATAAATTAAAATCACATTAATCTTACAACTGTAGAACAATATTTGTCCGAAAGAGACTATGAAAAATATGAAGGATATCAGGTTGAGGCAAAAAATATAGCAGATAGTGAAGGGATCAAACATGCTTATGCGGTAAATATTATTGTAAAATATCATGAACGACAGGTGTAATTTGATATTTGGATTTGTCGCAGGCGTATAAAAAATGGTTAAATGTGTATGGTGACTCTGATGAAAAACTCCCTGGAATGAATTATACATCGGGTCAATTGCTGTTTTTGAACTTTGCACAAATGTGGTGTGAAAATATAAACCTTGATAACATTGACGAAGGAACGGATAGAATGCTTATTGTTCCAGGAAAATTCAGGTTACCCTTAGTTCTTGTGTCAAACTATACTCAATATAATAAAATATGATTTCCAGAGTAATTGGGACATTACGGAATAATCAAGATTTTTCAAAAGAATTCAATTGCCCACTTGGATCTCCAATGAATCCAAGGAAGAAATGCACAGTGTGGTGAATAATGTTCTAAGTTTAAACCTACAAATTGGATTTTGCATAAGTGTAGTAATCAAATAAATATAAAATTATTTTAATTATGATTGATGACTTCATTAAACCCTTTGATTGAACTAAGTTTTTCTTAAAAAAATCACATTAACAAACGATTCTTTTTGTTCTGCTAGTACTTAATGATATTTTAAAGTACTGTATCGCTCATGTTTTTTTACATTTTATTTGAATCCATGTGTTTTCTTTATTAAACCTCTGTTTCTTGGTTATAATATAAATCAGAATTTATTACAGATTTGAACTTTGAAACTATTTCTAGGCTGATATTATTTAAAAGTAATGGTACACACAAAACATTGCCCACCAACTTGTAACAAAGAGTCCAAAGTTTCCATTTAACTCCAACTAAAATGAAGATCAGGACATGTTTTTCAAATACATAAATTTACCGCACATGGATGGGCATTTGATGGAGTAAACATCCCCTACTTCACATTTGTTGAAGTGGTCTGACTCGGTACTTGAATCCTTCCATTTAAGTAATTAGGCAATATATTTTTCAATTCCCTGGTGACAAAAAAATATTATTAAAAAAATAAATAAAAAAATAATAATAAAAAAAGAACAAAATAAATTTACATGACTAGCTGAGGAATTTTCAATAGAAAATTAATAAAAATACCTGATATGATTTGATACCTGTTTGAAAATGTTTCAATGAAATAAATTTCATAAAATTTCAAAATGAAATAATAATAAATAATAATAAATAAAATAAATAATAATAAAATAATAATAATAATAAAGTAATGTTTTGTTGAATGTAAAAATAATTGGCCTGTTTTTACTAACACAAAAAAGGAAAGGAAATGAAATGATCATACAGAAACAAATTGTTTTTATTTATGAATTGAAGCTTATCTTTTTATTTTACGGGTCAAAAACCCTTAAAAAAAGTAAGGAGAAAAAAATATGTTCAATTCACTAATTTCGTGGTCCTCTTGACCAATTAATATGTTACAATTAATTAAGGTTTTTAGTTGAGATAAAAAAAGTCAATGGCACGAGAGGGATTCGAACCCACGATCTTCGGCTAGATTTGAAAAATGGCAACAAGGAGGGAAAATTCAAAAGGTGGGGTTGAGATGGGAAGTTTGTGTTCGAGGGGATCGAGGTCACGATAGCTCAATCAAGTGGTAGAGCAGCGGCGTGTCTAGCCGAAAATCGTGGGTTCGAATCCCGCTCGTGCCATTGACTTTTTTTATTTGAACTAAAAACCTTAATTAATTGTAATATGTTCAATGTTATGCTTATAATAACTAACTCAACAATAATAAAGAATAAAATACTATACTATACATCAATGAAAAAGACAATAAAATCCTTATAAAAAAATTAATTAAACACTGTCTATATAATTATAATGGCTAGAAATTATACAAAAAATATATATAGAAAAATATTATAATAATGCATTATAACTACATACCCAGTACATTTTTAGTTTTTTTTTTTAAACTATGATTAACGATGATTCCCTAACTCGCAACTCGCCTCTCAACCGATTAGTGAAAATCGGACAACCGGTAAAAATACATACCTTTTCGACGTTTTTTGGGTGTTTTGAAATGTCACGAAATCAAGTTAAACTGTCGAAAACATTGATTCCCTAACTAGCAACTCGCCCCCTCAACCGGAGGGTGAAAATCGAAAAACCCGTAAAAATACATATTTTTTCGACGTTTTTTGGGTCTTATGAAATTTCTTTAATTTTGCAACATTTTTTCATATTTTGACCAATTTTGGACCCGATTGGTACACGAAATCAAATCAAACTATGTAGTCGAAAACGTAGATTAGATTATCTTACTCGCAACTCACCCTCAACCGGTCGGTGAAAATCGAAAAACCGGTAAAAATACATATTTTTTCGACGTTTTTTTGGGTCTTTTCGAATTTGTTTAAATTTGGAACAGATTCTTACATACTTTGACCTATTTTGGACCCGATTGGTACACGAGATTAAGTTAAAATACGTAACTTTTTCGACGTTTTTTGGGTCTTTTGAAACTTCTTTAATTTTGTAACATATTTTTACATTTTTTGGACCTGATTCTCCGGTCCTTTTGTCTTCGACTGTACTCGATGCTACCCGACGAAAATGTGGACAGTGGGAATCGCAGAGCGTAGAGTAGGGTAGTGTTGCATAGCATCGGGCAGTGTGCACGGGGATAATCCAATCTGATGGAAAATTGGACTTTGAATTTGCGTCGGGTAGCGTCGCATGGCGTTGCATCGGGTAAGTGGCTCCCGGCTTTACACATCTGGGTTTGACCGTTGTACTTGTCGCTTAAGTCGAACCCAAATGTGTTCGATTGGGTTAAAATCTGTACTTCGAATGGCCACACCAAGCACTCAAATCCAACCTAATTCAGGTAGTTATAAACAATACGTGCTCTATGGGGCCTCGCATTAGCGACAATCTCCCATAATGCACTATACGTTCTTGTAAGTACCTCTGTGAAGATGGAGGTCTTCTTCGCACAACAATCAATTCGGTGCGTGCGTCCAAGGAAATGCCACTCCAGAACATCAATGACCCACCATGGAATGCCACTGAGGAACCATACAGCATGGGGCATTCGCTCAATTCTATGTCAATATATTTATTATCTTAATGCTGCGATTTCGTAGAGCCTGATGTCGGATGAACCTATCAATCTCTCTCGTCCTTAGCCTTCTAGTGTGAAGCTCTATTTCTCTGAAGCGCCGAAGAACCCATCCTATTGTAGAATGATTTACACTCAATCTCCTGGCACTGCCATACTCGCTCAAATGCTTGACTGGAGCCATTGAAAAAAGATAAGATCAAATAAAATCAACGAAGGGAAAAGGTTAACAGAAAGCGATCTTTAGGCGTGGTAGAAGGAAGGGCATAAAACTTCTTTTTGTGCAAATGGGATTAATCCGATTTTTTCTCTGCTACTAGGGCAAGAACGTAGTCAATATGTTTGGTATCAGGTCCGTCCACTTATTAGATCAGGCTGAACCGATGGACCTACGGTTCACCCATTGTGTCTGTACCCGATAGCTAAACCTGAAGAACGTGTGCCGTGACAATCTGATTGGTTTTGTCATGTCGCGTTTCCCTTTGCGTAGAGGAACGTCAGCTGTTGATGTGACAACTGACAAAATCTTCCAAACATTTTGTTTTGTTTTTTGAAGGTAAATCTACGTGAAAAAGGATGTTTCATACTTGATCAGACGTGGTAGTGGATGATATGGCCTCCGGAGCTCCTTCAGCCGACGTGGATCTATCGCGCCCATCTCCGCCCACCAGTGCCTACGGACAATGGGGAGTTCCGGTGATATATATGTTGGCCGACTTCTTAATGAGGATCGGTGTCCTCCTCGTGTCCTTCCAGATAAGTAATTATAAAATCAGTTCTAATTCAGGATTCGAAGGGCTGTTGATTTTCTTCCAGACTTCTAATTTAGCGCTGTTCGGAGCGATAATCGGCTTGATATTCGCGATTTTGGCCGATTCTAAATTAGGCGTTTTCCCCGTGGGCCTCATATCCGCCGGCAATGTCACCATTGCCTCGTGTTTGGGCATTCTAACGGCCGTTACGGGGGGACACATTAAATCCGCTTATGTATTCCGCGTTTTGGAATTGTTCAATTATTCCGTGGTCGTATTCGAACCGACGAGACTGTTGATCGTGCTCTTCTACTGCGTCGAACGTACCGCCAAGTTCAAAAAACATGTCTGCATCTCGGTCGTGTGGCTGAGAGAACTTGCCATATTGGTGGCGTTCTGTATATTGAAATTGTCTAAACTGAGCCATCATTACTACGTGATATGTAATATAATCTCGATCTTCTGCTCGGTGATGTACGCGATTATCATTTTCAACGTCTCCAGGATTCCTCAGCCCGCAATTGGAAAGATCATGGCCGTGAGAATAGCCAAGTGTTACATGACTTACTTGCCGAGCGTGAACAACGTCAGATCCAAGTTTTTCGAACAGGATTCCAAGTTCACCATGAAGGAAAAATACTGCACCATCCAGTTTTTGAGGGTGCACAGGGCGCTGACGGCTTTCATTCTGTTCTACTTCGCCCAACAACTCCTCTATATAATATGGGATTTCCAGACCAAACTTGTAAGAATAGGAAATTATTATTTCTTGGAAAGCATCCATCTGAAACTCTCCATTATAAATTTGGTGAATTTACCTCTGATCTTCTGCGGATTGTTTCCGATGTTGGCCAGGACCAAAAAACTGGTCTTCTCGAATAATTTTAGATTGCTCGGCTTCGCCTACGTCGCTTTGCTTCTAAGTCTGTTGGTGACGATGTGGGCGCAATTTATATCCAGCTACTTCAAGGAGGAAACGGAAACGAAGCCAGGGCCGGAGCAGAGCATGATAAGGATTTTCAACATGCTGCCTGAAAAAATTTCCATCGACTCTTCGTGGACGGGACCGCACACCATCCAACCTTATTCCCAGTATATTTCCGCCAAATTCGAAGCGAGAGGCATCACCTCGTCCCAGCTGATCATCAAAGGGCCCGGGTCGTTGACACAATTTTCAAAATCCATTTTTTCGAAAGAACTGCTTAGCGCGACGTTCATAGTGGTGACCAACAAAATGAGGAGGGTGACAGGTTACGACGATATCCACGAAGGGGTGCTCGACAGAAGAGGGCCCATGGCCATCATAAGCACTCTGAGCACGTTGGAAAAAGATTTCAGCTTGAAACTGGTCAACCTGGACACTAGTGAGCAAAAAGAATTGGAATTTCCCTCCAAGCTCCACCTCAAAAACACCCAAATCTTTGCACCCGGAGATTACAAATTATTGCACTCGCCCCCTCAGACCATTTCCCTCAAATTGGGCACCGTTTATAACATAATGATGTACGCGAACAGTTCCATGACTTTCCCGACGGATTATCACTACATCATCCATAAACAGTACGAACTCCAGACCCTCCCTTATTGGTCCTTTATCGCCTTGTATTTTCTTTCTTTCGCCAGCATGGTGGAACTGGTGTTGATATGCATATTCATCTTATCGGAATGTCCCCAGAGCGTCCGCGTCCTCGCGTTCGCGTTCTACATTTTGTACAAAGTCCTAGGATCGGGCTGTTTTTACTTGTTGTCATACGTATTCAAACTGAACAATCTGACCACGGCTATATTCGTGACTTTCTGGATTTTCCTCGCCAACGGGTGCTACTATTGGGCCGTTATGATTAAGTTCAAATCGCTCAGATACAATCCCGATGACGGGTAAGAGAGCGTCGGCGTTTTCAATCATCGACAAAGTTCATCAATTTTCGTGAACCCAAAGACGAAGAACAAATTGGTATATTAATAAACATGTTGAAACATTAATATCTTTTAAAATATTGACCGGCATCAAGATCAATACGGTTTCCTCGTTGTACGCTTAGAAAAGTCAACTTCTATTACATACTTAAAAAATTAACTTACGATTTTTATTATTTATTAAATTTTACCTTATTTCATAATTGCTTCTTCATTAGAAGATTTTTGTTTTATTTATCTTAAATGCTCGAAATCCAACAACAAAAGTAATAGACAAATATTGCTGTGGGGCAAACAGTAAGTACTAATTCCATTCAATTCACTAATTTCGTGGTCCGCTTGACCAATTAATACATTACAATTAATTAAGTTTTTAGTTGAGATGAAAAAAATGTCCGAGTGGATCGAGGTCACGATATCTCAGGTGGTAGAGCAGCGGCGTATCTAGCCGAAGGTCGTGGGTTCGAATCCCTCTCGTGCCATTAACTTTTTTTCATCTCAACTAAAAACTTAATTAATTGTAAAGTAAGTACTAAATTAATGTATATTTTTATTCTTTAAACGTAGGGTTTTAATTATTATTTTTCGTTCATTCTTTTACAATTGAGCAATTTACTTTCTTAAGTATTTTTTCTTTAATGTATAGCGGCCAGTAAATGTATAATTTAATAACGTATATGTACCTCCTCTTTGAAATAATACCTCTTCCCCTAGTTATTTTGAATATAACACTGCCAGGACGGCTCCAGTTCTCCCTGAATATTTTGAAAAAGTCAAAGCATTATAAGATTATAAGGGTTGAGTTTACAAAAAATTAACATTAACTAGGTTAGGTGTTTAGTGAATGGGAGTTTTTTGGTGGCCCTGAGAAGGGCCGGTGTTGTTTTTGTAGCGTTGAGACGATAGATCGAGGCCAGATGTGTGCCGTTGGTAGTGGTCTGGGACCGAAAGAACCGTTGGCTGGAGATGGAGTCCGGGGGCCATGAGACGGTTGACTCTGCGGCCATTGAAGGGACACGGGTGAAGCAATTAGCCGAGTGCAGCATTGGTCAGTATAGCCAAGTAGGCTGTGTTGAGAAGGCGAGATCCAGACCAAGGCTGCGAGTACCCTTGCTGTCGTTGACAGTACTTCATTAGTGATCAGTGAGAGCCCGTCGGGTAGACGAGTTCGAGGCTCTAGGCGTGCAGTGAGATATTGATCTGATGTGATCTTATCAGAGAGACGAGTCTGAAGTCAGTGCGGCAGTGCTCCTGCTTATATATGGAAGGGCTCTACTCTGATTGGCTGCAGATTGAAGGACGAGACCATTCCATAACCGGTAGTGGCACCTAGCGGGTATCGTGGTAACTACAGGTGGCCACCACAAGGTGTTTTAAATATTTTGAAAAAAGGATAATCAGTCCTAATAGTAGCTAGTCTAAAGAAGTACTGTCTATCGCAAACCACATATTGTCAACCATGTCGTACTAAATAACTCGCCAGTACCATGGCTAAGAATCTTAAATAACTTGGAATGGTATCTGGATTCCATACTTAATTTTAGTTATCATATTGGGGAAAAAACTGAAAAGCATGGACTATCTCAAGAAGTCTTCACACGGTCAAGAATGAAAGTGAGATTCATAGTAAAGTGTGGCAATTAGTTCGTGGAAATCAAAATGATACAAGCCGATGTACTACAAGGAAGCATTCTTGGTCCCATACTTTATATCATTTATATCGCTAACCTAACCATACACCCTAATTCCACCTTCACCAACGACAAGGAAGAGGTGGCAATTTTGTCCTCGAACTCGAATCCTATCAAGCTACCTCCGACATCCAAGAAGACCTTGAGCTTATCAAATACGTGCAACAGTGTAGGACAAGACTGAATGAAGAAAACTGTACTCTGTACGTTCAAATTGAAAAAACAGTCTTACCCTCCATTGTACATCAACAAAAAAGAGATACCGACAGTCATATGAGTCAAATATTTAAGACAATATACAGACGTGGAATCCAGACACAAGACTTAAGAGGCAACAACTTAACAAAAGACTTGAACAACTCCGAAGAAATCGAGGACTGAAACCTGTCCTGATCATCAGCTCTTAACGAACTTTATATAAGATTTTAGTGGTGCCACTTTGGACATTGCCAAGCCATCCAATCCTTCCAATCAAAACTACTCTGACAAATCATTGTCTTTATTACATCAGCAACCAAACCATCCACAACATTCCTGTAGTCAGCGAACTGATCCGTTCCTTATTCCGATAGTTTCACTCCAACTTCACGATCCATCCAAGTTGCCAAGTTGATCCAACGATCCAAGTTGCCTTAATCGACGATGGCCCCTAGACCTCCTTGCCCCTTAAGACCTCTACTGAGGCTGATTCAATTCGCTTGATATAATTGTAGAAATATGTATAGGCTACAAATGAAATACAATATGACCTACCTTTGTACCAAATTTTACTTTTTCTATATATATGGGATGTGCCTCCTCATAATTTTGATAATCAGACTACTCCCCCCCACTAGATAAAACGGCACTTTTTTGTTGAGAAAATGGCAATTTTCAGATTTTTTTCTTTACTTGCTATATAAAATCTATTTTTGCCGAATTTTACTTTTGTAGCTATTCCGGAAGCACCTTGAAATTTGATGATAAGCAAGTCAGTCAGTTACAAAAATGCAAATTTTGAAATTCTCTCCTTTGGAAAAAGCTTAATATTAAGTGCTCAAATTTTTCCAATGTCCTAAGCGACCTAAGATTAATTTATGTTTCAAATGTCATAAACCCTTCTAAAGAGGAAACAGAGATATGAGGATAAGAACAAGCCAGCTCAATCTTTGAAAAGTTGTTTCTTACTCACAATTTGTTGTTTTTAAAGATCCGGATTTCAAGCTTAAAGCTCATCATCAGGTTGAAGGATGTACATCTTGATGACGGGCTTTAAGCTTGAAATCCGGTTCATTGAAAACAAAAAACTTACGATCCAACTTTTCAAAAAAGATTAAACCACATACCCCACCTTTATCATCCCTATTAATTTGAAGCCAGCTCATTCTTCTTCATGATATTATTAATTACAATTCGAGGATAAAACGTTATTAAAGATCATGATGAGAAAAATGATGAGTTAACCAAAGAAGAAGAAGTGAGCGAGTCATCGAGAAGGGAGATGATTGGAAAGGCCGGCGGCCCGTGTAGCGCGAGCGTCAAGGGCACTGGGCAGTGCTTATCGCATGGAAGGGGCATCACTCATCAGTAGCGGCTAGTACCAACCAGTCACCGCTCGCCCATCGTGAGTCGTCGCCGTCCCGTCATCATCGTTGAAGTGCCCGGATCGCACTTTTCAGCTGATGATGGCACCTCTCAGCAAGGAGGGATTCTGGGGCCGGCCGACATCGACCATCGACTGGTGCGAGGAAAATTATGAGTTTAGCTACTTCATCGCAGAAATGAGTAAGTCCTCTCGACTAGTCACTCTTATCGCTCGATTATTTTTTCCCTCTCTTTTACAGCCAACACCCTCAGCAACTTGATGATGATCGTCCCGCCGATCTGGGGCATGGTCGAGGTCCTGAGACAAGGCTTTGAACGAAAATTCATCTACTGTCACATCCTTCTTCTGGGTATGCCATCATCCGGTTAACAGTTTTTCATTTTAAATGACAGCTTTTTCAGCGTATGCTTAAACCGATTTCTTTTTTATTTGTAATATGGTGTTTGAATTATCTTATGATTCCTGGATGCTTGGAGATCGCAGAAGAGGCGAGGTACCACCTACAGACCCATTTGAAGTCTGCGACTCAACGAGAGATAATATCCGGATACGCTTGAAATCTTAATATTTTTAATTAAAATCAATTGATTCTGGGATAAATTTGGGATTTTAAATGAAGCTCTGAAGGGTTTTGTGAATTTTTTTGTTCCAAAAGTAAATAACGATACCGTCCAACTTTGGATGAGTCATGCCGAGTACAATAATAGCTTTTGTTTACATAAAAATCACAGTTTTATCGGCTTTAATATTAAACAAAAGTGGCATTCTTTAGAAATTGCTTATTTAAAAAAAAGTTGAATCTAGTTTAAAATGCCACTTTCAAATCAGCGTTTTTTTGTTTATAAAGAAAATAGTGGTTTAAGTGGGGAACACACCCAACGCAATGTTATGTGCCGTGCCAACGCCACCCGACTTATTGCATGTTAATGGGGTGTCCACATCCAAGCAAGCACATGCCACGCGAAAGATGATACAGTGTACGTCACAGTAGTCAATCTCAGTGGTATTCACGAAATGGATGCCTCTGAGATGGATTGTGAGGAAGACATGGAAGAAATGGCAGCAGCAACGATCTGCTTACTTTCAATGCGAACAGAAAAACTTGAGTTCTTGAAACTTCACAAAAGATGTGTCTAGAGAATATCGTACAATGATTTCTGTATTAGAAAAGGAAGAATACCATATATACACTCAAAGAAAATAAATTATGATGGTTTGAAAGAAAAATTCACCAAACCACCAGAAAATCATTTAGTGATAGATTAAAATTCTCAGTTAAACCATCATAATGAAATATTTTTTTTATTAAAACTCATGAATTTATGATTTTGTTTAATTTGGCAAATAATGCAGGTTTATGGTTATAAAATAAAAACAAATGATTTTAAACATTTTTTAAAGGGGGCATTGGTGGTCGCAATGGCTTAGGCGCTCATCACTGTAAGGTAAAGATCCTAGGTTCGAATCCAGTGGCCCTGCATTCGAACCTGACTTACTTACAAATGAGATTTTTTTGCAAAAACACTGCCACCCCGAGGGTTCATTTAACCTCATAGTTAAAATACACTTGTTCTGTCAACTTCTGTGATGGAAACTTCTCTATACCCTCTGAATAGAATTTTGAGTTTATTGACAAATTCTGTAAATGCATTTTCTAATGACTTTGGATCCATAAACTTTTTATGTGTAAAATGTCCAGGTGAAAAAATGGTAGTTGGTAGGCAAGAAGTCTGAAGAATGGGAAGGGCGAGGCGGAACCTCATAACCAAGATCCAACCGTTTTTGTGTTGCTGCATGTGAGACATGGGGCCGAGCGTTATCGTGTAACAGTCAGCCTTTTCCGATTGACCGAAGATGGCTTCAATAATGCCAATTTCTGGTAAATTGCTTCAATTTGAGAGCAGTACATTTCGGCATTGATTGTTTCGCCGGGTTTCAAGATGCTGAGCTTCTTTGTTGAGCCACTGCTTAGAACATCTGCCGTTATTGTAGAGAATTCACTTTTCATCACAAATAGCCAATCTACCCAGAAAAGGGACTGTTGTGCATACTTCATAACGATGATTTTTTTGATGGTCATTTAATGTATCAGGAAATCATTTTCAAGTTCAACTTCACTCATCAGGACTTTCAAGCTTTTTCACCATGCCAATTGCCATGGTGGTCAATGAAGGCCGATTTTCTCTGCAAGTTCTCAAACAGTTTTCTGGGATTTTCTCCCATCAAAGCTTGCAGAACATCTAGGGAAGAAATCATTCTACGATCTTCTTTGTCTTTACGACTAAAGCCTCCCTCTCAAATTTTTTTAAACCATTTCTGAACAGTGCTCTCATTTATACTGCTATTGTTCCAGACTTCATTAATGTTTCAGGCGCTTGGGCACCTTTCTGACTGACTTTAAACTTGTAAAACAAAATTATGCGAAAATCATGCGCTGACATCTTAATAAAGACTGAATTATTGCCAAGTAACGAAATGTTACTGAGATTTAAAAAAAAAAAAAAAAATTGGAAGAGGATTAAAAAGTGTTAACATTCGTAGAAAAATTAAACGATTTATTATTTAGGGGAGTATTTGAAAGAAAACATTAAAACCTGCATTATTTTCTGGACAACCCAACAGTTAAACATCAATAAAAAAATATGAGTGTCCAGTTTTTTGTTATACATTTACAAATTATTTACAAACTACCCAATTTTGCAACAAAACTGGATAAAAGGGATCCTGATTGCAACACGTTGCATAGAGTAGAGTGGTGCCATGTCATGGCAGACATATGTGCACACGACTAATAGATTCTTATGGAAAGTACGATATTGTATTGGTGTGGGGTGGCGCTGCATCACATCGCGTTGTGTTGCATCAGGTAAGAGTGTTCCCCGCTTTAGTGTTTTGTTCTTTAAGTTGTCGGACTTGGATCTTGGGCCTTTCACATGACGTTACTCTATGAAATGCAACTTTTTGACGAGCTTCCCATGGTCTGGGGCACGTGCGTCCTTGTTTACTGCCTGTAAGTCTCAATATAGATGCATCCATTGTTCAACGTTAAATTAAGAAGTGCAAAAATTTCAGATCCGAAGTACGTAAGCCCCCGAAAAAGGGTCAGATTTCAAATCTTTCGTTGTTTCTGTTTCTTGCTTCATTCTCACTCTTCTTCACCATCTTGTATCTCTACTGGCCCCAGCCCGCCTTCCAGCACACATCTTATGGTATTCTCGTGGTCGCCTCGTTCATACTCGAGATGCAGTTAATAAAACTGAAGAACTGTGCGATCTGCAAAAAGTTGTTCATATTGTCGACTTCTATCTACTTGTTCGGATTCTTCCTATGGAACCTAGATAACATTTTCTGCTCAAGTTTGCAGTGAGTTCTGTTACTATCTTAGCTTTTGAATTGCTGAAGGGATTGCGAAAGCCAGTCGTAAAGCTTTTTGAATTGATTCCCTCTTTTATTGCTTTACCGCAGGGCTGTGAGAAACAACCTACCGAATGCTCTGAATCCGCTCACTCAACTTCACGGATGGTGGCACTGCCTGGCAGGTTATGGGACTTACTTGCAAGTCCTTTTCACGTAAGACGCTCCTTTATCAATTCAATATTCCATTTTAATTACCAGTTAGTTGTATGTACAAATAAAATATTACTATTAAACTTTGAGATTAATTTTTTTTTAGAATACACGCTTCTTATGACTTTCGATATGAGAAGCTCAAGTCCATAACACAACTCCGTCCAGCTCACTGGGGTTTTAGTCTACGCTGGTCGAATAAACTGGCAAAATGAGTTTGTAAAATGTAAAATTTTGAGTCAAGTAAAACATAAAATTACGTTTGCACACGAACTTAACAGTAGAGCAACTGCTATGACAATTTGTAAAATTTTTTGTTTAATCGGTTCTTAATATCTAATCTTGCATGAAACTTGGATTACAAACTAATTTTGATATTCAAAAGTATTTACATTTTTGCACAAGGGGTGCCAAAATTAGATTCATAAAAAATTCGCTTACCAGTCAGTATTTAACCTTGTTCTATCTTATTAGTTTAGCTAGAAAACAGTGCTCTTTTTAGTGCCTTATTTTAAAATTTGTCTATTCACTTCATCGTTTTATCACTTGGCTATGTAAGGCTGTGTTTTTTGTTATGGCACATCAATAACTTAATAGTAATAATAATAACGTTTAAATCTTAAGAAGTTTTAGCGATTCTGATCATCTCTTGTCTGCTTATTTCCACAAAGTTCATCCAATTTTAGTTCTCTTTTGTATTTCATGTAAACTTATTTTACATCGGGGTGTGTGATGTAATTAGTGTCCGAGGGATTAGCGATTGTGATTTTGTTTTCCATTTTTATAGATTTATTTGTTTTATCCCACTGATGACGGGTGATGGAAAGACGCAGATCGGAGATGCTCAGTGAAAGCTGATAATGGTGATAATGCTTCATGAGCTTGCAATCAGCACTCTGAAGTTCAAATTTTTGAATTAATTCTAGCAGTCATGTTATCATTGATGTTTTGTTATTTTAGATTGTAACAGCATAGGTATTTTTGAAACAATATACACAGTTTAAATATTGTAGATTTTATGGATAAGGAGTGCTAAGTAATTTTCCAAAACTATTTTTAAAATGTACATTACATTTATTTAATAAAATATATACTTTTTATAATAAATGCTGTATTTTTTAAATTCATTATTACTTTATGGTCATTTCAATGTTAATTAATAGTACTATTTTATGGTGGTTAGTGACCGTTAATCGATAATTATTCAGAAATCGTGAGATGTGGTCTGGTGTGATGTAGGTTTCAGAAAAACATTTTCTTTATCGTGCCAACGTTTTGATCTTTATTGAGATCATCTTCAGGGCCTGGGATTTACAAATATAGTTTACATTTAACAAATACATGTAGGATGTGGAAAAAGTGAATTTATACAATGCAAAAAATATTTTTTTAAATATTCATTCTAAGAAGATGATCTCAATAAAGATCGAAACGTTGGCACGATAAAGAAAATGTTTTTCTGAAACCTACATCACACCAGACCGCATCTCACGATTTCTGAATAATCAATACTATTTTTTTTTTACTATGGTAAAAAATAATAGTTTATAGCAGGGAATGGTAAACTACAACCCAACCCTCCTGTTTGCAATCTGGTTTGCTGGTTAATATTAATGTATTTACAAGGAAAAATCGCAAGACAATCTAATGAGGATGGCATTTTGTGACACAATAACTGATAGATATCAGTTTGGGACTACATACTCACCATACCTTCCAAAGTATTAATAAATTTTGATTTTAAAGTTTCATCGTTTTTCCCTCACCTTTATTACTGCATTTTTCCCCTTAAGAACAGTTATGATAAAAAAAGAGAAACCAAAAGAAAATAAAGCATTATGTTATATATATTTTTTTGAAGGTGACACCTCTGCAATTTATTTTTATCCCATATCACATATAGATTAATGATGTGCCAAAACCTTTGCTACATTCATGGCGGTAATTATTTAAAAAAAAAAAAAAAAAAATAAAAAATAAATAAATAAAAATTACCGGGCTACTTGAATTAGATCATCATATAGTCTTCAGTGCTGAAACTGTACAGATATGGGCGAGAGTGTGACTATCATCAAAGCATAACAAGAAAATAAAACCTTTCATTAGTTTTAAAAAAAAATATATACATCTAGGCTTTTCTAAAAGCACAGATGCTTCTGGGACAAAGTCCTACCCTCAGATGGGAGTAAATATAATATTTTTGGTTAAGATGGGACAACTAGGGTCAAAGTAAGATCACTTGATGTCCAATAAAGTCAATTGTTTTAGTCCAACAAAAGAAGACACACCATATTTAAAAAAGTTATATTTAGTTACACAATTAGCATTAGAAAATATAAACTTTTGCTGCTTTTTCATATTTTGGTTGATTGTCTTTTCTTTGATGATAGATTCAGACAAATAAATGGCAAACTGCTTCAATCAATTTATTTTTTGATGCCGATGCATTTCGGTACTAATCTGGTTGCTCTCTGTACACTGTTCTCAGGACCACATATTTTCCATTGTAATGGAAATTCTCAGTTATTAAAATGATTCATAAGCCAAATAAACCTGATCTTCCTGGTCCCTATGCTCGTTAATCTCCTGTCCTATCTAATCTTTGCTAAAATTTTAGAAAAACTGAAGATTATTTCCCGTGATTGAAAAATTCTAATATTATTCCCGATTCAATTCACTATTTTTTGTGGTCCGCTTGACCAATTAATAACATTCGATTAATTACGGATTTAAGTTGAGATAAAAAAGTCAGTGTCATGAGTGGGATTCGAACCCATGACCTTTGGTTTGATACGCCGCTACTCTACCACTTGAGCTGTCATAACTTCGATCCCCTCGGGCACTAACTTCTCATCTCAACCCCACCTTTTGAACTTTCCCTCCTATTTGCCATTTTTTAAATGTCGTGTAATCAGATTGGATTCTCCACGACAAATGAAATGGCCACGAAGAGCTTTAGTGAAGTGTACTTCATTTCAATTTATTAAATTCACTATTTTTCGTGGTCCGCTTGACCAATTAATAACATTCAATTAATTAAGGTTTTAAGTTGAGATAAAAAAGTCAGTCAGGAGTGGGATTCGAACCCACGACCATCGGCTTGATACGCCGCTACTCTACCACTTGAACTATCGTGACTTCGATCCCCTCGGGCACTAACTTCTCATCTCAACCCCACCTTTTGAATTTTCCCTCCTATTTTTTTATCTCAACTTAAAACCTTAATTAATTGAATATTATTGCCGATCATCAGCTTGGAGCTCATTTCACTTGACAACTCACCGGCTGCATTGTGTTGCTGATGATATTGCCTCTTCCCTTGAACAAAACAGCATTACTTGTGTATCTGCATGATTTATAACATAGCCTTTGATTGAATCTGGCACATGGGCTTGTCTTGGAAACTGAACAACATCTTCCCTCATACATTATCTCATTCTGAGATCATATCTGACAGACCGATTTTGCTGAAATGAATTTTCTCCTTACATGCGCATTATGGCAGGTGTTACTCAGGGAAGCATACTTGGTCCATTTCTCTTTCAATGTACACTGCAGATATTCCTACACATGTTAATATTTCAACACATTCACAATTTTCGGACCCCTCCATAAACATTTAACACCTGACTTAATTAACTTAAGTAACTAACTTAAATTTACATTGTGGTTCACAAAGTGCAGAATAAAAATAAACATAACAAAAAGATACAAATGTCACATCCGTTAGAAAAATGAATAAAATAATTCTTATTCAAACACAATCTTATTACAAAATAATTACATAATAATTTTTTATTTTATTTTTTTAATGGTGGGCTACTGACAATGAAGTCATATCAGTTCCCAATCCACTGTGAGGGCTGATGGGGCACTTAATATTCTGCCATCAGCCCTCTTTCTAACTCATTCATCTCAACAAACAATTGTATACATAAAAAAACAAATTAATATACAAACACACTGTACAGCTACACAGTAATAATATATATATACTATATTTACAGATGAGGAAACACCCCCTTTATTTAATCAGAACAACCACCAACAACCCACTGTTGTGCCCAAGGACTATCTTCATGTCGGGCGCCAAGCCTACTCGCTCCCTGTAAGGGGCCAAGGCAAGGCACTCCTCGACCAAGTTAACACACTGAGCATCTTTCTCTGCAAGCGGGGATGCCTCTGCGGAGTTTGCCCCAAAAGCAGGTGTCAATTGAGTATGGCCTACCCTCAAACGGGTGAGCACGATCCCTTCCCTGCTTTTCAGATCCTCGGCGGGGCGTCTCTCAATCATGCTCTTGACAAGCAAGAGCTTCTCTGATGATCCGGCCCATCGACGTGCCAATATTATTTAATGGCGATCTTTATTGCTCATACACCACAGAGACGGATCATGGTGGTTCTATCTGGAGGGCAAAACATCCCAGCTTTTGCCGCTTTGTCTTCATGCTTGTTGGTCTTCAGCCCACTGATTTATTGATCTTTGAGACAATTAAACAATGTTATTTTCTACATTGGTTTTTTTAAATGTATTTTTTAAATGGCCTTATGATCGATGCATATTAGCCAAGGAGACGATTATTATATTCATATTGTAATTTGTATTATATGTATTCATATTGTGGGGGGGTATCGTGAAAAAAAGGCCAGAGGCGACGGTGGGAATCGAACCCACGACCGCGAGGTCAGTGAGTTGAGAGTCTCATGCTAACCACTCGGCTACTGCAGCCTCCAATATTAATTATTAAAAAACAAAAATTAAAAAACCATACGAAAAGGATAAGAAAAAGGGGGACTCACATTACAGGGTCTGGAACTATTCTTTTTAAAACAACTACTTTAATTATATTTAAAATAGTAGTGAAGGTGGTTTCAGTGTGACCGTCTCAAAGTCTACTCCTGTTCTATTGAGTCCTTGATTGGCCTTTGGCCCTCAGGGCACTTTATCAGCCTGTTGCATTATTCTTATGGTTATATATTTTATTTTATTTTTTTAAAATTTGTAATAGCCCATTAAACGGGAACGTTACAAATAAATTTTACCTTGTGTAAAAGTATCTGTCCTCCAGTGAGTATAAATTGAACCCAATTGACTACCACTGACCTTGTGCATTGGACTTTTCATGGATAAACGACTGACATGGAATACACAGGACTAAAAAGCAAGAAACAAACTGGCGTAAATTATTAAAAAGACTATATGACTCGCAATTGAAATTATCCGTTGAAAACAAAATTTTAATTTACAAAATGAGGATAAGACATCTCTGGATGTACAGCTGTGAAGTGTAGGACTCAACCGAGAATTTCAATTCCCAACGTCTCGAATCAATTCAGTCAAAAAGTCTCTGTCAAATTATAAATGTTCATGACCTCATAAAACCCAATAGAAAAAATTTCATCCATAACTGTATTCACAATAATCTACTAGCATGACAGTTATCACTTTCAACCCTACCAGAAATTCCTCCAAGCAAAAGTGGCCCCGAGACTTCAGTGAGTGACGAATGACAAAGTGTCAGTTTGAAGGGGTGTTGTCACTCAATGGGCAACTTCTACAAGTGACTCTAAGAACAAATACAGATTACATAGAAATTATTTACTCTATACAACTTTTGCACTTGTAAATAACAAATAAAGGAAAAAAGTGTTTTAAAGATAATCATACGCATAATCATAACAAGCATAACTGGTATAATATGCCACTTGGTTTTATAAATTGGTAATAAATTCTAAAGTCTAAAACCACAATAGTTGGACCATTTGGATTCAAATAATTTATTGGACAAAAATCGGTATGATTAATTTTTTATAATCATTACTACTGATTCTTGAATCCTAGCAAAACCATCAGTGCAGAAATGTATTGCTCTCCAATTGATGCCATCTTTGATCAATCGGAAAAGTCCGATGTTACATGACAATGCTTAGCCCCATGTCTGACATGTAACAACACAAAAACTGTTGGATCTTGGTCATAAGGTTCAGCAGACCTCTCACATATATATATTACACAGGGCGGGCGACCAGGACCCGAGGGGTTAAAAGCCTGGGTAGGCCCGTACCCCGAGACCTCTCACATAGCGACTACGATTTTTTTTCAGACAACTGGACAACGTTTTACAGCATAAAAAAATCTATTGATCAATAAATAGTTGATAATAAAGACTCAAAATTTTATACAGAGGACAGAGAAATTGCCATCACAGGAGAAGTGTACTGGAGTGATGGAGGGTATGTTATTTTATTTAATCAATAAAAACTGTTTAAATTCATTTATTTAATTTTTATTTTATAACCTTAAACTTGCATTATTTTCCAACCAATGTATATGCAGATGCAAATAAAAGCTTTAATTACCTGGAGAAACGTTTTCAGGTAAACAAGGAAAGGTATTTTTAAAAATAAAAATATTTGTGTTAAAAATATTTAATAAAATTTAAGTTGGAATCTACAGATATTCTTTCACCTCCACACATGCACACTAAAGTGTTTTTTAATTATCCATATTAATACAATGTAATTTGTAAATTTTGTTTTGTCAGTGTTCAAATTTTTAAGCACTTATTTTCACCAATTTGAAGTAGATAAGAGACTTTGTTTTTAAAAATCAATTGCATTTATGTATTTGAAAATTTTGCAATTTACAACAATGATAATTCATCAAACATGAAATAGGTTTATAACTCAACAAAAACAAATTACACAAAAATCCTGCGCATCAATTTTTTAAACAAGTTTTTTTTGTTATTTTGATTCAATAGACTATATAAAAGTATATTCAATAAGTAATTAATTTATATAAGTTGTACACTTAATTTACAATATTTATAAACTCTTCTTATAAATATCCTTAATTAGCTATTATTAGCCGGGAAAAGTAAGATTTTGGAACTAACAAAACATCCGTTTTGTATAAATTAGAAAAACATTCCCCTTTTCCCAGCTAAATGAAATCAAATTACTATTTTTTAAATAATGCCTCAAACCATCACCTCAATTAATGAATACTAATATTTTTTGAGAAAAAAACAAAACAAAACAAATTATTCTCCTAGGTTCCATTTTCGCTATTAAAACAAAATTTGAATTGAAAATTATAGCAATAAAAAATAATAATACTCATGTTCAGGCAATATTTACACATTCCTATCCTATGAAAATTACATAATTCTAAAATAGTTTTCAGTATAACGTATTCATTGGTTCTTAGAAATAAATATCTATTGCCATCAAAATTGTAACCATTAGAAAAAATAAAAAAATCTAAAAAAAAAAAGTGTGCTGTGCTGTACAATAAAAAAATAAAAAAATAGCTTTTATACACTAATAAGCTCTTAAGTCAGAGAATAGAATTTTTCTTATATTAAATGAGCATATTGAATTAATAAAGTACAAGATGATAAAATAAAGGGACGGGCGGTTGAAGAGGTACAACAAAACATGCCAGTTAAGACAAGTCAGAGGTGGCGCATGCGAACAATTTGCAACTTTTTTTTTTTTTAAATGAGTGCTCAGTGTTAAAAGGAGGTTAAGAAAGGTTAGGCAAATAAATGAAATTTGTTGTTTGAGTTAGTTAGAGAGGGTTTGAAGGTGTTAGTTTGTGTAGATTGTAATTTAAGGGGAAAATGAAACAACTTAGAACATGGAAAACAACCCTTAAAATAGTAGTTTGATTTTTGATCTCTTATTCTTTAAACCTAACCAAACTTAACCTAAGCATATTTGCACATTGCCCAGCCATTTAATATTATTAGGTAATGCTAAACCGTCTGACCAATTAAAACAAATATTTACGTTGACAAGAAAACTGAATTTATGTTATATTGTGAATTTCATTAAAAAATTTATTGACAATGTATGTATATGTGTTTTACTTAACAAAAAGTATATATTAAAAAACTGAATGTTGAAAATTATTCTTTTTAGATTTATCATTTATAAAAATTCAACTGTAATTGGTATTTTAAGATCATTATTCATGAAGTTAAGTAATTTTCTTTTTCATTGAACAAACTGATTAACAAATATAATATAATATATATAAAGTCCAGCGTTACTTATTTAAAGCTGTTTACTTGTGACAAGTTGTAGTTTGTGCCCGTCCTATATATTAAATGATTACCGGGACTAGCTCACAAAATCCAAAAGGTTTACAAAACAGAAATTCAAAAATTAACTAAATAAATTAATCTTAAGCTACAATTATTTTTTTTTCTACACATTGAGCAACGCAGGAGGTGCGTGACCTTACATAAAAACAATAGAAGGTACAAAGAAAGATATTAAAATATGAAAAGTGTCAACTAGCACATATAAATATTTAAATACATTATATTAATATTTTGAAGAAAAAAAAGTCCTGTTGCCAAAGTTGCTTTCAACTTCAGAAATTTTTGTGTCCACTTTTGACTGTAAAAAAAAGCACTAAAATGTCACTGTTTAAATTATAAATTAACTCTTTCTCAGCAAGAAATTAATATTGTTATTTTTCAGTTTATAATTCGTAAATATCCTCTTTGGCACAATATAATAACTTGTCTGAGCTTCGTCTATATCAGTGGTTCGATGCAGGTGGTGCTCGTGGGCGAAGGAGCTTCAGGGCGACCCAGGAGGCGATGGACGTCGGAGGGGGCGGTTCTGAAAGCTGCCTTCTCATCCTCACCTGTCTATTGGACAGCTCGTGAGTCTCGCGCTGGACCTGATATCGGTAGAGCAGAGCACCCGCTACAAGGGCCGATATCACTGCAGAAAGGGCGACAAAGACAAAAAGTGCGGAGAAGCCAGGGACCGGGAGGCAAATTCCATAAACGACCTCCTCCCTTATCCTCCCCTGGAACACCGTCACCGCCTCCCCTTTGGAATCAGGTGTGAAAGCAAGATCTGCTTCCGATATGACTTCATACAAGCCGCTCACACCCACATCGGCAGACCGCACTTTCCTGTCTGATACCACCACGCTTCTTTTCCTCCTCTGGCTCAGGGTAGAAACCAGTGGAAGGGAATCATCATTTAGATTCCTCGGCCCGTGTGGGAAACGCTCTTCTGAATTGTCTCTCACTCCGGATGCTCTCAATGGTGCTTCCTGTAACATTTTTTTTTTCATCTTTGAACATTTGTTTCACAGAGGGTTCAAACTATGAATGAAAAATATACCTTGATTAAACATATACACTATTAATTATATATAATAATATAATATTTATAATTAATTAAATTCACTAATTTTGTGGTCTGCTTGACCAATTAATATACTACAATTAATTAAGGTTTTTAGTTGAGATAAAAAAGTCAATGGCACGAGTGGGATTCGAACCCACGACCTTCGGCTAGATACGCCGCTGCTCTACCACCTGAACTATCGTGACCTCGATCCACTCGGACACCAACTTCCTATCTCAACCCCACCTTTTGAATTTTCCCTCCTTTTTGCCATTTTTCATTATTATTTATAGTTAAATAATATAATATTTATATAATTATTACAATGACTTGCACAGGCAGTGAAACACTGTTTCTAATTCAAAATCAAAATGATGTACACTAGAAAATTGTTAGTTAAAATAATATTTAAAGAAAATTTTAAGTAAAAAGTATGAATGTGGTTGAACCTAAAAAAAACAAACAAAAAAAAAAAAAATTGGGCAGATGTGTGAATTGTTTTACCCAAATTGAATCCTGCATATTACTGAACACCAAGGAGGCATTATATATTATAAGTGAATGCATAGTTTTTGGGGGAAGGGAAACGTAAAAAAGGGCCAGGGGTAACTGGGAACCCATGGTCCACAAGCTGAGAGTCTATCACGCTAACCACTCGATTCCGGAGGATAGGCTGATATGACCTCTGCTGTTGGATACCTCAATAAAACAAATAAAGTAAGGTTGTAATGTGTACCTGTAATCTTCTAAAATAAATAATCTAGTATAAAAATGAAATGACACCTTACCAAAATTCTCAAGTAGCTACTAATTAATTTGGGGTGAACAAATGTAAAATTAATTACATGCTAGTACTAAACTGATGGTCATCGACCACCTTCTTTATTGAAGATGGTGGGAAGATGAAATGCTTATGAGTGAAGTGTATCCCAAAGGATAGTGATAACTGATCACTGATTAGTTCAGCAGTTATTTACTCACTCACACGCTAACAAACACCTCCAAATTTTGTGCTTGTACACTTTTAATTGCCTATTCAATATGGAATCAAATGAAATGATGTTTTTAAACATCCAAGCAAATCAGGTTGGCATTGTGTGTACGAACTGTTTTCAAATAGAGAGGCAAATCATTTAAATTTAAAAATAATCATATGTAAGATGGTTAGTTTAATAAAGGGAATATTTGAGGGGTGTTTACCTGGAAAGGAGGCGGGATATCATCGATTTGTTCCTTGACGGGAGGAGGAGGTTGATGTGATGATGATGTGGAAGAGGGCGAAGGCGGTGACTGCGGCCGATGATGGGCTGCTGCAACAGGTGCTGCGCTGCCCATCGAAGTGCCCACGACTCTTTCCGAGTTGAAGATCTCTTTCCCTAGGTCGACCATTTCGTCGTAGATGAGTTCGTCGTCTTTCTCGTACGGCTGAGAGACAGGGGTCGGCTCGGTCGGGGCGGACTTGGGGGTTGGTGAGCCGCCGTCTTTCCTCTCAAGGGGTCCGTAATGCCCCGCTTGTTCGTGTCCGCCACCTTCGAGCTGACAGTGTTCCAGGCATCCGTGCCTGCAGATTTCCACCTTGCACTTGATATGGACGCTCAGAGCATCTGGAAATTTGAAGGCGTGGAAAAAGGCGTAAGTGATGACTGAGGCCCTCTCGTCTGCTATTCTCGCCTTAAGGAACCTGCTGATCATCTTCGGCCTCAGGACACAACCATACTCGTCGCTCAGCTGGATCACGTGCCCCGCGCCATCCGATGCAGCACACGATTTGACCCTCATGTCGAACTCTCCTGTCATCACCGCTTCCTTAATTAATCTTGTTCACATTGAGTTTGAGAAAAGTGAAAATAATTTTACCTCTGTTGTCATTTATCGCCACGACGAGAGTCAACGTCGAGCCAAGAGGTACGATTCCACTCACCGGTGGAGCCCACGGCCCTTTTCCATGCTGAATTTCCATCCAGCAGTCGACATTATCACCTGGATAAAAAATGATTATAATATGGAAATATTTATGGATCATGTGTTTATGATACTCACCCCTAAAGTCCAATTGAATTACATCTAGGTCTGCTATGACCATAGGCGGCTTTGATGCAGTTTTCTCGTAATCGTTGTACCATTCACATCTAAGCCGTTTAGCTTCATCCCACACCTCAAGCAAGTCTTTATCATATTGAACAACCACCTACAAGCCACAGAAAAAACACCACAGGCATTAGCGCAATAATCATTACCTACAAATACCAAATAAAATTTTCTCTGATTTAAAATTAATATTAGATGGTTGTTGAGCTAAGAAAATAAAATTGATCGATAGTTATATTTTATCCCTGTGCAAATGTGAATATATAAGGGATGAAAAGTGATGAATTCTGGTCAGAATGGAATAAAATTATCTCAATATAAAAAATGTTGTGTGTAAATATCTCTTTACAATTATTGAACAATATACGTTTGAAAAAGCTAGAAATGATGAATGATGGAATGAGTGCGGTGTTCAATCCTTTTTTTTTTTTTTTTTAAAAAAGATAGTTGCTACTCACAGTAAGTTGTTTTCCAACGATCCGGATTTCGAGCCCTTAGCTCATCATCAGTTGAAGGATTTCTACAACCTGATGATGAACTAAGGGCTCGAAATTCGGATCATTGGAAAACAACTTACAGTGAGTAGGAACTATCTTTAAAAAAAAAGGTTTGAAAAAGCTTTGCACTGCACATATAATTTTAATTATAAAACTTTATCTTCAAATCAATGTTTATAATAATATTTAAATTCGCTACGAACCGTGTTCTCATAAAATTGGCCGTTGAGGTCCGGCTTGGTGCCACATCTGGCATACGCAATTCTAAAGGAGAAAAAAGTCTTCCCGGTGGACGGCGGGACGTAGACGCATCTCGGATCCGCGTACTGCCCTTTGGATGAAACGATGCCCTCGAAGGGCTGGGTGAAGCTCAGATGGACGTCCATGTGGTCCTTGCCACACATGACCTCCAGGGATTGGATGGCTGGCATGCCCTCCGGCCTCTCTAAAGGCCATATTTCGCCTCCCAAAACGTTTCGCTGAAACAAACATTTTTCAATGTATAAATATGACTGAGGAAAAAAAGAATAAATTATTTTTTTATTTATTTGTATCCTGTACATGAATAATACACATTACAAATTATTCTTATCGTTAAAAAATTCTGGGCAAAAACTACGCTACGGCCAGTATGGAATGGTATGGTAATGAGGATACTGGGAAGTGGGGTTTGTGCTTCCCAGGCACTGCAGCCTTCTGGCTTATTGTACCTTCCTAGTTCCTTAGTTCAGTAGACCTAGTTCGCTAGACTCAATCCTTCTTCTTAGAAGTATCAGGCCATTGGTTGTCGCTGCTACAATTTCATTCCCTAGATTTTGCTCGTAAGTTAGGCTAAATCTCCATTGAGCTGTTACTTCGCATTCGAAGATGATGTGGGTGACTGTTTCCTCCTCCTCATTGCATAATCTGCAGATCATCGTTGTATATGCCCATGTTGTGTAGATGTTTTCTCAGAAGCCAGTGACCGGTTAGTAGTTCTACCACTCATCTGAGTCTAGTCCTCTCCAATTGCAGCAGTGAGTTTGCCAGTCTTGGTGAAGGTTGTTTCATCGTAAGTTTACTGTGTCTAGCGCCGCTAAAGTTTATCCACTTCTCCTTTTGTTTTGTTTGGATCCATTCTGCGATGGAGGATTCTATATTTGTTCTTGTTATCTCAAGTATAGGTTCGGGGCCTATTTATGATCTCCTCCTCTGGCCAGTGTGTCTACTTTCTCGTTACCCGAAATTCCTCTGTGCCCTGGCACCCAAGATATCATCAGGCTGTTGTGTTTCCCCAGGGTTTGGAGATTTTAGATGCATTCACTGACTAATTTTTATGTGATTTTTTTACATGTTAATGCTTTAACGACTGCTTGGCCATCGGATCTTTTTTTGCCAGTGTAACCTTTTTTAATATTTTCTAGGGCACAAGATGTTGATGGCATGTGTTTATGCGGCCGGAGGACATGTTTGTGAGAAGCTGGCCAATGCTGGCACTCAGTTCGTTATTGTGTTGAGGCGACGTGTTCTCGGGATGGGAAGTATTGGGTTGTCCGGAAAATAATGCAGGATTTTAAGTTTTCATTAAAAAAAATCTATATAAAATATTCTGTTTACGTTTACAGGATTACTTATGAATGTCAACACTTATTAATCCTCTTCCAAATGATATTGTTTGTTTACCTCTGTAGCATTCCGCTACTTGGAAATAATTCAGTCATCCTTATAATGTCAAAGCGAGAATTTCGTACGATTTTCTTTTACGAGTTTAAACTCGGCCGAAGCGGAGCCCAAACGGCTAGAAACATTAACCAAGTCTGGGGCGAGGGTTGTGTTAATGAGTGCACTGTGCAAAGGTGGTTTAAAAAATTTCGGGAGGGAGATTTCAGCCTTGAAGATGAAGAAGGTCGTGGAAGGCCTTCCTCTCTTAATGATGATGTTCTGCGATCAGTGGTGGGTGCAGAGCAACTCAAAGTCAGTAAAACGACCGTCGCTGACCACCTCAAGGCGATTGGAAAAGTGAAAAAACTCGAAAATTGGGTTCCACACTCATTAAACGATCGCCAAAAAAATCAGCGCTTTGATGTTTGTGCATCACTTCTTTGTCGAAACAAAAATGACCCATTTCTGGCCAGAATTGTTACATGTGACGAAAAGTGGATTCTCTACGATAACACTAGACGTTCTGGACAGTGGCTCGACAAAGGAGAAGCTCCAATACATTTTCCAAAGCCCCCAACTCATCAAAAAAAGGTAATGGTTACGGTATGGTGGGCTTCATTTGGTTTAATACACTACAGCTTCTTAAATCCTGGCGAAACCATCAATGCTGAATCATACTGTAACCAAATTAATACCATGCATCAGAAATTGGCAGTAATGAAGCCCTCTTTGGTCAATCGGAAAGGGCCCATTTTGTTGCATGACAACGCTCGACCACATGTGTCACGTGTAACGTCACAAAAATTATTGGAGCTTGGCTATGAAACTTTGCCTCACCCACCCTACTCTCCGGACCTCTCGCCTACTGACTACCATTTTTTTAGACACCTGGACCACTACTTAGAACACATAATATTCAAAAATCAAACGGAACTGGAAAATGCATTTATTGACTTTATCAATTCTAAAAATTCTGAATTCTACTCAGACGGAATTAATAAGTTACCAACACGTTGGGAGAAATGTATTGAGAGTATGGGAAATTATTTTGATTAAAGAACATTGCTTTAAAGTAACTAGTTTCTTTTTTTTTGTTTAATACCAAAATCCTGCATTATTTTCCGGACAACCCAATAGTATAAATGGCTTGAGTAGTAGGTTGTGGATGGGCTGAAAGATTGTAGTGAAACTTGAGGAACCTGGAATGGATCAATTCTTTGACGAAGGAAATGTTAAGGTCATTGTGAACAGTGAGGTTGGAGGAATAGTATCCTTCTGAAGACTTTCGAAAGGATGTTAGATGGCTTGGCCGTACGCCACAGTTCCGCTCCTATGACCAAATAGGTCGAAGTAATGTTTTGTTCAGAGTTAGTTTATTTTTACAGTCATGTCTGATTTCGGTCCTAAAAGTCTTCATAGTTGGATAAATCGTCTATAATTCTGTTTTTTGTTTGCATGTGACTCTCCACAGTGTAAGGGGTTTTTGGAAGAAAACCAAGGTTTTCCGGCATCCGGTTAATGTCATATTTTGGCCTACAATGAGGAGAATAGATTGATTAAGAGTACAATTACTAGTTATCGTGAATACAAACGTAAAAGTTTTTTGATGTTAATCTAGGTTTATACTCACGATAATTAATAAAAGACTTGTGTGAGGATTCCACGTCACTGTCTGAGTAATTTTCTTGGGTAGATGTCGATAGTTCTTTGTTGTTAACGTTATATAAGCTAGGTTAGTATTGGAGTTAGGATTGCAGTATCGTCTGCATAGATTGTAAGAATGGTGTTGGGATGTATCACCAGGTGTAAATTGTAATAGGATGGGCCGAAAATACTCCCTTTTGGGACGGCCCAAAAACAAACTTAAAATGTTGAAAATCTGCGAAAAGGGTTGACAATCTATGGTTTATAGGAACTATTTTTGTTTGGATTTGAGGTGTAGAAACTCCAGAAGAACTTTGTCGAACACCTGTATATATTTTTTGCGTTATGCCATTATTACCTACAGGTCATTGAGTTACCCCCTTACCCAAGGGAGACGGGTATGATGGAGGGAAAAAGAAAGAAACCCTCCCACAAGTCTATTTTTGAACTTCTTACATGTGTAAATTTAATAGCCAATGTTAATAACCACAATAGTAATATAATCTATTTAATTTGCCTCAAATAAAATAACAATTAAATTTAATTTGTGAAACAGTGGAACTAGTTTCAGAATTTTTAAGTAAATATTTCAATTAAATATAATTGAGCGTCCCGTGTAAAAGGTGAAAAAGACGACTTTTAGTCTTAGAATTATTAAAGAGAAGAAGAAGAAAAAAAAACTCGCTGCCAATTATTCTACCGGCATGGTGCTTTCTCATACTCCGGTAATTCGTTATACCTCAGCGATTACTCTCTTAAGCGAAGCTAGTTTTTTCGAGTATAAGCTCATTAAACAAGAAGTCCAGCAGGGAAGGTCGACCATTTGAAATGAATAATAAATTAAATATCCGAATAATAATAAACTAATAATAATAAACGTGTTTTTTTGAAAGCCACGTGTTCGATATAAAAAACCATATTACGATCCTAAAACAACACCTAAATAAGAACTAACTCAATAGCACTTAAAATACATAAAAGCGCTATGCCAGTCACTCAGAAGTTGTTAGCCACAATATTTTATTTGTACCCTATTCACATTAGAACATATTACAAATCATCATCAGAAAACGTTTTTTCACATGGTCATAGAACTAACACTAAGTCTAGGACTCATACCATGAGAAACCGGCCAACGCTGGCAACCAGTGCGAGAGATTAAGGTGCAAGGACTCGAGACCATTGGTCGATTAAGGCGACGTGATGGGTTTTCAGGTTGGGAATTGTATAGAGGGCTCGAGCCGTGGGGTTAAGGTGGTCAAGGTATGAAACTTGAAATCGGTAACGGATCAGTTCGTTGACAAAAGGCATGCTTATGTCGTTGTGGATAGAGAAGTTGGTTGCGTAAAGAGCTTTGACTATTTTGATTGTAAGGATTGGATGCGCTGGATGTTCGATGGCTTGGAGGAAACTCACAGTTCCATACTGTATGCCCAAAGTGGTCGCAGTAAAGTCTTGTATAGATAGCCAAAACGGATTTCGGTCTTAGACTTCTTCCTAGATGTCCAGTCTTCTGTTGTTGCTTAAAGCAGGGAACACACTAACTCGATGCAACGCTACGCTACGCCTTGTCTCGGTTTGGTAGGGTGTCCAGTGTGCACATCTATGCGACGTCAAGCGAACACCACGTACAGTCACACAGCGTGTATCACAAATCAGTATCGCAATCGCAACGCCTTTTTTGTCCGTAATACACTATTTTGAGCAAAATCTTGTAATAAATTGTTAATTAAATTTAATTGTTTTAAATAAAGTTATTCCGGAGTTTTGATAAATTTTCTACCTAACCATCATAATTAAATAATTTTTATAAAATCTCATGAACTTTTGATATCGTTTAATTTAATAAGCATGTTGTAATTAATATAACGACAAAATTACATATAAATAGTTCGAAATAAACAATAAATAAATAATGAGTGTCCGGTTCTGACGCTAATCAAAGAAAATGGTGTAATTTTATGAGCAAAACCATGTAATAAATTGTTAGTTAAATTTTATGAGCAAAACCATGTAATAAATTGTTAGTTAAATTATATGAAAAAAATCATGTAATAAATTAGTAGTTAAATTTTATGAACCAATCCATGTAATAAATAGTTGGTTAAATTATATGAACAAAACCATGTAATAAATTGTTAGTTAAATTTTATGAACAAAACTATGTAATAAATTGTTAGTTAAATTTTATGAG